TTCAAAAACAAAAAAGTATATATATATATTCTCGCATTTGAATTTACATAATATCATTTATTGTTGAGACGTTTTCCTTTTAGTTCTCACTGGGCTATTACATGTCCAAATATATCTCTCGTGGTCCACTACAATCTTCAATTTCTCTGATTCATGTTAATTGGCAGGAAGCTCTGAGTGGATCTATTCAACCACTTGTTGTAAGTACCCCACTGCACCCTCTCACATACAGTAAACCATAATATGCAACCACCACAGTACCGCCACTACTGTGTTACATCTATGTACAATCAGTTGGATTGGGAAGATGCCGTCTGGTTGACGGATAGGAATATCTCCCTTCTGCACGAGAGACCAGGATACCATGTCGATAGTCGGCTCATGATTATTCCGCCACTGTCTATATAGGACAGGAGGACTCCCTTGACAGCCACAAAAGCTTTGCTTTCCCTTCCCCTCAGCTCTCGCTTTCCACTTTTTATCATGCAGATTATTCTATCACATATTCTGTCCCTAAGTTGGCTTTTGGCCTCTCGCATTTCTTGCTGCAACTGCCTCTAAATTTTCCAAGCTATTACTCTCTTCTACGGACAGATCAACTCGTAAATTGGTTCTCTGACACATCCCACATGTGTATCATATAACTTATGACTTGATCTCCGTGTAATAAAGAGCAAACAGCTCACCGATGGCTGAGGTGCGGGATTTACTTGGGAAGATCCTACCAGAACAACCAGTTTCTGATTGTGAATGCCTCTGTTTATAAATGATGGAACACATGAAACACGAATTGTGACTAAAAATATTCTCACGGATGGCCCAATAGCATTTTAAAGTGTCGATTGTCCGTCGAAACAGTCAGAATCCTTGCCAGCTCCAACTTCGCTAACAATTTGTCTTCATGCATCAACGACCCATCCAGGGATCCTGCAAACTCATCCAAATGGCACACAAATTTGCTCCAAATGATATTATTTACAGCTCGGGAGATTTACTGCCAGGTCCTCAACTCACCAGTCATCATTGCGCATGCCTGTGTCCAAAGTGGATATGCACGAGGATGACCTGACCCTTGAGGACAGATAAAGTAGTTCTTCACTACAGACAAGAGCAATGGAGCACAAAGAGAGACCAGTTCATACTATCCGTACTCAAGTAAGGTGGTATGTATTGCCGGATTCTTGTGTAAACCTTCATCAGGCATGAGGCCAAGAAGTTGACACTCAAGCCATTTACGGTAAGAGCTAAAAATTATTTTTAAAACATATAAACCGCATTTCTAGTGAAAAAGGTCGATGAAGAACGAGCAATGGGCGTTCAGCATTCCAATGAGGCAGCCACCTCTTAAAATAAGCAGTATCGCATAGCTCCAAGACACAGATTCCGTTTTCAGCACAATAATTTCCCTTGCCTAGTCTTAGTCCACAAGGGCAGTCATTTATTTTCGACTGAATAGCAGCCTCCCGGAACCTTCAACATTGTTTTCATTCTGGTTTAAGCGTCCCAAACTTTCGTGGAATGTGTGCACCTCGGTTCCGGTCGAGATACTTGCCTCTTCGGTCAGGGGGAAAAAAATCACTTTTATGTATAGAATTCTCAAGATTGTCTGTTCTACGAGATATGTTGACACCTTGTATGTAGATTTTGCATAAGCGTGAGGTAATCAACAGCCGAGGCGCGACAGGAACGAATGCTATCTAAGCTAAAAATCACAACGGCGTTTCCAAAACAAAGGTCTTTATGTCTTGGAGAAAAACGTTAGCAGGAATCCTTCGGGGATGTGGCGCGGTTACCGCACATAACGATCAAAGTCAGGAGACTCTTGGCAAGGGGAGAAAGAAAAATCGCGATTGGTGCAGAATGATAACCTGGTATTTGAGCTCAGCTGGAGCTGGGGGATCAGCTGGAAGAATAGCTCATTGTAGGGCTTGATCGCCGGCCTATCTTCAAGCCGGCTAACATCATATTTGCTGATCGCCGTTGGGAACAATCTTTTCCGGACTATTGGACTTGGCTTGGCTGGGTTTTGTAGATCATAGTGACGGGTCGAGTCGAATCTGTGATATCCCTTGCCCGGAATCTGAACTGTCAATGCCCGCCTCCCGACATGGCGCGCAGATCATCGGGATCTCACCGCCATCGTGCATAATTCGTTCTCTGCCCCGATTAGCCCTATTTGAAAGACAGGCGCTTCGCTTAAGGGAACTTGCAGGGCAAACGGGAGTATCGTGCCTGTGTGCCTACGATGCGCTACAGAGTAAGGGAACTCGAGGAGCTTTTGCCTTCTGCTGTTTCGGCGCAAGAAGGGAGGGATGTTTCCTGCATTCCAAAGTAAACTGCCATCGATCTGGATCCCTGTTTCTCCGTCGGCCTCCCTTGCGTCTCTATCACATTCCTCCTTGCTTGTCACTCGCCCTCCAGCCCGATGCTGACATTTCTATGTGCAGCCCTGCCTTCGGTTAGGTGTGTACTTGGTCATTAATCAATGACTGGGCTCTAGCCGAGCCCACCGATGGCGATGAAATCGCCTAGTGGCGGGTCATATTGAAGCCAAAACAAACATCATAGATTTGGTGCAGTGGCCGGTAGAACGGGACATGGCCATTTCAATCTCCTTGTCTGCACAGGTGCCCATTACCATCAGATATTTTTGATCGCATCCACATCTATGAGATATTCGTCCTTCGCCTCATTGACAGCTTGAGGACTTTCCAAGGGCGGTTGTCCCTCCATCCGATAGGATGGGGAACGTATCACCCACTCCACACCAGCTTTTTGTTGAATCTGTGGTCTTTTGGAGCATTGGTGTTGTGATATACGTTGGGCGGATGTATGTTTCGAGTCTCAATCGTGTGCATGAGAAGATACTGACGACTAGGAAAGAGCAGCACGGATCATTGCCAATGGCTCCATTAAAAACCTATTCGGTATCTATCTTCAGACCTTTTTTTTTTTTTTTTTTTTTTCAGAGAGCAGTTGCTAACCGCCGGCACGATGCTTGAAGTGGACGATTATGTTATGACCGCAACTTTTGTGAGTTCCGTGTCCCTGTTTTGCGTCCAGTTCTCGAATGACTAACGGCCAAATTCACTCCAGATGATATATACGACCCTACTTGTTTTGATACAGATCTCAGCACGCTATGCAACCAACCTGATGGATCCAAAGGACTATAGCAAGGTCCTGGCTGACCCGAAGCAAGTCCGCGACCGGATCTTCGGGAGCAAGATTGTTATCGGGCTGGAGCAGTGCATGCTGTTCTCAACCTGGGGAGTGAAAACATGCATGTTGATTCTCTACTTCAGGATCACCCAGAACCTGCGGTCCAACCTCTACATCAAAATCCTCGCGGTATACGTGGCTGTCGGATTCGTCGTAATCATGGTCACCTACTACGGAATATACTGTCGACCATTCTCTCAATACTGGGCTATGCCCGTGAAGAACATGCAGTGCGCGACCTACCAGAACTATTCAATCACACAAGCCGTCTTTAACATCTCCTCCGATGCCTTGATGTTCGCCATTCCGATCCCGCTTCTTATCCGGGCACAGCTCAAGCGGCGCAGGAAGATCGTGCTGCTGGGCGTGATGAGTCTGGGTCTATTCACCATTGTCGCCGCGATCCTTAACAAATACTTCAACTTTGCTTCCCCACTCACCACCACTTACCAGATATGGTACATTCGAGAAGCCAGCACTGCCATCTATGTCGCCAACCTAATGTGCTGGTGGCCGCTGCTGCGCAAGGTCTTCAATCTGAAAGCCTTCCAATATAACAGCAACCGAGGCAGGCGGGCCCGCGACCCGAACGACCCGAACAAGGACAGCAATGGCCTGTCTCAATCCTGTACCTCGCAGTCCCGCCCATCATTTTCACTGCCCCGTGTTTTTGAGTTTGTCCGACCACCCTGTCGCAGAGGCACGAACACCAACGCAGCAAACCGGCATGATCGTGGTCCTCAACGTTCGAGCGAAGAAGCTATTACCCAGGTCTCAGTCTCGAATGACTATGATGATTTCAACCGCATCGAAGCTGTCGACGCCATTCCTTTGGAGGAATGGAACAAATATGAACGAGGGATTGACACTGAGGATGACAGCCAAGCATCACTTGCCCGATCTGATAAATCCCGTTCGAAGAGATATGACTTGTCTGCGGATCGCATCTACCACGCCGCCTAGTTTCCTTGCTGCTTTGATTTTCCATGTTTGAAGGTGCATGCATAATGTGGTGCACTTTTCCTTTCCTAATTTATATAGCTCTTTCTTCTGAGTTTTTTTTTTTTCTTGGTATACCCGGACATTTGTGTGTCTATAGAATCGGTTGCATCCTGGAGGACATGAAGGGCGTTTCTGTCAATGCACTGGTATCGATGCTATTGAATGAAGTTTTGCTACTTTCAAGCCCTGAAGATCTATAGATCAGGCAAAAAAGGCGTCAACCACGGCTGAGCGGTGCAGTTGAGGTAATACAGCAACGTAACAAGAGACGCAAGAGCTCCTCACCTGATAATAATTTGCGCCGATGGTCAAGGGGTTACGATGCTATTTTCCCATCCTATATGAGTCAGATAGCGGCCCGGGTTCGAATCCCGGTCGGCGCATTTGTCCTGTTACTTTTTTGCTTTGTACTATTTACTAGCTTGTAGATGTCTGTATTCTTTATTCTTTTTTTTCTTCTTCTTTTGGATTTAAATAAAATATCAAGACGACAAAATCCCTTTTCGGGTAAGTCGGCACTCCGCGCGGAACAAGCCTTTGCCCTTTATCGATAGCGCATCACCGCGGGGACGGTGATCGCGTCATGGGATTTTTTCGCCTTTGCCTGTTTTGACTGTCAGTCTGGACTTTTCTTTTAAATCCTGGATACACCAACACCCTCCGTGTACATAACCGCTCCTCAAAACGGCCTGCCAAGCATCTCCCATTAAGGTACTGCGCGCCTTTTCTACTCGCGTGACTGATTTCTGCCCGCGGGGTTCATTACCACTTCGTTGATGGGGCTTTCTCCCCACCAAACAAAGGCGGGTCAAAACCGGCAGCCCGACAGTCCAGACGAAATCCGCCTTCCTATTCACCATGACGACCTAGATCCGCCCGCACGCGACACCGACTTATCATCCTCGGATAGCGATAGCGATAGCGAGAGTGTGAATACCGCGATTTTCGCAGGTAGTTCCCCCGGTTTCAACAGAACCCGAGTACCGGCGCCACTGCTGAACCCCGGCCATCGAAGATTCCCATCTGTGGACGAAGATGAACAAGACGAAGACCATGCGAGCGAGCCCGGTCGACCTGATACCGCGCATGAGAAGCCGGTGACATGGATGTCGCTGCCGAAGAGAGGGCAGCTGGCGATCTTAACATTTGCTCGACTATCTGAGCCCTTGACGCAGACATCACTGCAGGCGTATATGTTCTACCAGCTCAAGTCGTTTGATCCTTCGTTGCCAAACTCGACCATTTCTCGACAGGCCGGTATTCTTCAAGGCAGCTTCACCGCCGCACAGTTCCTGACTGCTGTCTGGTGGGGCCGGCTGGCTGATGCGGAATGGATGGGCCGGAAGAGAGTCCTGCTCATCGGGTCAATGGGAACCTGTATCTCATGCTTGGGGTTTGGTTTCTCGCGCTCGTTCGTGTCCGCGGCGGTGTTTCGGACGTTGGGCGGAGCCCTGAACAGCAACGTTGGTGTGATGCGGACCATGATATCGGAGATCATTGTCGAAAAGAAGTAGGTACCCCTAAATTTTTGAATGGTTCTCACGCTGACGGGCCCAGATACCAATCGCGTGCATTCCTGTTGCTGCCGATGTGTTTTAATATCGGAGTGATCATTGGTCCCATTCTGGGAGGCTCGTTGGCCGATCCCACTCACAGTTTTCCACAGCTTTTTGGGCCAGGGTCTGTGTTTGGAGGAAAGAATGGGGTATGGTGGATGCAGCAATGGCCGTATGCCTTGCCAAATGTGCTGAGCGCGATCTTCATCTTTGCATCTCTGAGCGCGGTATTTTTGGGGCTCGACGAGGTGAGTAACTCACGATCATTCACAGAATTCGTAGCTAACGAGCAATATTAGACACACGAAACTGCGCGCTACCGAAAAGACTGGGGTCGATCCTTGGGTAAGCGAATAGTACAGGCTCTATCACGACGCCCGCGGCACTACCGCCCTCTGACCCAATCTGGGGACGATGACTCCATATACCTCGAGGGTAGCGTGGGAACATGGTCTGGACCATCTAGCCCCGTTAATACACGTGCCCCACAAATACCTCGACGACATAAACGACCCGGCTTCCGACAGATCTGGACTCGGAATGTCCTGCTCACGCTTCTAGTGCAGTTCTTGCTCGCCATTCACACTAGCGCCTTCAACTCCATGACCTTTGTGTTTCTGCCCACGCCAAGAGCTCCCGAGAACTCCAGGACAGGCTTCTTCCACTTCAGCGGTGGCCTGGGTCTTCCATCTTCCCGCGTCGGGCTGGCCACCGCCATTATCGGGTTTATCGGCCTGCCCCTGCAAATCCTCTTCTACCCGATGGTGCAATCCAAACTGGGCACACTTACCTCCTTCCGCCTTTTTCTTCCTTTGTCACCGCTGTCCTACATCCTCATGCCTTTCCTCGTTGTTCTCCCTCGCCTCGTCTGGGTCGTCTGGCCCTCTTTTGCCGTGGTCGTGGGTCTGCAAGTCATGTCACGAACCTTTGTATTGCCCGCGGCCGTCATCCTCGTCAACAACTGTGCCACGGACCCGTCCATTTTGGGGACGGTCCACGGTGTGGCGCAGAGTATCGCCAGCGCAGCTCGTACCCTCGGCCCTTTCCTTGGTGGCTGGGGCCTTGGATGGGGCCTCGAACGTAACATGGTTGGAGCCGTGTGGTGGGTCCTTGCGGCCGAGGCTTTGACGGGCTGGTTTGTGCTGTGGACTATCCATGAGGGGAAGGGTATTGAGCGGAAGAAAGCTGAGGTGGAGGAGGAAGAGGAATGATTGACGACTGTCATGTTCTCGTGCTCCCCATGGGGCAGTCCTTACGACTGACCCTATATCCAGTACATAAATGACCAGACCTATAGACGGTTGGCCGGCATAGAACAAACCGCATAGGGTTTTGCATTGTATATTCATCAAATTCATGTAATCGTAAATATCAGAACATCTGCCTGACTGAGGTGCAGAAGATACGTTCACACCCGGACCGAAGGCGAGACAAAAGCCAGCATCGCCTTCGCGGCATCTCCATCATGCGCCTTCAGCAACTCCGTCGCCTTAACCTTATTTAGATCAAGCTGATCAACCTATTGCCACAAGTAAGCACAATCTCCCGTTAATATCCTTTGTACAACATACCAGAAGCGTCACATCATCTGCCGCAACCTTGACCGTCTTCTTCGGCACGGTCTCCTTCTTCTGTGCTTCATTCGTGCCCTTCTTTGCGGGACCCTGTCCCGCGGCAATCTCTAGTCGACTCATCGCCTCCCCCAGAGCCTTTTGATCTGTCCCCGCTGGCGGCTTAGCGGGGCCGCCATCGGTGCCCAACTCATTGGTGTTGAGCGAGTTCAGCGCCGCAGCAGCTTTGCGGTCCTCCGCGTTAGCGGGGAGGGTTTGGTCCGTTGCATCAGGGTCGGCGGTGGCAGATGGAATGGAATCGGACATCTTGTTGATTCAAGAGGTCGTTGAGAGGACAAGACTGGAGAAGTCCAACAAAGCAACACAACCCATAACGTCACCGATAAGATAAGAGACCATGACATAAGCAGATGAGTCATCCCCGTGAATAAGCGCCTTGACCGAGCTGTCTTTTTGTTCGTTTCAGTGAACTTTCTTCGTGATCGAGTTCGAGTCATTCCTTCGCGCGGTGATACTCCTTGAGCTGCGAGGTGCTGCTTCCGCTACACTGTCTTGCCAATTGGCCGACCAACCCATTCGCCACTGCTAGCCTTAGCATCGCGACGTCTATTGCAGTCATCCCACCATGGCGGACTGGAGTCCTACCTGTATGCGTCACGTCTCGAGTGCAGCGCCAGTTTCACTAACAGTGGTCTTTTGGCAGCGTGGGCGAACAAGCCCATCAAGCAAGATGTGGTCTACGAAGATGCAGAAGGGATGAAAGAAGCATTGGCGAAGTTGCAGAAGTTGCCTCCGCTGGTAACCACGCAGGAGGTATGTCTTCATGGTTTCTATTGGTGCTGAGTCTTCTAACAGCATATCCAGATTAACAGACTCAAAGAGAGCTTGCGCAATGTAGCTCTCGGCAAAGCCTTTGTGCTTCAGGGCGGTACGTCCTTGGATTCACCACATATCAGCGTGTCCCAGACTAATGGCTTTCAGGGGACTGTGCGGAGTTATTTGACTACTGCAACCAAGACATGATCGAGGCCAAGGTCAAGCTGTTGCTTCAGATGAGCTTGGTTTTAATTTGGGGTAGGAAGGGCATATCCACTTCTCACAGACAGACAGAACTAACCATTGCATCAGGCGCCAACAAGCCCGTCATCCGTATCGCGCGCATTGCAGGCCAATTCGCAAAGTATAAAATTAATCCTGTTACCAATAAATAAATTGACACCAGCAAAGCTAACCTATGCCACAGACCACGCTCAAAGCCCACCGAAATGGTCAATGGCGTCGAGCTCCCCGCCTTCCGCGGCGATAACATCAACGGCTTCAGCGCAGACGCCGAGTCGCGACGGCCTGACCCGTCCCGCCTCGTCTCAGCATACTTTCACTCGGCCGCAACGCTGAACTGGCTCCGCGCGGCGCTATCATCGGGCCTCGCAGACCTGCACTCACCCCTAGACTGGGGCCTCGGCCATGTGCGCACCCCCTCGATCAAAGAGCAGTACTCGCGGATCGTGGGCGCCGTCAAGGATGCCCTGCGGTTCATGGCCACCGTCGGCATCGACAACGACCGCGGCGTCGAGACAGCAGACGTGTACACGAGCCACGAGGGCCTCTCGCTGGACTACGAGCAGTGTCTCACGCGGGAGATGCGCCACCCGGTCCCGACGAAAGCAACCTGGACCGAAAACTTCTCTTCAACAGGGTTCTACGCGACATCGGCGCACTTCCTCTGGATCGGCGATCGCACGCGACAGCTCGACGGCGCACACGTCGAGTTCTTCCGCGGGATCGCTAACCCCATCGGTATCAAGATCGGACCGAGCATGGCATCCAACGAGCTGGTCGCCCTCCTCGACGTTGTCAATCCCGCACGGGAGGTGGGGAAAGTCACACTCATCTCGCGGTACGGCGCGGCGAAGATCGCAGAGTTCCTGCCGGGGCATATCGCCGCCGTGCAGGCGTCGGGCCATATCCCCGTGTGGCAGTGCGATCCCATGCACGGCAATACCCAGACGACGCCGTCGGGTGTCAAGACGCGACATTTCGAGGATATTCTGTCGGAGCTGAAGCAGTCGCTTGAGATTCATCGCGCGGCGGGGTCGTTCCTTGGTGGAATGCATCTTGAGCTTACTGGTGAAGCGGTCACGGAGTGTGTGGGCGGTGCGGCTGGGTTGACGGAGGATGGTCTGATAGAGAGATATACTACGTTCTGTGATCCACGGTTGAATGAGAAGCAGGCGCTGGAGTTGGCGTTCCTTGTTGCGTCGTTCTATCGCGAGGCGCAGAATTGATGTTGATCTGGTTGTTTGGGCGTGGAGTTGGGTACTGGGAGTATTTGGAGGATATGCGACAGTGTTACAGAACGTAAAAGCAGTGACGAGTTAATGCCTTGAATTGACTTCAAAATCCAACATAACATCACATAACAACCAATCCACCCATCCAGTCTGACCAATCCAATAAAACCCCGTGGTAGCCCCCATATGTACAGAGCGGCTTTGTCCAAGAACAGTAGAATACAAACAATAGACAACAAAAAGAAATTTAAAGATAGAATAGAGATTTACCTCCCTAGGGGACTCCCAACCTGCGGCTTAAAGGCTAAGCTCTTCCGTCGCGCAGCCTCCATCTGAAACCGCTTCTGACGTCGCGCCTCTTCATCGTCTTCCTCAATTTGGAAGATATTCGATGATGGCTTGCTGGATCCAGCGAATAGACCTTGATTGCTCTGCTTCGGCGGGCAGGACTGCTGAACAAGTTTGGCCCGATTGGAGAGGTAGAACGGTGTTGCGGGCGACATCCCGATGGCGTCGAGGTTGGCGAAATTGTACCCCGGTGTCTCGGGGACACGGTAATGGTCGTCATCATCACCGCCAGCAAAAGATTCTTGAGTAGGGGTAGATGGTGACCCCTGTCGGGGAGTCGGGGGCGTGAGATTTCGGAATCCTTCCATTGCGCCCCAGTCGGCGCCGCAGCGGCGGCCGCTGGCGGAGGGGGTGGCAGGTTCCGAGACGCGGACGAGCGTGCCGTTCACATTGCTCAGAGCACGCGGCTGCATGCTCTTGCGGCGCTTGGCACCTCCGCGAGGGATGATGGTGCTGTCAACAGCGTACGGAGTCTCGTCCAGCCACTGGCTCTCTCGCTCACAGCTATAGGAATTGGGTTAGAAGGTCTGTCTGGATACAGTTGACCCAAAGGATGACTTACTCAAGAACCCAGCCAACACCCACACACTTGACAAGGCCAGCGGCGTGCTTGACTTTCTCCATCGTCCGGAGACCTCCATCCTTGTAGACGACGTGGGTGATTCCCACCTTGGCGCTGGGCTCGACTCCATCCACGGGCGACATACTGGATCGCGGGTTCCACGTCCAAGTCTTGACACATCGAGCCCCCATTTGCTGCAGAAGCTCTACGAAGATGCCCGATGCATCCTCTCCCTCGGTGGTATGGACATCGACATGCACGACGGCGCCACGGAGAACGGGTTTGCTGGCGCCAAAGTTTGGACGCGGGGTTTTCTCAGGAGAGCTGGCCACAGACGACGGTACTGGAGGTGGCTCCATGGAAAATGGTCGGACGCTGCTGCGTCTGGGTGTCTTCCCAGGACTGCCAGCGACAGAGGAAGCCCGAGAGGGCCCTATAGACGGACGTTGCATACTTGGCCGCCTAGGAGTGCTGATGCGGCGCTTCGGGGGACTAATGCTTCTCTCAACGCGAGCCGATTTGTGCGGCGGAGAAAGAGTAGACGCACTTTCAGTTCGCGGAAGAAAGATCGCATTGCGGGACCGGGGCGAAGACCGAATTGGAGAGGCGCCCTCCAGGGACCGGCCTCTCTTCCGCGGCAGCTTCAGCGGCGATTCTGGTCCTTCTCCTTTCAGAGGGACTTTGCACACGGTGTGGAAGGTCTGCATATGGTGGGGTGCAGCCCTCACCGGCGTGGCCAGGGGAAGGGCGGGAGAAGGGCTATTCTCCTTATCGTTTTCTTCCTGGGCGTCATCCACTTGGTCGTCGGCATTTTCGCTCACGGGCATCACACCTCGAAATGGGATTTGCACACTCTTGGGGGTCTCGATTGCTGTAGTCTGCAAATCCTCAAAGATATCATTGTGCAGCGATGGCGACTCCATCATATCACGTTCTTTAAGAGGAGATACTTGCTCTCGAGGTTTCTCAGGCGACATGGAGCTATCATCACTGCGAGGCTGAAGGGGAAGCTGGGCGAGCAACGACGGCGTATTCGCCAACGAGGCTCGCGGCACACCTTCCGACTTCCGAGGAGTCGCTTCAGTAGTAGCAACCTTTTCCAGAGGACCAACGAGCGAGAACACTCCACGTCGACGGGGCCGCGCTGGTCCGGCTTTCGAAGGAGTGTCCGATTTCCAGCTGTTGAACTGCTGAGCCAGCGGTGTAAACCCAAGGTCGACACCGAGAGACTTCCGCTGTCCAATGATGCTTGGTCTAGTCGATGAAATACGTGCCGCTGGCGTGGGGAATTCAGATTGGGTAGTCTCGTCCAGAGGGCTGTCTTCGACATCTCTGTAGGCATTAGAGCCAAAATTCAAATTCTTCATGTTAGACTCGATCCTGTTGGTGTCGGGAGTGTCCAACTGGTGAGACGACATGGGAGTTTCACCCTCTGGCGGAGTCGGGGCCGAAGGAGGGATGCTCCTCTCAAACGGGCTGGTGAAGTTGGAGCCCTCGTTAATCTCGTATGGCGAAACAGGTTGAGAGGCCAGGGTACATGTTGCTTCTGACCCCACCAGCGTGACCTCATCGCCATCCTGTGCGTCCATTTCGCTGGAGGCCTCATGCTCTTCATCGGGATAGCGGACAGAGTTGTTGATACGATAGCTGTCGTCCAGTTCCCCATCGTCCTGGTCATGTCTCTGCCCAAGAGACTGGCGAGAGTGGTGAATAACAGTCGGAGAGTCCTCAGCATCAGTGAAGTCGAGAGTCTGCTGGTATGGTGATCGTACACTGGCAATCGACTCAGCATCTGCCTCGCTCGTCGGTTCTCGCTGGACTGATGCTGGGCTCTTCGAGATGCGGACTGGGCTTGTCTCTGGAAGGTCTTCCTCCTCATCAATCTTAGAAAGGCACTCTTCTTGTTCCATATTGTCAAAGCAGATTGTCTCAGCCTCATCAATCTCATACCGAGCATGACGGCCTAATTCGTGCTCTGGCTGGGTGGTAGGATCCTCCAGATCCTCCGCATTCTCGGCGTCATTCTCATCATGGCCATGTGATCCATCATCCAGCGCGTCTTCAACCGTAGCCTTACCTTCCTGCACAGGAGAAGAAGAAGACTTGCTGTCCGAGCGAAGCTCGATGCCAAAGATATCACGTGCAACTTCCTCAACCATCTGGTAATCCTCGTCGACAGTAGGAGCATCCGAGTGTATATGTTGAGGAGGCAAAAAAGGGCGCTGGGTTTCCGAAGTATCCGACTTATCAATGAAAACATCGTCCTCCAGAGGTGGAAGACCCTTTGCCGCCGTTTTTGCGGGGGACATGGAGCGGGTCATGGAGCCCTTGAAAGGGGATGGTACTCTCTTCGCCGGGCTTTGGAACAAGGACGTCTTAGCCGGAAGTGAGGGCGCTGGTGTGCTAGCCTTGAATGATGATTGCGAGAACGACGCTCCCAGGTGACCCTTACGCGGAGACATCTTGAGAGGCGAGGACCGTCCCGGTGTAAAATCAAAGGTCGAAGGAGGACCCATCTCATCACGGGAGCCAGCACGGCCACGGTTCGGGGTATCTTTAAAGCTGTACTGGAAAGGCGAGGCGGGAGGCCGCCGGGCAGGACTGGACATCATAATCGAGTCACTGAAGTCGATCGACTTGCCTGGTGGAAGGGCAAGGTGTCCATGCTCCGGAACAGGGTTGTGGGTGCGATTGGGAGTGAAGTTGATCTTCCGCACCGGCGAGCTGAGGCCGGTGGTGGACTCTGATCCATGTTTCGGGGTGGGTTGTTTAGGTTCGCCGTTCTCGTCAATAAAACTGGAAGCTTTCTTCGGGGTAAAGTTGACTCTTCGCACAGGCGACATCAATCCCGGATTGTCTGAGGCGTGCTTGACAGGCGAATGGATGACAAGCTTGATGTGTTTCTTCATAGGGTCCTTGACAGCATTCAGCTCATCCTCTTCCCCGTCGGTACTTGTATAGTCCGTCATCAAATTGGACATCTGCTTGGCTTTCTTGGGGGTCAATGGCTTGGAAGCAGTAACACCCTTCTTGGCCGCGGCGGGCTTTCGACCCCTGGCGGCAGGTTTGCGAGCCGGCGTGCCCGCAAGACCCGTCTTCGCAGCACGAGTAGCACCCCTCTTTCGCCCAGCAGTAGGGGCAGAGAAATTCTCATCGTCAGACTCTTCGGAGGCAGAAACATCCTGGAAAGTAACAGTCTTCTTTTTAGCGGGCCCGCGCAAAAGATTCGAGCGCATGGTAGTCGAATTGGTCGCCACAAAAATATGGTTGGGTTGCGTGTCATCGGCAGAGGCATCCGCTTCAGCAGCAGCCCGTGTCTTCTTCCGCGTAGCCGCAGTTGTAGTTGTAGCCGCAGCATTCTTCGGTGGCCGTCCACGGGGCCTCGGCGCTGTCTGGGCTTTGGCAGCACTCTCAACAGGAAGCGGATTCTTTCTCGGCCGCCCACGCTTCTTCGGCGCCTCTTGCACAGGAGCGAGCTCATCCTCCTCTCCGTCATCGTCGTCGCTCGACTCCTCCCGCACAGGCATGGAAGCATCAGCCTTCTTGGGCCGACCGGGCGGGCGCCCCCGCGGTTTCGTAGGCTTGACCTCCCTGCCTTGTTTGGCGGTGGTGGTCGTAGTTATCAGACCGAGTTCATCGTCCGTGTCGCTCGAGTCCTGGTCAACAATGTCGCGTGTCGTTGTTGTCGGTTTGCGCGGAGCTCCTTTCTTCGCATTGGCGGTGGTTTTCGTCGTAGACTTGGACACACGAGGCGCGCGTTTCGCAGGCGAGGGAGGGATGACAGCGGCGCGCGCCATGGTGGGTGGTTGTCAAGGATGGGTGCGGTCGAGGGTTGGTGTTTGTTGATGTTGTTGTGGTTGTCGCAGCTCGCAATTAGTGGCAGCACACGGTGCTCATGGTGAGAGGCTGCACTTGTAGTCAATGCAGATCGATAGTGCTGGATTTGGATATTAATGGCGATAGCTGTCGATAAAAGTGTTCGGGTGAGGCTGGTCAATGTACGTAGTAGGTTCCAGGATTCCAAACAATCCACGGGTCCGTGTTTAGCGTTGGCCGTGTTGTCCTGGCAACGGCACGAACCAGTGTTCATGACCCGTAACTATAAGCTGAATCTGCAGGACTAGCATTAGTTAGGTTGTGGATTTTATTGTTTTCGTGATAATCAATAATAGCGAGTTGCATTATTTGTTCGCTTCCATACATGAGAATGAATATGCAGGAATAACACTAGGAGAATACTAGAAACATTCGAAATATATATTTTCCGGACGACGGAAGCTGATGGACTTAAATCGTTGCTGTCCAAGGAACTGCCAATAAATACTCCAAAGCGACCTATAAATCGAAACACATTGATTCATTATCGTAAAATCTAACAAATAAATCGCGCTCTCCAGAAATACTCGTAACCACGCTACCCGGCCAACAAGACACAAGCACAAGTGTGCAGCTAGTCAAACCAAAACCTATACCCCGTCCCAATCCCAGTCCCAGTCCCAAAAGACCCTATTTACATAGTCGTCAAGAGAGCCACACCCGCTGCCACGACAGTGGCCAGCATTGCCGGCACCAAGGCCGCCGCCGCACTATCCAGCGTCAACAAAGCGCTAGGTTCATACGGCGCGGGCTTAGTGGAGTTCACAGTGCCGTCCCAGCAATAGCGCTGGAAACATTGGGAGCAGATATCCGGGACAGCGGTGTTAGTTCTCTCGAAGGAGCGGCTGAGGATAGCGCAACCAACACAGGCAGTCCAGTTGCCGTCGCGGGTGCCGTTGGCCATAGTGGCGACCTCGTAGCCGTTCAGGATGATGTCGTCGCGTTGGGCGTCGTCGTATGACATCTGGAAGGTGGAGGTGTTGGAGTTGGCGGAGTAGGGATAGTTTGGTAGGTAGACGACCAGGGGCGCGGGACCTGTGAGATTGGAACTGTCGCATCCGAAGAAAGTGGGCCGGGTGTTCAGACCCAGGTTCACGAAGGTGTTCTGGTCCGGCACGGCGGGGAAGGCAGTGCCGTTACCGATGCCGCTGGAGTTGAGGCTGCGCTGGTACGTGGCCACGAGCGAGGTGCCGTTCGGCCAGGAGGACTGCGTGTCGGCGGACGAGTCGACCGCGAAGATGACGTCGACGTGGCGGTTTGGCTGGATGAGTGGCTGGAGCGGGATATTCTGGAGATCTTCGCCGCCGTCGACCACGTCCAGTTCTGTTTGCTGCGCGTACGGCGACGAGGCGTTGTTATACCCGTAGAACGGGTTCGGCTCGTAAGCGGCGATATCGTCGTCGGCCTTGTCAACACTCTGAAACACGTCTTCGAGGATAGATTTCACGAAACTGGGCAGATTAGACGTGTCGAGCCCCGAGACGAGGGCGTTGAAGAGCGATGACGAGGTGCCGATAATGAAGCCTGCGTTGTCGAAGCCGCGGACGCAGGTTTCGTTGCTTGGCAGGGTGCCGCCGGAGAAGCGGGAACCCAAGAACTCCAGCGGGACGAACCCGTAGATTGTTGGGTCCCAGGTGCCGAATTCCCAGGGGTTGAACTCGTAGATGGTTGCGTTGCCGCCGACTACCGTCTCGCCGGGGTTGCGGCCATCCGCGACAACGAGCGGCATGGGATACTCCGCGTTCTGGAATCCCGGGGTCAGCCCAATGGACGACCAGGTATAGTCGATGCCTCCGGCAGAGGCATTGAACATCTGATAGGCGAGCGCGCGGCCCCTGCAAACTCATCAGCACCTCGCTTTTCTTTGATACACACACACAACACTACATACCAGACATCCGTGATAGACGTATCATACCCAGATTTCCTCTTCGCCTCCACCGCATCCGCCAGATCTTTAAAGTAGTCCGCTGTATCCAACAGCTGAATGCTGCCCCCATCCGGACCTTCAAAGATCGAGTTCCCAAACTGCCACACAGCACCGGCCTGAGTAGTCTGCAGATCCGAAATCGTCGTAAAATTATTGATATAAATCGAGCTAACCAGCCAGCTCCCACCGCTAAGGCCAGACACATACGTGGCAGACTGCAGCAGGCCACCCAGATGGCCCGACGCCGTCGCATTCTCAGTACGACTATCAAACGCCTTGATAGCACCAGCCCCATTCAGCAGAGCGCGATATCCGCCGCCGGACACAGCAATGCCGATATTGGGCAGATTGGACGAGTTGCCGGCGATCTTGTCCAGGTACGACGCGACATCGAAGCTACCGACCTGGACGTGGCCGAAGAAATCCTTCATCGCAGAGAGTGTCTTTCCGCGCCGTGATTCTAGCCATGATGTCTCATTCGCGGAGAGCTCGGCGGCGCTGCGTATTGTCGGTCGGCTGGCGGGGCAGCTGACTGACGTCGGGGTGTATCCATCGGGCGCATTGGGAAGGGCGCGGCGCACGAGCTCCGGTGTGAGAGCAGCAGCAGCAGTGTCGAAAGCTGGGGCGGCGAGGGCACCTGGTATGAGAATCAGCGGTGACCAGACAGCACAGCGCGGCGACGGAAGGGGAAAGGAAGAAAGGGAGACAAGGGAGGGCAGCCAGAAGAATACTCGCGAATTGAGTAAGATCCAAACAGAACATACCGGACAGCAATGCTGTTGAGAACCACGCAGCAGCTTTCATGGCAGGGGGATAATAATAGTGTGCCAGTGGATTGAACAACCCAAGACAAGTCAGGACGCAGGTCGGGTCTTAAGTCCTGCCGGCTCTAAGGGCCGAAAGAAGATGTATCGGGGTCGCCGTGCAGTCCGTGTCGATCCTGCGATGATGTCAGACGAACTAGTGAACTATCAAGCTAGTGAGTTATCCTACGGAATAGTTAGTATTTAGTACGTTGTCCAGCCTGACTTAATTATTACTGCTCCCATCTTCCAGTCCATCTCCCTGTCTCCTGTCTGCCGTGCAACCCTGCAAGACCAGCGTGCCTCGGGGCGCAGGCGCTGGGCCAGGGGCGCAATACGAGCCGAGGCAGCCGGGCCCCACTTGACCCTGATTCCTACCTATGCTTTGGGGCTGAGGACGCCGAGCAGCAGGCACCCGCATTAGGAGATTCTGAGATCCTATGGCTATGATTATTGCCCCGAGGGCTGAATGCTGACGGTCTTTTGTGCTCACTCCGTTGGTGTGCTAGCAATCGAGTGGATAGACTGGTCGGGGTTTCTGCAGACGGAAGACCCAAACCCACTTGGCGTGGGAATTATCCTATTGTGGATAAGACAATCATAAGCACGGCAAGCCGAGATCGACAAACGGCGGGACCCGAACTACAATTAACATATACTTGAAGAACAAAAAGCGTGATCATAAATTCATTCCTATGGAATAGAAAAGATACCGAATGCCACCCATAAACATGCCCACGTGAATTTCATGTCATCGCAAGACCACCCACCTAGCCCTTGACGGGACCAATCTCGCTAGCCAGCAGCACACCCTCGATGCCCTTTTCGTCAGCATAAGCGTGGCCCTCGGGGAGGTTGTTGAGCTCGTCCTCCTCCTTGTCCAGTCCCCAGAACTGGAAGATGAAGAAGGCGCCACCGACAAAGGACAGCACAGCGAAAACGCCGTAGTTCCAGATCAGCAGCGGGTCCGCGGCCAACGGGTTCAGCGCCTCGGCGATGGCGGCTGAGATGGCGTTGGTGAACAAGGCAATGGCCTGGATCAGGGATCGCATGTTGCGCGGGGCCTTGGAATAGGCGTACTCGAGTGAGGTGATCGAGGCGAAGATCTCCGAGAAGGCGATCAGCACGTAGCAGCCGGTCTGCGCCCACACGTTGATCGGGGCCGGGTTGACCTGGCCATCCTTCGTGAAGCAGTTGTTTGCGTCGTAGCCACAGGGCGAGGTCTTGTAGATGTAGTACTGCACCACGGCCGCCCAGACCATGGCCAAGGCCGCCAGCCAGAAGCCCACGGTGATCTTCTTGATGGCCGAGAATCGGAATCCCATCTTGCGCAGACCTGGGTAGAGGAAAGAATCACAGATGGGGATGAAGATGATCAGGGCGAAGGGATCAAGGTTGTTGACCACATCGTTGGGCACTCCGTGCAGTGTCATGGTACTGGCCTGAGCCGTGAAGTTGTTCGTCAGCTGGCCGTATGCCAGCCAGTACAGCGGGTACCAGCAAAAGACGGCGCATGCAGCGAATCCACGGCGCACCTCGTCCACCCAGGCATCGTCAAAAGTCATCCACTTGGGTCGCAGGCCGGGCTCAATGTTGGACGGCTTGACCGACTCCCACAGCGTGCCGTCGTGGGTGCGCTTCCACATGGTGACGGGGTTCCAGTGCCAGCGGCCACGCAGGGCGAACAAGAGTGCCTGAACGGCCTTGGACACCACGGATCCCGTCGGAGGAGACTGACGGTAGCGCTTGCGTCCCCACCACATGACAAACGGAGTAGTGCAGAACATGAGCGTTGGCAGCAGGTAGGCCAGCCAGAAACCGACATATTTCTCGGCGTAAGCCATGCCAATCTGTCCCACCAGGGCACCGAGATTGATAAAGAGGTAGAAGTAGTGGTAGATGCGGCTCTGGGTGATGGTAGGGTCGACAATGACGCGCTCCCCGGAGGGCAGCGTGCGCACCTTGAGATTGACGGCGGGAATTTGTTCCACAACCAGGGCCGAGATGTTGGGCTTGAAACCACCCGTACCCAGACCCATAATGACCACACCGAGCATGAACACACCGAAACAGGCAGGAGTATTCACGATGACGGGCGGGGTGGCCGATATGACCAGGATGATATGACCAAGGATGGCCACAAAGATGGACCAGCAGATAGTCTTGTACCGACCCCAGTACTCGTCGGCAATGTAGGCACTGAGCAGAGGAACGCAGTAGCACCAGAAGGTGTTGAAGGTGTTGATTCCATTGGCGGTTTGGACACCCTTGCCCAGCGCACCCGAGACACCCTGGGCGGTTCCACCACCAGCTCCAGTGTTGTGGATCGAGCCTGGGGGGCCGTAGGGAGCGGGCAGCGGGAGGGAGTGGTTCACAAAGTTGGAGTCTGCGGGTTCAGGTCAGCGGCAGATCAAGTGAAAGATGTTATCGAACATACACAGAACCTGGGTGCCATAGTAGGAAAAGCGTTCGCAGAGCTCGACAAAAGCGACCGTGTAGACGGCCCAGGGGATAGGCGCGGAGATACGACGGAGAGCGTTGGGACCGTGGAGTTCGTCGGCCGTGGGATCCTCGTCGCCAATGCCCAGGTGGTACGAGGCCGAGATGAGACTCTTCTCGGGCTTGTTCTCGCCCTTGGGGTCCTGCGCCCCGACGGTGGTAGTGGGATTATCCGAATTGTGGATCTCGTCCACGACAGGAGACGCCATGTTGGGGAGAGAGGATGGAGCAGAACAAGTAAGTGGGTGGTGAGGGAAGAGAAGAAAAGCAGAGGTTGGGGGAAGAGAGAAGAGGAGGAGGAGGGCAAACCCAATTAAGTAGGGACTGATTGAGTACTACACTACTATACTACGCACACCATCGTTGCTCGACACATAACTAACAGTCTCAGACCGCGGCCGTACTATCCCAAACAGGGAGGATGTAGTGGTAGCTCGAAGATAAGGTTGGCCCACGACGAATGAACGGGCCGGTTGGAGCGGGGAGGATTGGGGGCGGGTTAGCGCCATGTAATAAAGGTACACTAAGGCACGCGGACTGCCCGCTAGCAAGAAGTCTGAACTAACCGAGACTTAGCAAGAGGAACAAGCGTCAAGAGACAGGGCCATGGCAATGGCCCGGACAATGATGATCGTTGCCGCAATTGAGCAGAAATAACCCACCACGACCAAAACAATCATCAAATATAGATGTGTCTCTGCATGCCTCGGTACCTGATTCTTATTACCTTATTTGCCGCGTGGCCACGGCTCCGGATAACGCTAGTTACCTCCTCATCGCCAAGAACATTCCGCCCCAACTGACTTCAGGGCTCCGATGCACAAACACAAACACTTGCCGGGGATAGACGCATCCAGCCGTCCGAGATACGGCCAAGACGTGTGCTCGATGGTGCCAAGTCCCAGACCAAGTGCCCGTGGCGCTCTCATATCAGGGAGACATCCGTCGATAGCCAACAACGCGCCGCAGTCGTGTTGCCACCTGCGGAATCTGGTCAGATTCCCTGCTCAGAGTGCCACCTCCCGGTGGGACATACCACGCTCAGCTGGCGGCGAAATCCCCATATTATTATTTCCATATTCTTGTTTTCTCTGTCAAGGTTGTTCTGTTTGTTGGTTTCATCATACAGATCGCGGCAACCAATCCCGACCGCTCAACGGCTGGGCCGTTCCAGAGTTGCTGAAATAGGGATCCCGAGCACCAGACACCAAGTTTCTTACATTGGAATGATGCAAACCACCTCAATCTGCCTTGCTGCAGGACACAACTACCGCCACCATATACAGTACATCGTACATGTACTACCGTCAGCCAGGGCAGAGAACCACTGATCCCTGGCCGAGAGACTCGACGCGGAGCACGAGCACTACGTTATTAGGTAACGGGCATGGCACGGGCCTCTGCGCAGTTTCTCGCCAGTCCGGTATACATCTGGAGAGTCTCAACCGTTGGGGTTCGCCATTATCGTATGACTTCATTTAATCAAGCCAGCCCAGTCCCGCTGACACCACTACATTGTCTGCTCTTCTGTACAGCAGAGCGCGTACTCGGGGACTCGAGATAGACAGGAATAAATTCTGCCTTGTGATTTAGGACTGATTCTTCTTCTTCTTCTTCTTCTTCTTCTTCTTCTTCTTCTTCTTCTTCTTCTTCTTCTTCTTCTTCTTCTTCTTCTTCTTCTCTAACTACAGTTATGTCACTATGCATCATCTCATCATCTATTGTAGTCAGTCTCCTAGAAGCGAATGCGCACTGATTAGTTAGCCAACTGCCCCAGTCCCCAATAAACATGAAAAACCCGCCCCCCCTTTTGATCAAAAGACGCGCAGAACGACCAAGAGAATCTGATTGGCGGCCCTAGTCCCCCTCCGTATTCCCCCCAGCCCCAGTAGTCTGTGTTCCCCGGCTGATAGCGGATATTACCCGGCGATCAGCGCATTGACACGATGGTCATGTGGATTAAGGATCCTAGGAACGTGGGGGGTCAAGTTGAGACGGTGGTTGGACGCTGTGCTAAAATCGCGGTGAGGTTGTGGTGTGGTGTATGTGAGAATAGATCTAGTAGTACTTTAGGTGTGACGTGATTCCCTGTTGGGGGTGTGTGTAACTGACATTAGTAGCCGTAGTGAATCCGGGGATGGATGGATCAGCTGTGGAGCCGATCTGTCAAAAGTGGGCGGAAGTGGGACCAGATCAAGTAGATGAGGATGAGGATGCGTCATGATTTGTATAACATTAATTAATTCGAGATAGATTGTGTTGCCACATAGACAAAAACACAAAAGTCTAATCCACATTTTCCCAATATCATGCTCGCTGATCATCAAATCAAAATCACATCGTATCCAGGCAAAAAAGCTAAAAATCCGAAAGAAAGAAAATCGCTGTCCCAAAACCCAGTCACAACACCATGCAATGAGAGAGAAGCGCAGGAAGTATACCGCACCGCAAGATATTATTATTAAGATTTACCAAGCGGCATGGCCACCATCCATACGCAGGTCACTTCCAGTCATAAAGCTGCTGGCATCGCTGAGCAGGAAGACCGCAGCGCCGCGGTACTCCTCCGGGCGCGACAGACGGCCGAGCATGTTCTCCTTGGGCCACTGGTCACGGCGCTCCGGGAACTCGACGAACAGCTTCTCCACCATGGCGGTGACGATGTAGCCCGGGGAGATGGTGTTGACGCGGATGTTGTACTGGCCCCACTCGGCGGCGAGGTTGCGGCCTAGCTGGATCACGGCGGCCTTGCTAGCATTGTAGGCGGGACAGATCAGACCCTATTGATTGAAATTAGTATGTTTGGAAGGAAGAAGTGGGTGATACGCGAAAGGGTAAAAAGGCGGGGGCACAGGATCGCAGTCCAGTCCGGCTCGTGACCAGACCCCTGCCAAAACAGCCACCCGTGTCGGGGCTGACAAGGGGGATCCCGGACAATAGAGGCAAAAATGCGGGGAAATAGCCACCGCACGACCCAGGAGAAAACCCCAAGAAAAAAGAAAGAAAAATGTTGAGACGCTCAATAGAGGGGTGGGAACGTACCCGATTGGCGATGGTGCCGCTCATACTCGCGATCATAGCGATGCTGCCCCCATTCCCAAACCGAATCATCTGCTTGGCCACAGCCTGGGCGGTCATAAACACGCCGGTCACATTGACCTCAAACATGGTGTTGGAGTCCTTGGCCGAGTACTCCAGGGCGGGGGTCTCCTGCTGGATGCCTGCAGCGGCGACCAGGCCATCCATACGGCCCTCGGCGTTGGCGATGGCTTCAATGACATTGTTGAGCAGCTCTGTGTCACGCACGTCAATGCGACGATAGTGCAGCTCTGTGCCCAGCTCCTTGGCGCGTTGCTGGATTTGGGCGAACTCGGGAGCCTGCATTCAGTTCGTGAGTGGACGTGTCACCAGAAAAACAGTAAAGCTAAAAACATACCGGCTCCTCCAGTCGGTCCAATGCGTACACCTTCGCTCCGGCTTCCAGGAGTGCCTCAGACTGGGTCAGGCCCAGACCGCGGCCGGCGCCGGAGACGCAGACTACCTTGCCGGCGAGACTGAACTCGGGCATGCGAGCCTGCTGGCCCATGAGGACGGGCTGCTGAGTGGCCACGGGGGCGGTGGGGACGGTTGTGGTTTCAATGGAGACGGACATTGTGTTGTGTGTGAGGGAGGATATTAATAAAAGTATTAAGGCTGGAAGGAGAATCAGAGGAGAGGAAGGTGGTGAGGGTGAGATATTAGTGAGGCAGATGAAATGGAAATGTCAATGGCAGACCATCAACCGTGGACATCGCGGACCATTAAATATTGTTTCCAGCCAGACACGGCCAGGAAATTCCGGCTACATGGCCCACGCTACGACAGGTCTCGTGAACAGACAGAACCTGGCACCGCGCCCGAATGGGGCAGAACCCCAGGCCATGGTAGTGGTCCAGACCCGGGGAAGGCGGGTAGCTGCCAGGCGTGGCGACCAAGGCATTGTGCACAGCGGCAGCGGCAAACCGGCTCGCAAGGACATCGTAGTCCTGTAGGTAGTATCGGCGACCCTCCGAACAGGTTCTAGCACGCCAGAGAAGAAAAAAAAAAAAAACAAAAAGGAATATTGAAGATCGGCAGGGAACGAGCGACGATCGGATTACTGTTTGAGGGAAGCCGATCCGCCCCACCGTTTGGCAGGTGACCTGGGGTCAGGTGGTCTGGACTGCCCTAGTTGTGCGTCTCCTAGCTACACTACGGCGATGGGATTCATGATGATGTACTCGAAGAAAAGAAGAAGACGAAGTACAGTCATTGATAAACACATCAATACCCAACACCTCCCTCACAGTCCCTGTGTCCCAGGGACACCTAAATATAGTCCTGCCAGACCCGCCTAAGCTACTTGCCCGTTCTGGCGATCCCGGGAGATCCACTCCCCGGCCTCGTGAACACTTAATTCGCAATAAACTGCGCCTCCATTGTTTTCTGGATTCTTCTTTTTGCTGTTTCTTCCTGCCGCATAGCCGGTATCAGCAGACTTCTCTCTCCCTCATTCCAGAAATCTCTGCCGATGGTGCTATTCCTGTTCCTCGCCATGTACCTCGGTCGCGCGGCTCGTACCTGCACCCGGAACCATATCCTCTCGTCCTACAGTACACAGTGAGCAGCGAGTACAACTTCCCAGAGTCGATGAACGAGCCCAGGCCCGTCTCGATGTGGGGCCGAGCTGCCAGCGTGACCCGGCAGATTTTTTGATCGACACGACAGCCCGATCACTTACCGACACGAAGACCACCGCCTGGCCACTGCGAGAACTGCTTTTGCATGTTTTAGCATGGGCCCGTGCCCTGACCCCTCTTGCCCCTGATTTCGAGATTGGCCCCTTGCTGCACGTGGCGTTTTCTTTTCCGCTGCTTATGCAGTTCCCCTCGGGCTGACTCTCGGCGGAAAGCCGGGGGATACTTCGCTCGATCGCTCCCGAGGAGTAGTCGCATGGACCACTCTACGTCTTTTGCTTCGGCAAAGGTTTGTGGAGACATATTGTTTGAAGGCTAATTGAGTTTCTCCGGAGTACGTACTCATGGGAGGCTGCTAGTTGCTTGTTAGAGCAGGATCAGAACCAAGCCACGAAACAAAAGTACACTCTCAAATGGTGGTTGAATATTGAATCCGATCATAGACGAAACCTGCATAATCAAGCCAACAGACTGTGGGACCAAATATGCAGTGAGTGTGATTTGATACGAGATTCATATATTCTGAACTGCTGTGCACCTGCACACATCTCAGATACCGAGACGGGATGGCCCAGGATCCCAAACCTTCTATGGCTCGCCAACTGGCGAGGAAGCGCGGACTGCATGTGGATATATAGGTATGTCATGCCGTTATAGCAAGGATAATTTCCTATGTAAATTTGCAGACCGTTTGGCAGAGCAATTGTTCATGACCTTAGTGCAGCAAAACGGTGCTGCCTAGATTTCAAAGACTTGCTCCCGGATGACACTATTAGCAGCACGTATCAACCCATAACCACATCCAGCTCCATTATCAACGGCTCCGCCATATATGTTGATAGAAAATAGAAGCTGACAACACTTCGGCGCCTGCTTTCCGTTGGAGCATGTAATGGAGTTCTGCCTCTCCACGAGCGGAGATGCTATGCTCTACGCTCTCACGATTTGATTCGCAGAAAATAAATCCGGAGTGCGCTAAATAATTTTCGTTAACCGCTCTGTAATGTCGGCAGAACTGTAATGGTAGTGACCCTACTCCAACCTATGTGTCATCGTGACCGTTAACTTAGTTAACTAACTGTGAGAGTGTCTGACGGGCGTATGCGCAAGTAATTCTACCTAGTAATCTCATTGGAGAATGATGAAATCGATACTATTCAGATTGTCTATTCTGGTGGTATTTATAGGGCAGACAAGCGGGAATTGTCGAAGTGAAAAATGGACGTGTAAATTCCACATCGGGAGCCAGCTTCTATAACTAATAGTTAGGCAATGGTGGTCAGGTGAGTAAGCGCTAGAATGCAGCAGATGCGTCCCATTGTAAATTACCAGGTGGAGAACCGCCCTGATACGAACCTAATGTCCCATGGAATCACGCAGAATCGCTTGGTAGTTTGTGACGATCTGCCAAGATCGCCCGCTGCTTCCCCCTCCCCACAAAAGCTCCTAGAATGCTCCTCGCAAACTGCCCAAAAGAACGGGCCTACTGACATCGGTGTCTACTGATCATGGGCGGCTGGGATGTGTATTGCGCGATATGTGGCTCGACATTCAATAGCAGTCTCTCCATTGATTCCGATGACGAGACTGATCTAACATACAGCGGAGAAGTAATTGGCGAGAGTGATCTTCAATGGCTACAAACGCTCCGCGCCCTTGGTCGCAATGCTAACAGCCCTGACGAGAGAAAGTCAGTAATCTTTTTGTTTCATGAATCCACGTGCTTATACTATTACGTACAGATCTTTCGTCACAGGCCTTGGTGTTTATAATGACCATGTGAGTGACTCTTTGATCATGCATAGCAGTCAAATACTCTAACAGGGACTTTTAGGGTAGTATCGTGATGGATCCAGGCGACGGTTGGATTAGATCGAAACTTCTAGGCCTTGTATCTTGTCTGACTCTGAACTAGATCCTAATGTTCCTCTTGATGAAAGAGGCGAAATGCCGTGGTTGTGCACGTATGTTTCATTTTCTCTACCCTGCTGCGGTATTAATTCTCTCTAGATATTATGATCCCAGCAATCAGGGAGACCAAATTGTCTTTCCTTTTCATGAGGTCTGCTATAAGGACATTCTTCTCCGATGTTTCAAGTATGAGAAGATAAATACAGACGTGTTTCATGCTCTCTGCGAAGAGTTGAGAGGAGACTGTCTCAATGGGCTAGGGTTAGATTACGGCAATCCTTGTCCGCCCTATGAGCAATATTGGGAATGTAGAAAAGGCGAAGAGGTACTTCGCATCTTCACTTAGATGAAATGAGGTTTTGCTAAGGGAATAAACCAACAGGTCCTGGTGACGCATCCAGTCAAGATAGCTCAGCTGATGACTTGCCTGGGAACGATTCAAGACCTCCTCGTCGCTGAGGAAAAGAAAAGTTTGGAGTCTCGGACGATACAATGCAGCCACGACATATTCGACAAGCTGCCCTATGAGTTACGGCAGAAAATATTCAACCTTCTTCCAGTTCCATCCGTTCTTGCTCTTAAAGCGGCTTCTTGTTCGATGCATGTTTGTCCAGATGGATCCTGGAAACAGAAGCTTGAAACTGATATACCTTGGCTTTGGGAAGTTCGTGATATTGACCCATTCAAATCACAAGCGCTAGAGGCTAGGTTGTCTAAGATGATTGCAGACCTTGAAAAAAAAAGCCAATATACAGAAGGGACGGTTGATTATATTCCTGGGCTGGTGAACCGCAGGCGGATTTGGCTGGTTTGTGAACAGATTAGAAGTTTGTACTATGACAAACTAGCGGAAGCGGGAGGGCAACAGCTTGATAGCTAGGCAGCCCTAGCTGGTGCTAGGGGAATCTTCGCTGCCTTCTAGGCAAAGAACGCTAAACCCTGAAATGTGTAGTGGGAATGCGCTAGGAGTGCCGCAAGAATAGAGAACAGACAATTAGGTTTTGACATGCATGCCTTGAAGCCAGTGACACTCTACAGTAATAGGATAGATAACTCGCAGCAACTGAGGTGCATTCTAGTAGTAATGTGACTATCAAAATCTTGACGAGCACACTCCGTCGCACCTGATGTTATCAACATCTACTACCTGTTCTGCCGTATGTGCAGCCGCTACAGAAGATAATGGCAGATAACCAAAGCAACAGGTCCAGCGTCTCTCTAGATAGATTGGAAGAAGAAACAATACCAAGTATTAATACATTTTTATGCCGCTATTCACTTAATGGTCATTATAAAGATTATCGCTATACACGTTGCATTGCCCCCACAGAGACCAGAGACTCTCTATAGTATGTGCCACGGAAGAAGGGATCCAGACCCTCATATCTCGGAGCCATACCCGAAGCGGATCCAAGACTTCATGTTGGTGATCCTAAGTGGGTAATCACGATAAGCGACCCAACCGGGTAGGTTATGCCGACACCTGCAATATTGGGAAGAAGGTACCATTGAGGGGTTAATTTGTCCCCGCACATCATATATCACCAGCGGAAAACCGAAGTTTTATATCTTCTATTCTGTAAACAAAGGAGAAAATAATTGCATATATCACCATGACGACTAAGGCAAATGTTCTTATTGTCGGGTGTGGTGGTGTTGGCACGATGGGGGCGTATGCGCTCGAGACCGGCGGCCTTGCGACCGTGAGTGCAGTGCTCAGATCAAACTATGAGACTGTCATGGAGAAGGGCTTCTCGATCGACTCTATTGAGCACGGCAATGGCATCAAGGGCTTCAAGCCGTCACAGAGTGTGTATCTTACAATTTAATCTGGTAGGCTCCACTAATGCAGCGGATTCTAGTTCTCAACAAAATCCCCAATGTCAGTGCAGACCCGAGCTTGAAATACGACTTCATCGTTGTCACGACCAAAAATATCGCAGACGTGGGACCGGGCGTGGAGGAGATCATTGAGCCCGCTGTGACGCTGGGCCACTCAACGATTGTGTTGCTGCAGAATGGACTGAACATCGAGAAGCCGGTGATTGCCAAGTTCCCGAACAATGTTGTTCTATCTGGAATCTCACTCATCGGGGCGACGGAGAGGCCTAAAGGCCACATCGCACATGATGACAGCGACTCACTGAAGATTGGGCCGTACGAGTCTCCCGGTGTCAATCGCGACACCGCAGTCGCGGCGGCAAAGCATTTCGTCGAGATTTACAATGCGTGTGGTAAAGTTGACTGCACATTTGACGAGGATGTGGCTTTCACACGGTGGAGGAAGTTGATCTACAATGCGTCATACAATTCCGTGTGTACCATCCTGCGCTGGGATACCCTTCGAATGCGCATGTACGAGCACACCATCGACAGTCTCATTCGGCCTGCGATGCTAGAAATTAAAGCTACTGCTAGGGCAGCCGGCGTGAATCTGCCGGAGGATATCTGCGAGGTGATGATAGCTGTGGACCCGGACGGCGTGTACTGGAAACCGAGCATGTGCCAGGATATTGAGAAGGTATGTTGCCTGAATTTTGTCAAAGGCAAATCACTCAATTCTTCCAATAGGGAAATTTTATTGAGTACGAGAACATCGTCGGGGAACCAGTCCGGGAAGCCCAGAAGCTGGGTGTGCCCACACCCGTGCTTTCAACGATTTATGGAATGCTCAAGTCATTACAGACGATGACTATGGAGTCGAAGGGCATGATTTCTCCCGCTTGGAAGGAGAACGCTCGGTATAAGTAGTAGAGTGAAATAGTAGAGTGAAAGACAAGCTATATATTCAATATATTCGACAGCTCTCTGACGAGGTACAGTGCTGTGCCTGATCAGGATTAGTAGGTGCAAACACTACATCACGGCTTATCGAAACAATCTTGAATATCACAAACTAGGAGTCAAATACCTATATACAGATCCGATATCTCACCGGATCTCTTTTCACTTCTGGCCAGGCACAAACCCATAATTATCGTCACCTTTGCAACACAATCCACCCTCGTGGGACTTTCATAAACATCCCGAGAGCATAACCCGTGGTCGTCATTCACGTTTAACTAAGATTTTACTATCGGAAAGATAGGGCTTCATCGACTCCAACCTCAGGTCAAAGGGCAATATCGCGAATGCACGGATGTCATTATCGTGGGCTGATCTAGTCCAAGCGAATCGGCACATGCAATTTGTACAACATGTCTACCTGCTACGTATTTAATCCTTACTAGAACTTATGGGTTCTCACGAAGCAGAGGACATGCATAAATGGATGCATTATATTAAGAGAGACAGATACCTGCAGAGGCAAATACAACCCGTCCTATCGGGTTGTCGCATCAAGAAACCAATCAAGTCCCACCAAAAATATGTACAAGAAAACCGAGAGGGGCATTGTCTCAAGAAATTTCCCAGCTTTTCTCTTTCTGTATCTCTTCCATCTTAATCCCAAATTCCGATCGGATGCACATAAGAACTGAGACATATGAACCCAAAAAGCGAAGATGCAACCCAGTGAACCCCCATGCATGAAAAGACATAAAAAAGACAACGCAATTCTCAAGGGATATGGGAGTGACGTGAAAACCATCATAATAATGTAAGACATGAAACGAGGAGATGAAGAGACGAAGATATGGCCGGCGATGCAATCGGAAAGACACAAAATTCAAAAGATAGTTTTTTGGACAGCGAGCTTCTAGGCATCGCGCCAGCCCCAGATGCGTTTTTGCTCGTTGATATACCAGACACCGACTTTCTCGGCGTCCTGGAGCCACGCGGCGGCATCTTCCCCGTGCTTGTCATAGACGTCTTCGACCAAGTCATCCAGGGACCACGAGGATATGGGCTCTTTCTCGCCGGGGTCTACGCCGACATCGGTGAAGCGGTACTCGAAGTCTTCCTTCATGGGGAGGATGAGGCGGTAGGGGACGTCCGCGGCAGACACGGCCATCATGGCGCCGCCAGCATTGACCATGCCCATGTTCCAGACAGAACGTCTCAAAGGACCCTTGCGATGGGACCCGCGCTCATCGGAGGAGCGTTTTATGTGAGATGATGTTGAGCCCGTGGTGTTGACCTCTTCGCCGAAATGCGGGTTGGTGCCTTCGGGGATATAGTCTGTATCTGGGTGGTGATGGGGTGGCTCTTCGATTGAAGAAAGGAAAGGTCGCAGAAGAGACTGGCCCTGGTATTCGGGCAGCAGGGAGGCAGCAATGGCGGCGTCGTTCGCAGGGAGTGACTTGGTCTGAACGAGAAGATCCAGGATGGTCGGGAGGATGCTGAGGGCGGTTGCGTTGGCGGCGATGTCCACTCGGGGCATTTGGGGATGACGGAATACCAAGGGAACGCGGTAGTTGCTGATATGGCCATTGTTATAGGTACCAGTGTGGTCACGGTCGTCCTCGCCGAATGCTTGGCCGTGGTCACCAACCACGACCACCAGGGTCTGATTCGCAATGCCCGCCTCATCAAGCATACCTAGAATGTCGCCTATCCAGTTATCGACGAAGCGCGCCGCATTCAGGTAGTTGTTCATCAGATCATGGTTTATGTTGCCCTGATCAGCCACGTACGGCACTTTAGTGAAGTTTTCCGGTGTGCTCCACGGATGGTGTGTTGTGCTGGTGACATGAGAGAGGAACAGACGCGTGTGGTTCTGGACAGCCTCGTCGATCAAATCCTGGATATACGGCCGCAGCTCAGTTTCGGCATAGCCGAAGTAGTTGATCTCCTCGCCATCGGGCTTGTGTTTCGCATTCTTTGCCTCCAGCGTTTTCTTGACAACCTTGTGCTTGAATCCAATGTGATCATTCAGGATATCCTGGCGGTCATAATCATCGGTGATGGACTGCAGGAACACAGACTTCCAAGGATTGCTGAACGGCTCTGGCGTCAAGGTCTTGTTGCCCCGATTCTTGAGTTCGTTGAACAATTCCAAGATCTGCGGCAGACATGGCTGGTAGATCTCAAGTAATGACTCTTCCAACAGATCCACAGGCAACGGATTCACACCACAGTGGCTGTTGAGAAAGCTCTTGAATGTTAAGGAGCTGCCCGTCACGGCGCCACGAACGTTGATCCCTCCCATGCCTTCTGCTGCAGTATCTTGCCAAGTGGCATTGCTCAGGTCGGCAAGCTTGCCCTTGCTATCCGTGGCATACTCGCCCGTCAGCATCTGCGCCACGGGAGTCGCCCCCACCAGCCGGTCGATCGCCGCGTCGTAGTTCGCCACCTTATGCGAGGCGAGCAGGCCGTCAAATAGCGGAGTCCCCTGCTGCACGGGAAACATGTCTTTGCGGCCACTCTCAAGTGTCAAGACTATGATGTGCTCGATCTCGACGGGGTGATCTTGAAATGCTTTCTGTAGGGGCTCATACATGTGGCCGTCCAGATTGGAAATCTTGAGCGGGTCCTTTTCCGGATAATAGTAGCCCCCTTCATCTCCATTACAAACATAGGCATAGTGGTTATCGGCCTCTCGGAGATCGGCAGGGCTGGTATCCAAGCGTCTAAACCCCGGGCCTGGGTTCAATGGGAGCCACGCTGGCCGGATCCATTCCTCCTCGCCATCTTCCGGCTTGACTATATGGTGAAAAGACGCCGTGCTATCCTCCTCCCACAGGGGAAAGGGAAGCGAAGGAGTACGGCAACCCTTGGCCACATTGGCTTTGGAGTGAAAAGCATCCAGAAGCGTGACTGGGAGCGCCCCCGAGAGATGGTCGTAAGGCACCGATGGCCTTGTGAGCTCCAGAAACAGAAGCGAAACGCAAGCGGCGGTGACGGGCAGGAGACGACGAAGCGAGCGCGGGTCAATCGCCGGAATGCGCGGTTTGGCAGAAAGCGAACGAATGGTCGATGGGAGTGTCTGCGGCGCTCTCAAACCGCCCAGACACACTTCTCGCAGGCTGTGCAGGCCTATCCCCGTCCAGTGGTATAGCTGCGAGTGGATTAGCCACGCTACCAGGCCCAACACGGTCCCGGCGGCGGAGACGGTCGAGATGCCGCTCAGCAGGATCTTCATGGCCGCCGGATCACTGATGAAGGAGTTGCTGGCCGACCAGGAGACTTCGGCGCCCGTCTGCATGAAGAAACCGATCTGAATGGAGCACGCGCCCCACGTGGCTAGGCTGAAACCACACCGTCAGCTGTGTTCTCCATGGTTTTCTGGGAGGTAAACATACGACAAGAATGCCCCAATCGCTGTAGATATCCATTGCCATCGGGTTTCCGGTGCTGGATATTGAAGTAGCCACCGTCCGCAGATAATGACCAGCACATCGGGCAGCACGAGGGTCGGCGAGTAGAGAACGAAGTAAAGGAAAGGAAGGGAGTTGAAATGCAGCGCAAGATGCAGGACCTTGGAGGTGAGGCCGCCCACGACGAGGGCCGAGAAAAGGAACGGCGTTACCGGTGGGAAGAAGGGTAACCGCAACATGGCGAGATCAGCTCATGGTCGACCGGGTGGATCGGTTGGTTGGTTTGATTTGCGCGAGATGGGAAGGACCAGCTGGGCGCGTCGGCGGAAACGGAGAGGAGCGTCAAGTGCAAAGGGAAGGCCAGACGAGAGGAAAAAGAAGGGAGGGAAGGGAATGACTGAGCAGGAATGGAGGAGAGGAATGTGCTGTCCGGGTCAAACAATTTCTTAGACAAGGCCGGGGACAGACCCAATTAGGGCGCGACGATGTGAGACCAGCACGGCGCGCTAGACCCGGTTAGGCAGTTTTGCACACGATCTGGAGAGAGTGGCCCGGATGCACCGGAGAGAAAAGACCCTGCAGTTTTATTTTTATTACGTCCCAACTCTTGAGCCGACCCAGAGCCTCCCCTGCGCCCCCAAAGACAATACCCGCACCGAACGACCCCTTTCCTGAGTAATAATCCCTGCCGTCGCTTAACCTGATAGCGTGCCCGTGCACTGCCCCTGAGCGGTGTGCCGGGCACAACGGCCGCTGAAAAAGAAACAGGGTCCCATAGTAAGAATCTAAACCCCGGAATCCTCGCAGATCGCACCGGTCCATCCTGTGGCCCACGGGATCGACGTCGGTCAATTGACATACATAGTACGTACTCGGTAGGATGGACCCAATAATAATTAAGTCGATGTGAGGCAACTCGCGGTAGGGACTAGCGCAAAGTGTAATTGACAGGGGAGCGATGCTGGAAGCGACGCTGACTGGCAGAGCCGCACCCGTGGCCTACACTGCCCCGATCCAGAGCTAGTCTGGTCTCTCGCCCCATCCGTTCCTTTCTGCTGCCTAATTCCAAGAGTGTTCCCATTGTGCGGGTTACTGCGATCATAATAATGGGAATCATAATGGGCATCATAGAGGAACCGACGGTCTATGTCAATGTCCGAGACAGGAGGGAAACGCACAGTAGTCCGAGTAGTCTGCCAATATATACAACCCCTGCATCTCAGCCCAGCCCCGCCCAGCCCTACCTACTCCTTCTGGGAGTCCTTCAAGTCACCTCGCTCCTTAACCATCGCCGCCACCCCCCTACCCACGTCAGACTCCAATCCCTCCAATCCCTGGATCACACCCTGGCGATCCCCCGCGCCCATCTCCTGACTCATCTTAAACTTGCCCTGCAGGCGCTCAATGCGAATCTCGACTCCGATAATATTCTTCCTCAGCAGGTTGACATACGAGTCAGGCGCATCGGACACCTTCCACGGCGCGGAGGCGCCCATGATCGACCCCTCCGCGTGCTGCGAGAGATCCTCGATCTGTGTCTGGAGGAAGCGCTGCGTCTCCTCGGACTTGCTGTCGCAGTAGACCTTGATCCGCCCGTAGGCCTGCGCGGCGGCGTAGTTCCACGTCGGGACGACCTTGCCAGTGGCGGGCTTGGTTTCCGTATAGAATTTAGGAGTGACGTAGTGGTGATGCGGAGCGTTGAATAGGACCAGGACTTCGTCTGGTAATTCTAGGCTGTCTTTGCCGCTTGCTTGTTCCGCGGCCAGCGCTTCCATCAGCGCCTTGGCTTGCGGGTTCGCTCTGGCGATGTGCCCGCGCAGGATCCCGTTGGAGACATTCTCGTTCTCCTCGCTTGTGGGAGGCACATCGAGCAGGAAGGGGATGTGGCTCGTCTGGATGAATGGGTGGTCGGTGGATTTGATGGCGGTCGTGAGGAGACCGAGCGGGTTGTCGTGGATGAGTTGTTGGAGCACTTGCACGCTCTTCTCGACGTGTGCGGCTCGGAGATACATTATGTAGGCAATAGATGTTTGTTTCTTGCACAGTGAGTTGTCCTTGTCGCTCTTCTCCCGTCCGATATCTTCAATTCGAGTAATCGCATAATCTGGTGATGTGATTGGTAGTCGGCGCCGACCCACACTTCAGTTATCGAGTATATCAACACACCCTTCTAAAACAGTGATCAACTCTAGCGGCACAATCCCAATGTCCGGCGTATATATGTGAGAGCAAAAGATAGGATAATAGTCAAACTACTCTTACACCCTTAAAACATGGGGATGCCTTTTACTTCGATTCCCATCTGGAGGGATCGGCATGGGAAAGATGGTTGATCCAGTCAATGAAAAGCAGACAGTGGCAGCCACAGCAACCAAGTAATCAGGTCTGTGGTTCAGTTCATCTCGACAACGCACTAATTATCTATTAGAGCCCGAGCATACATAGGACTAGGAACTGCGCCCAAGGTACCGAATTGTATGTAACAAGACAATAAAGTATGTGTGTATGGCCCTGGACTAACCCATCCCAACAGCAGACCAATGCTTTGGCTCGTGCTGTAGACCACTGCCCAACCGCAAAGACCACCAGTGTTTTGGAGCATGCTGCCGGGGCGGATGCCAAGGTTTCTTCCAAGGCTGGTGGAAGAGGGAAACCGTGTTCGAGGGCCTAAACTGTCAGGCAGGACTCTGATATCCGAAACGGGCTTAGTAGTTGTCCGCCGAAGTTGAATGGTTTCATTCTGCTCCGCCAGCAGGATAAACCAGTCAGGGGCTATCCAACACTAAGCTTGGGCATTTGAAAATCAAAAATAAGATATAAGTTTTTATGCTCCATGATGGGCCAAGAAACCACCCATAGGGTAGACAGACCATCACGACATGAACACCGCCACGGCATAAAGCATGTAACAAGACAATAATAAAGCAGTAGCCAAAAAAGTTCACCTGGCTGTTATACCGGCCGCCAGGCTATGAAACAGCGCCCTCTACCCGACTCAACCTTTGGCAGGCAGTGCAACGGGTCGCTGATTTCGACAGTGGTCTGCAGTCCACCGGATTCCAGCGCCAGCTGCAGGCTGGTCTCACCTGGAATCGAACAAGGCTCCTTTGAGCGCCGAGGAGCGGCCTGCCCACTCGACTAGTCACCTCTGTTGTTAACAGAGAAGGAGGTACAGGGGGCATAACCGAGCAACGGTTATTGTTTTATATGGACGTAGTATCCATTCTCCAGTTGCATTCCCGGATTGATGGCTGTATGGGAGACACGAATTAGAGATTTGACGGTCGAATAATAATATACAGAGGTATCATACTCATCCACCCTGCGCACCGCGCCATCCGTATACTTCCATCCCCGTATATATGGCCACACATCATGCAACAGGCGACACCAACCCATCCTTACCCAGCTTCTCCATGACGCCAGGGCTTAATCGCAACAGTCTCTCAATCTCAGCCTGCGGCAGACCCTGCCGATCCCGCATCCTCAGCGCCGACTGGATCGTGAAGGCATCCACAAACTGGCGACCACCACGGCCCGTGAGCCCGATCTGCTCGGCTTCGTCTTCCGCCGCCTTGGCAATTTGTTGTCGCGCTTTCAAAACCAGGAGCGCTGGGTTGGTGCCCTGGGGGAAGACGGTCTGCGGGGAGGTGTCCTGGCGGTTGAAGGTGCTGGAGTGCGATAGGGTTGGGGATGGGTTGACGGGGCCGATTGAGCGGAGAGAGGCTGCGAAATCCGGATCGCGACCGTCGAGGTCAATTGCTGTGTAGTTGATGGTTAGTTTTGTGATGTGGTTGTGTGGCTAGGGGCGCCGTGCAGGACAGTGGCAATTCTGGGCCTACGGGCTAAACGTACCGTTTGACTTCACGCTAGAGGGCTGCTCCTTCGAGTGATATGTTGGCCCTTGTGATGTAGGAGCTTGTGATGGTTGTGGCGGTTGAGCAGCGGTGGGTGTTGGTGCAGATGTAGGGGTTGGTGTTGGTGTCGGAGCGGCATTGGTGTCACTCGGCGCGGTGGCCGGAGAGCTCAGAGGTCCTCTCGTGGAAGGAGCAGGTTGTTTGGGATATTGGCGTCGTGCAGCAGCACCGGCCGCTGTGCGGGCAGGTTTCGAGGCAGCAGAACCCATGGTGACTGGTAGTTGGAGGAGGTTGAAGTGGTGATGCGGGAAAAACGCCCGAAAGGCTTGGCGGTGGATCAGAGCCTATCAAAACAGAGATCCAAATCTATGATTGCGTATCAAAATAGTGGGAAGAAATGATTTTGAATGAGGTATAATGCATGCTATTGGGACTTGGTACGGCTATAGTAGGCATTTTCTCATGCAAGTGCTAGATGTCGAATGCCTGCCTCTAATGAACTCGAATGGACTCGTGAAGAAGTGTCGGATTGAAGATGGATATCATCACAGCTAAGATACAAGAGGAGAGCACAACGGCCGTCTCTAGGATGGCCGCTTTGAAGTCCTTGCGCAGCTTGCGGCGAAGGTGTAGTGTCATCAAGCGATGCATTTATCGCAGACCGGCAAGGCGCCGGCCCTGCACCTCGCCCAGAGCGCGGCTGCCGCTCACAAATGCAACTACCCCGACTACAGCCACGGCGGGCAGAGTCTGGAAGAGATTCCACGAGGTATAGTAGAGGAAGAAGATTCCTTCGAACGAGATCAGGGATCCCAGGAACACGGCATGGGGGAGGGGCGCCAACTTCAATGCGGCTGAGAGGTGGTTCACGTTGGCACCGAGGAAGAGCCACTGAAGATCAACACCGATTAGCTAGTTCCCTTGAACGCTGTGGGTAAACACCTTACCAGGCCAGCCAGAATCGGAAGAGCCGCTGCGACCAGGGCCACAAAAGCCAAAGTAATGATAACCGGCGGGTTCGTGGGGTCCTCCTTGAATATGTGGTGAATCTCAGGCTGCTTGCCGTATCGCGGGATGTCGACGGTCGGCACGGGCCCGTTGGGGTCGCGCTCGACAGTCAACTTGAAAGCCGTGCTGTCGTACGGCTCAGAACTGCCGAATGAACCGATGACGATGCGGGCATCAAGAGGATCTGAGGCGGAAAGGAATTGAACCGGGAGGTCTTTTTGGGTCTAGGGAAGCTTCCGTTAGCTCTTGGTCTGCGCGGGACGTTGAGGAGGGGATGTGTACCAGTTCCACCCGGGCCTTGCCCGTATCCTTCACAGTAAACGGATAAGAAACATCCAATCCGGTCTGAGTATCCTGCAACAGAAGGAAGGCCTGGTGTGGCCGCTTGGCCGAGCTTCCTTCCTGCGTGGTGAGGATAACGCGGAGGGTATCGGCGACTGCGAGCGAGACGGGCTTCGACAATGGCTTGGAGGAGGATAGCCTGCGATCGCAGAGGACCAAAGATTAGCTTGCGATCTCACCAGATTCACAGTGTGAATTCATACTGTTCCTTCAACCCCGCGTTAACACCGGCGCCCTTGGATTGAACTGCCACGGTGGCATCAGTATAGCCCCAGGCCGACGCGGCGGCGGCCGGCACAGCGACCGAAGCCAGCAGGCAGAATTGAACAGTGGCCTGCCATAGATGCATAGTGAATACAACAAACAACAACAATGGAGTTCAATTGAATAGGTGATGAATGAATGGAGTTGGAAGTGAAGGGGAGGTGCAGAATAAAGGCGGAAGACAAGCTGATAAGCCCGATCGAGGCCCGTAGTTAGCCCTAATTTCTTTTCTGCCTTCGACCCTCGACACCTTCTTCGTTGCTCTCTGCTCTGTACACCTCCCAGTCTCGGCTTTTTTCCTTTCGTTTTGTCTCTCTACCTGCTCTACTTTCTTCTCTCTGCTACTTTTTCATCCCGCCACTCCCGCTTCTCCGATACCTCGGCTTGCCCTAATCCTCAACTTCCTCTCCTTCCGCAACTCCGGCAGCAGACCTCTGACGTCTACCTTTCCTCTTTCTCCGCACCCCACGGATAGGCTGTGTACCATGACCATCGAACTTCTGGACTGAGTCCTGGTAGGTTTTTGGTCTTATTTCTGCACTTGGTCGAGGTGTGGCGACATGTGGTGCTGTAGTGTTGCTATTGCAACTGCGTGCACCCTCGGTGGCTCGCCTTGCCCTACTTGCCCTACTCCCTTCCCCCGCCACAACACCACCTACACAACAGACGGCTGACTCTGCTCCGTGCCAAGTAGAACCTTTCGAGTTAAAGCTTCACTTACCGAATACTTGAAGCTGTGTTCTGCGTGTCCAAATAGAAAATACACCCGCCTTTTACTTCGGGTTCTCTCGCGATGCCCCCCAAGAGGGGACAACGGCTCAAGCTGGGCATGCCCCGGTCAGCCGACAACCACACACAGCGCAAGTCGCTTCCATCCATGGTGGCGCCTGCCAGTAATGAAACCAATCACCATCCCGCAAGTGCTACTCCAAAGCGCGGTAGGGCTCGCAAGTCCATGCCGGGCCGGGTCCACGGAGTTGCCACCCCCGAGGAGAAGAAAGATAGTCCTCGCAACCGCAATGTAACCCCTCGTGGTCGCGGTCGTGGTCGCGGTGGACGCGGCCGTGGACGTGGACGTGGCCGCGGTTCTTCTCTTTCCACCCCAACGGCTTCGACTCGTCGCGATGGCCGGCCCACCAGGACCCCTCGGAGCAAGGAGGGATCCGATGACTGGAATCCGGCGACCAAATCTTCGCCCGATCACCCTTTCACGCACGACTATGACGTGGAGTCTCCATCTAGCGATGAAAGCTCGCAATTCTCGACACCTGAAGTGCCTTCGACACGTCGTCGAGGTTTTCAGTCGCGGCCATCCCGCTTGTCCAACGTTTTCACTCCGACTGTGGATACGCCCAGCACGAACCAAGGCAGCCGCCGGACTCGTCGCAGGACTACTCTTAACACTCCAAAGAACCAAATGTCTGGCCAAGAAGCCCCTGACACCATGGACACCACTCGGTGGACGTATGATGACTACATGTCTGAATTTGGGTTTGACGGATCGATGGATCTTCCTGAACCCCCAGCATCTCCGAGCGCTTCATCGGGCAACACACGGGCTTCTGTGCGTGTTCGAAAGCCTACTCTCAGAGCCATGGAAGCTTTGCAATCCCAGAAGAAACCCCGGACCCATCGTGGTCTCACACTAGCCGCCGAGGAAAAAGCTCCCCCCGAGGAGCCGCCTCGCCGTACGATATCCGGTCGGGTGACGAAGAACTCCGCCAAGACTGAGCACACACCTGCTGCGAAAGGTCCCAAGCGCGGTCGAGGTTTGAAGCCCAAGACGGCTCTCCGGCGCCTTGAGATTGACACTGCTGTGGCCGGTAAGAAGATGTATGAATTAGCCGTGTTTTCTCTTGGCACAGAATATCGTGATCCCCATAATCCGAAGCAATTCCTCGCCGATATACGGAAGGAGTTCGAGGAACTCCAGGCGATGAAGGACAGCGGCGAAGAAGTGGAAGAAGCCGCCCCGAAACAAGATGTCGTGATGGCTGACACGGATGTCAACAACAACATCAACATCAACATCAACATCAACAGCCATGAGCGCACTGTTCTGGGCTTCTCCAAGAGATCCTCTCCGGAAATTGAGGCTGACGGATGGGTCAAGACTGGTCGTGTCAACCCTAGCGGTGAAGAATTCGTTATTATGCCTCGCGATCATAGCCCCTTCCGCTCGCCTCGTGACTATGGTGACGAGAGACTGCCAGGCCGACTGCGGTCTCAGCCGAAGGACCAGTTTGATACCGACGAGGTCTTTGGATACCCTCCTCGCGTGGGCGATCGCAACAAACCTGCAGACTTGGATTCTACATTCACACAGGAGAACATTGCGGAGGAGACGTCCAAGATGAAGACGCGTGGTTCAAATCGCAAGGCCAAGCCACTTGAGTCCGTCGAGAACAACAAGATCTCTTCCTCGCGAAAGCGTCGCCGCACTAAACCAGAGGAGAAGGATGACCACGACGAACCTAATCCTGCATCTCCTTCCGCTACGAATGGGGTCTCCGCACCAAAGCGAAAGAGACGTCGCCACACTGAGCCAGTTCCGACTGCAACGAAGGGATCTCCCGCTTCCAAGGCTACCAAGGGATCCGCGGCCAAGAGCGTTGCCAATGGTACCAAGACAGCTCCGGCCACTCCTTCCGCCAGCGAGGGACCCGAAAAGCCCAAGATCCAGCGTCTCCGTCTGACCCTGAAGCCCGCCAGCGACGGTCTCTCGTCGACGCCCACTATGAAGGGTAAGAAGCGCGGCGCGGAAGCGATCGCCGATGGTGCTAAAGAGTCGGACACTTCGCCCAAGCGACAACGCGTCACCTTCAAGGCCCACCAGGCCGCCGCGCCCAAGGGCAACTCTCTTACCCCGGCCAAGACCAAGAAACAGGATCCGGGCACTGAGAAGCTGGAGAAGCCCAAGGCAACGACTCCCAAGGCGACGACTCCCAAGGCGACGACTCCCAGGGCGACGACTTCCAAGCCGGGACCCAAGCCGGGCCCCAAGCCGGGCCCCAAGGGCGCCTCCAAGGGAGGGCCTCCTGGTGCGACGCCTGCGCGACGTGGTGGCCGCCAGGCCAAATGAAATTACTGTACTATCAGAAGTGAGGGTGATAGATTGGTAGATTCCCAATGAGTGGAATCTCATGTTTGATTTGCTTGATGATGAATGGCGTTTGTGATGGGTGGTGCATGCAAAAAAAGGGATCGCATAGCGTGGTGTTCATGTTAGATTTGCATGATTTGTCTGTTTGATATACCTTTTACTTTTCCAGTCCTTCTCCACTGGTCGCGGGGCCAGGAGGCTCGAGGGACCAGTGGGATGGTTCGCTTTATTATGGGCTTCGACCCTCCCCTCTCCAGAGGGTGGAGTGGGTCGAAGCCCGTGACGAAGATCCCCGGCGTTGGGATCACGCCCAATATCACTCTTTGAATATATTCCTCCTAGACTTGATTGTAGAAGACCTGCTTCATAATATTTATTCCACTATGGCATGCCATGGATGAATCGAGATTGCTGGCACATATATTGGGCCCGAGTCTATATTCTATCAACACTGTCTCCCTCACCATGTCACTAGTTAGTTCTCCCTTATTACTTAGACTAAGCCTATATCTTTTGATATTGAATAGATCCAGACCTCAGGTACGGATATATATTGTTGTATGTATCTGAAAAAGGGAGAAAATCGAATAGATTGCCGTTCTCTGCACTCTTGTCATAAGTTGGAGAATCAAATATTATGTACATATTGTATACAAGGAGATGGATACCCTTTCATGTTCAAATAAACAAACGCTCTCACTCTCAAGCCTAAGAAGACGAAGGAGAGGCTGAAGAAGTCTCCGGCTGCTGCTTCTTCTCGCCTTCCTGCTCTATCCGACGCAACCGCTTCGGACTCTGATCCCCATACACTACATCCAGCAGTCAGCAATCAGCACATAGCCACAGACACGACACGACAGGACAGGACCATTGTATCGAAGAAAGGAAAGGAAAAGAAAGAGAAGAAGTAGACTCACATCGCTCATACAACACATAAGAAGTGACCATGAAGATAGGCAGTGCCACAATCGTTGAGATCCACCTACAAGGTACAAGAGAAGGAGATTGTCAGCTATTGGTCATTTTCTGTTTGCTATTTGATATCAATTCATTTCCAAAACAATAAAAGTTAAAAGAAACGATGATGATACCATGTTACGGAACGCAAAACACAAACATACCTCCGCGCAGCAACTTTATACTCCTTAGTCTGCCGGATATCCTGCGCTCCTGTGGGGAGACGCGGTTTCGGAGTTGGACGGGAACCTCGTCGGGCAGATAAGGAGTTTGGGTCCACGACGCGCCGGGTTGGGGCGCTGTTGTTGCTATCGCCTTTGCTCGGGCCTGTCGAGGGGGCAGGCATTTTTCCGTTTCTTGTTCTTTTGTGACCCTGCCCGGTCTTTTGGTTCGCACAAAGGAAAATTAAAATGAAATCGGAATTCAGCAATTGATGTAGTGAATTGGGCGGGTTACATTGTCCGGCTGAGTGGCTCCGATGGTAATGAATTGATGATTGAAGAGATGAAGAGTCGAGTTGGGAAGTTCGGGCGGTTAGACTGGATGCCTGAGGCAGAAAATTATATTTGCAGTCAACAAGATGATCCCGCATTTTGTTGGCATTTAAATGGACAAGCACTGGATTTACAGTATGGATCCTTTTCTTTTGAACCAACACATTGACCCAATTGTGGCTTTACAGAGACGGGAAATGGGCAGAATATCCGTGCATTGCATTCGTTCATTCATCGCCTTGCCATCAAGTCAAATCAACCTCCAGTCAGATGCCCAGAGACCAAGAGAAGGAGAAAGAAAAAAACATCTACATCAAACAAAGATATGGTATCGATCAATCCAAAGCATGCACAGAGAAATAAGAAAAACATCACAGATCCCAAGGCAAAACCACGACGAAAATGCCCACTATGTACGTATGACGCCCAGTTCTACCCACCTAGCCAACCGCCGACTCTTATCACCGTCACGCAGCGACTCCCTGCATAGCAGAAGGATACGAGTCCCCCGGGTTGGGCAGCGGGAAAGAGGCAGCAGTCGTACTACCGGCGCTGGAGGGTTTAGTAGTGCGTTCACGCAAGCGGCGACCCTCCATCAGCCCGCGCAATCCTCGTTTCTGGAGCCCGATGACGCTGCTCAGATCCCCCGTCCAGATCTCGCGGTGTGGGCGGCGCATCTCTGTATCCGTGCGTCGGCGGTGGTGTCCGCGAGACTGCGAGCGGCCTTCGTCGCCACTGACGAATTCCGAGTCTGACTGGCTGAAGCTAGCGCTGGACGCAGAGGTTGCGGTGCTGGCGTTGCTGATGGAGTCTTCGCGGTCGCGGGTGGCGTGTTGGCGGGCTTCTTGTGCTTGTTGAGAGAGGGTGGTGTCGATGCGGAGGGAGGGGATGCCGCGCGCGAAATTGGCTAGGTCGCCTGTGCTGCTGGTGGCTGACTCGGGTAAGGGCCCGCCGTTCTCTGTGTCGGATGAATCGGACGCCAGCAGGACGCTGTTCTGAGATGCGTCTCCCTCGAAGGTACCCGGTACAACGCTGGCGCGGGTGTTGGCACCGTTCAGGGCTTCAAGAGTGCCGCCCATTCCGCCATCGAAGCCGGTACCGCGACCACCACCCGCGGCCATGGCGGCGGCGTTGAACACGGCAGCTGCGTTGCGGCCATCGAGCACTTGGTGCAGGCGCTCGACGATAGCCTCCAACAGGCCATCGATCTGATAGGGCCGCGCGAGCTGAAGGAGCGAGCAAAGGATCTGCGGTGTGCACAGAGAGGAGCTAGCTGGGGGGAGGGAGGACGTATAGAGGTAATGAACGAGGACCTGAATGGTCAAAACGGTATGAGGCAGGTAGAGCACGCGCGGTCGAGACGTCGGGGGCAGGACATGCGCCGAGGGAGTCTCCAGGTTCTCAAGCAGAGACTTCGGGGGAGCGGAGTTGCTGACAAGAGTAGTCGCAGTAGAATAGCTGCTGTTATGTCCGACCGATGGGGTGATGGTGATACTGGAGTTACGACTGGGATGGACATTCGACGGACGGAGCGTCCCAACATCGGCGACGCCCCCTTCCGACGACTCTCGTAGAAGCTGGATGAAATAGGGCCCCCATCGCCGAGCCATCACACGGGAATTGACGGGGATGCGCTCTCCGCCCACAGCCTGCAGCTCCATATCGGCCATCTCAGGCAGAGCCATGGCCAGCTTACCTAGCTCGTCGGAGGCCCTGGACAACGGGCGTCCACCCGTCGTCAATTGTGCCAGCTTCTGCTGCAATGACGCAGGGACGGACGGCGAGCTGTAAGATTTGTAGCCCGATGTAGGAGACGTACGGCACGGGTTGTTGTACAGCCCAAAGGCCTCCAGCTCCACTATGCAAACATGGGAGAAATTGATGCGTCGGTGGTTGTAGTCGTCGACCAAGCTGCGCTTCCGGTGTCCGAGAATAACAAAGCTGTTGCGGCGTGGCCAGAGAACCCCACGGTTCCAGCTGCCATTCCCAAAAACCGATCCTCCAGCATCAATGCGGCCCCAGGTCAAGGTCTTAAGGTCGAGTGCCCAGAGCGCGTACTCTTGCTTCGAGGAGGTCAGATAGGTGCCGCTAACAACGAAATGGCCGTTGATAATGCCACCGTTGGGGAATCGCAACCCCGGAGGAGAGGCCTGGCTCTGCATCGGGCGTTCAACGAGACGCCCGTCCGGCAGGCGCACTTGCAGCTCCAGTTTGACATCCAGGAAATTGTAGTTGGAATATATCAGCATGGGACAGCCGGGAGATTCAGAGCGCTCGATCGGTTCGTGTGCATCTCGGTCAGGCGCCGCAGATCCAACCTCTGACACATCCATGCCCACCAACGGGGCAACCACACTGCGGTAAGCACCGCAGCTGCGACCCAAGGGACTGGTGTTGGTCCACTTGAGGCTGCGGAGGTTGAACACGCTGATCTGCTCAATGTAATGGTTGGAGCTATCTTGCCCGCCCACAACCACCATCTCTGCGCCCCCAAACCCGTCAATGTCCACGCCAATCGACCCCTGGTGAGCGCCAGAGGAAGGGTTATTGTGAATGGCAGACAGCGGCGCACTGGCAGAGGTGAAGCAAGCGCTGGAGGGGAGTATTGTGGCACAATGTGCGTATCGACCCTGCGGCGACTCGTGGGCCGCAACGCGAGTCCACGCCCGGGAGGGCACATCGAAGATGTGAATATCCGACATGACCACGACCTCGGACTGAGTTTCACCGGGGCTGTTCGGGTCCTTTGGGGTGGTTGGTGCTGGCGACATGCCCCCGTAGCAAACGAGCTTATTGTCGCCCAGGGCGCACACACTGTGAAAGTAGCGCGGCTGCGGCACATCCCCCGCCGGCTCGATTTTCGTCCAGTGTCGCCGGATCAAGTCCAACTCGTACAAATCCGACGTCAACTTGGGGTGACTGCGCGACAGCACCCGTCCTCCAAACACATATAGCTTATCGCCGAGCACGGTGGTGGTCGCGCCCACTAGGGGGTGCGGCTCTGTGCCCGTCGTCCGGCGCACATTGCACACCAGCCCTGACAGATTGATAGGTCCAGTCGCCGCCTGCTGTGGGAGAGAGGGAGACACCCCTGGGGCCGAGGGCTCCTCACGGGCAACGTCCAGGTATCCCAGGCTTGACTGACTCCTCGACATGATGGCGGGCGAGTCGGTTCCGCACCGCACTCACAGCAAACTGATCAAACTTTAGGTCGTGCGATCGTAGAATTCTTGTGCGCCGTGGGTACGCACATATGATAGCGATTTGAATCGGGGCGGTTGGCAGGTTTGTCTTCGAGGCTCAAGTCGGCGAGGAGGCCGGGCCTGAGGTTGGGAGGGAAGGGAGAGAAAAGGAGAGCGGGATTCCCCACCACTTCCACGCCTTCTGGTCTGCGGGCAAATTTACAGAAAGAAATGTGCAACGAGAGAAGGGAGGAAGAGAGTAGTCAGTCCACAAAAAAGCGAAGTGTAGAGAAAGACAGACGGGGAAGTGAGAAACGGCGGATCGGCAGCACAAAGGCGGTCACAGTTGGGGGCGAACCGAACTAACTACACTATAGTTACACACTACGAGGCATAAAAGTTCATATAGACGAACAGGCATCGATTAATTGTAAATCGCTGTGGTATCAAACATCTGCCTGAGCCAAGCTGTCCCAAATAGGGGTTTTGAATTTTCACATCACTTCATCAGAACCACTTCCTCCCATCCATCATCTACTGGGGGAACTTGGTGAACCGGAGGTAGGGCTTGACCTCACGGACCTCACCGAACTTCTTCTTCGCATCCTCAGTGGACACAGGGGGAGGAATAACCACATCATCACCGGGCAGCCAGTTGATGGGGCAAGTGACGCCGTGCTTGTCAGTGAGCTGGAGAGCATCGACGACACGGAGGACCTCGGCGGTGTTGCGGCCAGTGGAAGCCGGGTAGGTCATGATCAGGCGGATCTTCTTGCTAGGGTCGATGATGAAGACCGATCGGATGGTCAGGGCCATACCCTTGGCATCGACGTTGGTGGTGTCCTGGTAGTCGACCATGTCGTACAGGTAGGCGACCTTGCGCTCCGGGTCGGAGATGATGGGGAACTTGAGGCTGGAGCCGGAGACCTCATCGATGTCCTTGATCCAGGCGTGGTGCGAGTCGACGTTGTTGGCGCTCAGGCCGATCAGCTGCACGCCGCGCGCGGTGAACTCGGGCTCCAGCTTGGCGAAGGCACCCAGCTCGGTGGTGCAGATCGGGGTGAAGTCATCCGGGTGCGAGAAGAGGATGGTCCACTTGGAGCCGATGAACTCGTGGAAGTTGATGGGACCGTTGGAGGTCTGCGCATCGAAGTTAGGGGCGACGGAGCCCAGACGGAGGCTGTGGAGTGTGTCAGTGGTGGGAGAGAATATAGCTATCGATTGGGCTTCACATACGGAGCAGCACGTTCGGCAGCCATTGTGTAGAGATGTGACAGAGTTGGAACAGGATATGGTCAGGGATGAGAGAGAAGAATGAAACAAGAGGAGGAGGGGCAATGTTCTAATAGTTAACAAGTATCATCACAGACTGATCTTCCTCCCTCCGGCTGTTGATACTTGATCACGCAATTCCCCACCGCCCGCTGCAGAATGCCTCTCATTGGTCCATCCCTCGACGTGGGCTGTTTAGCGTGCCTGATGCCATTCTGCCGTTTCTCGGTGTGCTCCTTGTCCGCTCAGTTCGTGGGGAATAGACTACGCTCTCTACTAGGCCGTTGGTATATAGTATGGTTCGCGATGTCAATTTTCTGATTTTCTTTATACCCCCTCGCTTCTTCTGCTCTCCCTCCCTTTTTCACACATATTCCCTCCTGCTATCGGCCGATTCTGCATTGAGCAGTGTAAAGTCGGCCGACAAGTGCGAACCAATGGAGACTCGGCGGGATGGCGCAATTGCCGTGGTTCGTGTCGGCGTTGAATTATTAATCCTCAACTCCCCTAGTTATACCGAGCCGAGCCCTATTAATAGGGGGCTGGAGGCCTCACGGGCTGTGAGGAGATGCGTAGCTTTAAATTCTAGAGCGAGCTATTCGGCTGTAGCCTCTACCTCGCCAGGAGCATCGCGAGCGAGGTCATAGGGCAGCCTCAATGACGCTGGCGACGTTGAATGGATCAGCGGATTGGTAATCAGGCTGAGACATCGTGATTGGATGATTTTTCGAGCTTTACATACAAAGATTTCCGGGCAGTTTTGACGGTCAAATGTAGGGTTCGATTGTATGCAGGAGGGTCAGATAGAAGAGGGGAAATTCTGCATGTTACATGACGACCAGAGACGACCCAGGGTACACAGAGTAAGGTACACACTATATTCTACGCTAGCACTAAATTGTGTGGGTGTCCGATTAACTTGAGGGTATTCCGGGTAGACTGGGTGGGTGACCAGGCAGAAACGTCCCTATGTTTACTGATAGGCCAGAATCAAGGCCAGAATCACATCCATGGCATCTGAAAACCTTGCACATGGCGGGTTCCCAAACGAATAGCGACGGACGTCAGATTTGAGTCAAGTTCTCCGCACTCTCCGCCACGGGCCTGGGACTAGCTTTTCACCACCGCTGGACGAACCATGGAATGGATGCCAACCTCTGGTTTGAACTGCTGCTTCTGGAAGCCCCTTACCAACGTGATACGTCAACCGCACATCGCGCTGAATATTCATTCCTGCCGGACCCATAAATACAAGCGTCGCCGTCGCGATTCACCATGCCGCGGTCGAGTCCACAACACTCTCTCGACTCATTTCTTAACGGTCCCCGCTACTGGCACTTATTACACTAAATGCTCCGGTCGACCTGCCGGCAATAATCTGCCAAACTCTCGCCCGGCCAGGTATTCTGTGCCCACCTGGTCTTCACTCGTTGCGTATCTTCCGTTTTACGGTGTCTTAGGAGGCTCTTTACGGCCGGATACAACGGCGCCGCAACACTTCCTTCCACTCGGCAGCATTGCCATTATTGCCCATAGGTGAGGGTAATGCGCGGCCTCCGATGAAGGACTTTGCTTTTTCTTTCTTAAGTCTTCTTGAATTGCCTCCTTCATTCATCGCCTGCCGTGAGGCGAAACGAATGCGCAACACATCACCGCCTGCCGGCTTACGCATTCTAGCGTGCCGTGAGCGCGAAGTGTTCATTGGGTAGAGCACTGGTATTCGATTTGGGAAGAAACATGCTTCCTTTGGGGGGCCGCAGCACAGCGATCTTCGTCGTCACGACTATTTTTCTGGGTATCTCGTTCATTTCCGTCTCCCTACGATGCTTTGTCCGGCTTTGGATCGTGAGGGCCTTTGGCTGGGACGATGCCATGATGGTTTTTGCAATGGTAAGCGGAACAGCAAAACTGGGTCAACCCAAAATTGGCTGCTGAGTGCATCTTAGATGTTGAATATACTGTTTGCCGTGTGCGGCATCATCGGCGCTCTGTACGGAATAGGCCAGAAGTTTGCCCCTCTCTTTGCGCGAGGGACTACCGAAGCAGCGATGTTTGTATGTGTTCCGCGCATTGATCCGTATCGCGGCATTTGACTAACAATATCCATTAGTGGTGGTGGCTCGGTCAATGCAGCTACGTCTGGGTAGTTGTAATAGCCAGATTAGCCATCGCCATGGCCCTCCTCCGTCTAACAGTCTCCCATGTGCACCGGCTCATCCTGTACGCATCCATAGGGGTGACATCGATCGTCAGCATCGTTTTCTGGTTCATGTTGACGCTGCAGTGTCAACCGGTCTCGTATTTCTGGCAACGAGTTCGGCTGATCAATGATCCGATGACCCCCATCCACGGTTCTTGTATGAATCTCAACCGCATCATCGCAATGGCCTATGTCTATAGCGGCACCGCCGCTGCCTGCGATTTTACTCTGGGCCTCTTGCCCTTTTGGATCGTATGGAAGCTGCAGATGAATAGAGGCACTAAGGCCGCATTGGCCGGCATTCTGGGCATGGGTTGCGTGTATCATTTGCAACCTCTTTGTTTGATACCATTTGCTAACCTCAATTGTTCCAGTGCCAGCGCTGCCGTAATTATCCGCATCCCATACCTCAAGGACTACAATGACCCCGATTTCTTATGTGAGTTTATCGCCAGCCAATCTCTTCCAAGAGCAAAAGATGGAGTGAGGCAATCAGAGCTAACGGCAACTGATCCCGACCTAGACGCAACCGCCAACATCTCCATCTGGTCTAACATCGAAGCCAGCCTGGGCATCGCGGCAGGCAGTATGGTCACTGTGCGCCCACTGTCCCGCTGGTTCCGTGACTCTAGGAACCCTAGATATCGCATGCGCGCCGACCGCACGCCGATTGTCTTGAGCGCGGTGCGGTCCGCTTCGTCATCGGCTCCGCAATACTGGCGTTCGGACATCGAACCGGAAGGCGTGCTCACTACAGTCCAGACCTCGGATCAACCATATCGCATTAGCAGCCAGGAAACATTGAATCCTCACGAGGATGAGCTTTACCATGGCGTGAACGTGCGCAGGATGTTTGTCGTCTCAGCAAACGCTAAGACGTAGCATCACTGGTGTATTGCCATTGTTCAGTGTATGTATCCTTTGGTCATTCTGATCATTTAGGGTGTAAGTGTAAACAACTATTATTTTATGTAATATTCGAAACCAGCTTTACCTCAATCTTTCTTGTTTTCCAAGTGTTGGAGTTCCTATATTGAGCTTGTCATCCTGATACGCATTACTTATGCATTAGGCTAGACCCTTATCTATATAAACGGAGCTTGGCCCACAGGAACTTAACATAATACAAACCATCTTACTTACAGTGGCGTCCATAAGTCTGAAACCCTTCTAGGTACCGCGCTAATTATCTGCCGGCAATTGGCAGATAGGCCACTCGGAGACTACTCTTAGCGGGCGGTCCTTCTACATCACAAGGCCCGCCAATACACCAAGGACAAGGGCAGGCATCCGTGACCATTGGCAAAGAGCAATCGTCCTGCAAAGGGCAAATGGAGCCGCCGTTCACAAAATTATCCGTTGAGCCCGAAACCTAGATCGTCGTGGTAGGTAGGAGATAGGGACGGACGGTTCTGTTACAACAAAACCAAATCTAAAATCGAGCTCGTACAGGAATCAGTATTGAGAAAGCGGGGCGAGAGAGTTATCGGACTTGCAAAGTGATGAGGGCGATTGGCTGCCGCGATGTTGACATCCGACCTCCACGCCTGCTGAACCCGCGGAAACGGTGTATGGGACTGTCTCACGCTTGCCTTTATCGGACCGTGGCCTGATTTGATGGCGACTGCTCACTACCTTTTCTTTTTTCCTGAAAAGGGGGAGCGGTCATTAGTAGTGAACGTATTCTTTTTATGAAGGGAATATTGCGTCGGTAGAACCCGTTTTTCCGCTGAATGAGTACTTCATTTGTTGTGATTTTGTCTTTTTTTTGTGTACTCTTTTATGTTTGATGGATTCCGAGAAGGTTCCGTGCGGCTTATACGTCGGTTTCATCAGACAAATAGGTCAGTTGGAAGAACAATTGTAAACCAAGTCTCCACACTTGATGAGTTATTAATTTACGTAGATTTGTGCAACTAGTTGAGAGAGTCAGACGGCTTACCGCGAGCAAGCAGAGCAGCCAGTAGCCTAAACGCAGCAAGCGAGCACAGCGTCTTACAGTCGTAGTCATCTGAACTGAATTAGGCGGTCCACTAGCCCAACCTACCAATCCAAAAAGTTGCCATGTTCTTGTGGTAGAAGACAATATCATCAGGCGGCTATAAACACTCAGATGGCGAATGAGCATGAATTTCTGGAGACTGTCAAAGGCGTTGGGCAATGAGGTAGTCATTCCCGCTTGATTACGGCGATCACTCCTCTATATTCCCTCTACTGGTGGATGTGGGAGACGCTGGAATGGAATCGGCAGGAATGATTAAGCGGCAGATGGAGCTCGGGGTTGTCCGATGGTACAAGCATCAATGACATCTTGGCAGAAATCGGATGGAGCAAAGAGAGTGAACCTGCGGGCGTTCAAGGGCGCTGCAGTGGTTCGCGGGCATTTTAAGGTTTTCCCCGCCGTCTAGACTATTCGGAACCGGGCGTGCACCAGCGGTCTAGCCCATCTTCCAGAACGCCAAGACCGTGCGTCTGGTAGCTTTCGAGAGACAAGCCACTTCCCGAATTACTATCGAAAGGTGTATGGCTAGCACAGTTTGAGGTTGTCGGATCGGGAGTTGTTGGGTTTGCTCTTGGCGTGGCGAGAAACCTTCAAATGAACAATTCAATATTTAGGTGGAGCCTCTTCTCTATCAGTGCTTGGGGACGCAGATGTTGCTAGACGAGAAAAGCAAAACAGTCAATCGAGATCTCTCCCCTACGCATGCTCCGACGTCGAGTTTTGCCGAATGGAATAACTTGACATGTCGTCGCATCCCATGATGCCGGCATCCAAAGAGAGTGACATTCAATGCGCCATGGGCTCGCCCGGTTCCTCTGAGGTGCATCCCTCGTACTGTCTGGAACATACTGCAAAGCTGGCTCAAGGAAACGAGGTCCTCAGCAAGACGAGCCCCTTTCCGTCCTTTTCACATACGGAGCAAAGCAGCCCGAATAGCGCGACACCCAGTCGAACTGATACCGCCGTCCTCATTGACCAGCTCGTGACGGCATTGCCTGAATTGCGACCACTCGACTCTCCGGCTAGGGCGGCCACTCAGGCAGAACAGAAACAGACCTTCCTTCGCGGGTGCCGCTTGTACCCTAAGGCCATAGCCTGGTCGTTTATCTTGTCTTCTACCCTGATAATGGAAGGCTTTGATACCCTTCTTATTTTCAACTTCTTCACCTTTCCGGCATTCAAGCGAAGATATGGGACACCGACTCCGGACTCCACGTATCAAATTTCTCCAATGTGGCAATTTGCCTTACCATCTGCAGCAGAGGCCGGCGAGATAGTCGGGCTACTTGCGAATGGCTATGTCGCCGATCGGATCGGATACCGCTGGACCATGGTCTCCGCATTGGCCTTTCTGTTGCTGAGCATTCTATTATCCTTTTTTGCGGTGAACATTCGGATGTTGTTGGCAGCGCAAATCTTGTGTGGGATCCCATGGGGCATTTTTCAGACTTTGTCGACCACATATGCAGCGGAAGTGATGCCTGTAAGGCTACGTGCTTATCTACTCAGCAATGTCAACCTGTGCTGGGTCCTGGGCCAACTTTTGGCTTCAGGAATACTGAGGACGTTTGTCGACAACACGTCCCAGTGGTCGTATCGGATTCCCTTTGCACTTCAGTGGGCGATATGTTTCCCCATTTTGGTCGCAGTCATGTTCGCTCCGGAATCCCCTTGGTGGCTTATCCGCCACAGACGACAGCGTGACGCCAAAAGGTCGTTGACCAGGTTAACCAGGAAGGACAAAGTCAACGTCGACCAGACAATCGCTATGATGGAGCATACTAACGAGATTGAAAAGTACTTGAAAGAAGACCACGGAGGCATTTCATACTTAGACGCCTTTAAAGGGGTTGATCGCCGACGAACCGAGATCGCCTGTATGGTTTGGATCACACAGCAGGTATGCGGGACCGGCTTGATGGGCTGGGCGTCAACATTTTACCAGCAGGCTGGGTTCAGTGTCAACAACGCCTTCAACCTCTCCCTCGGCGTCTACGGATTAGCCATAATTGGCAATATGATCTCCTGGTGGCTCTTATCGCGTTTCGGACGTCGCAGGCTGTATCTGAGCGGTCTAACAGCCCTACTAGCCATTCTATTGGTTGGCGGCATTGCCGGCGCTCTTCCAACATCCCGCGGCCAGCTCTGGACTCTTGGGTCCCTGCTTTTGCTCCTGACATTTGTGTACGATATGACCATCGGACCCGTGTGCTACGTCCTGGTCGCGGAAATCCCATCGACTCGACTTCGTGTTAAAACAGTGGTTATCGCTCGAACAGGGTACAATTTAGCCGGAATTCTCATCAACTGGATGACTCCGCGTATGCTAAGCCCCACGGTGTGGAACTGGAAGGGGAAGACCTGTTTCTTCTTCGCTGGCACGACAGCTCTATGCCTCGTCTGGTGCTACTGGAGACTGCCAGAGACCTTCGGCTTGAGCTATCTGGAGATTGACATCTTGTTCGAACGGAAGGCGAAGGCTAGCAAGTTCTGCAAACTTCGGGCCAACCTCGAAAGTTCGGGCTATTTTAGCATAGAGCATTCGGCGGGAGAGGCCAGCACCTGGCGGAGGTATTAAGATTGAACCTTTTGCTGAAATCTCAACGACTGTGGGATCCGTGTATTCAGTTTAAATTATCCCAGTGTAGCAGGAATGCGCTAATTTATCCACAAAGCGGCTCATGTTCCTGATGCGTGACTTCCGACGCAGAAGCGTTGATGTGATTTGTGGGTTAAACTTTAGGATACACTAATATATTCCCTCTGCCCTCTGCTTTCATGGACAACCCGCTTGATTTTAGACCTGAGTAACACGCCAGCACCAATTTCGCCTGATCTTGGCCAGAACGTGAGGTGCCAAGCGACTATTATCAATCAATACGTAAATTACCTAGTTATTGTACATCCGTCCTTTGCTCATAGACGCTTGGCCCTTCTGCAAAATGGCCTTTTGGACTTGCTTGTCGTCAAGGCCGACCATCTTTTTGACTAGGCCGTCAAATATCTTTCTCCAGCCCACGGCATTCAGGAACCAAACCACCCAAGCATTTGTGCCTTTCCACACATATTCACCATTTCCATGCCGGGGGGACCTAACAAGTATTTGTTCGACAACTTGTCTAGCAAACTCCTCTGGCAACATGCTGTTCTTAGCATGGTTTCGACTTCTCTCCTTGGTCCGTTCCAAAACATCTGTGTAGATGCTCCCAGAGCTGAAATAGATATTATCGGGAGACATGAGCTTCGTTGCGACTTCGCCCATGAATAATGTGACAACTTTAATGCCGAGTGGTTCAAGTTCGATCCGAAGAGTATCACTGTAAGAAGCCACGGCTGCTTTCGAGGCATTGTACGCAGCAGAAAACGCATAAGGGAGACGAGCTAGCACCGACGAGGTGTTGATAATCACAGGTGGCGTGTTTTTTGGGGAAGTAGAGGCTAATAGAAGAGGAGTAAATGCCGAAACCATATCAAACAAGCCGAAGACGTTTGTATCAAACATGCTACGGATGCGAGCAGGGTCGGCTTCGATTGCTGGGGCTTCATACACTGTGAAAGAATCCGGTCAGTAGGCTTGAACTGGGTCAACGAGTTGACAGCCTGCTAATGGCTGATCTGAAAGGAATACAGAACACATACTTGTGCCAGCATTGTTGAATAATATGTCCAATTTTCCACTAGTTCGCTTCACAATCTCGTCCTTCAGTGCCCTAATGCTCTCCTCATTCATGACGTCGAGTTCAAACGTCTCAATGCCTTTCTCATCTAGACTAGAGAGCGATTTAGTGGATCGAGCAGTTGCGAAGACGCGCAAACCGCGAGCGGCAAATTCAAGGGCAAGATCATGGCCAACTCCACCAGAGGAGCACCTATCTCGAAATTCATCAGTCAGATGTATTTCATAAGAGGAAACGTGTGAGAAAAAAGAGAGAGGGAAAAGGGGATTTCGGCGTGACACACCCTGTGATAAGAATTGAGCGTTTTGATGCTGAAGGCATAATGTATGATTACTGAAGGGCTAAGGGACTCAACCTCCACTTGTTCGATGTGGCTTGAATAAGAGAATTGTTGATGTCTTAACTTCAGGTTCAGTGTCCACCAGAGAGAAGTGACAAACCTACGGACGCAGTGGGTTGAGTTGGCAACTCTTTCTTTTTATTTCATTATTTTTTTTTTCGCCTCCCTGTTATGCTGCTGCACTTGAAACCGAACATTCCTAATCCTGGGGCTCAGTAAGTTAGTTAGAGGGCGGAGTGTTCACTAATCAACTTTGCCACCAGTTAAATTAGTTTAAAGTTAAGTAACTTGACTCAGCCAGGATTACTATCTCGTCTGTCGTAAATAGCTAATTCTAATGCTCAATCAAAGTTTTAATTTAACTAAGTTAACTAAGTTAACTAGTGGTGGGGTCAAATGAATAATCAAGCCGACCCATCAATTAGTCAGTTGAGTAATTTCAGAGGAAGAATTTCCAACGGTAACTTACCAAGCCGAGTGTTTAAGTCATCAAGGACATAACTGTTCATGTGATTCTCAAAATGACGGACTAGATTGAATTACCCAGTACCTCGGATTGCGATGATAAGTAACCAAGCCGACAAACTTTTAGTTAACCCCCGCCCATAGACACGGAACTCCCCCACTTACTTCCGAGGCACATTAATAATCAACCAGTGAGAAGCTGGCTTAGTGTAATCCCGGAGCCGGCGGCGTAATTTCAAAAGTTCGATTTGTCGCGAGTTTGTTGTTTTTACTACAAAACATATTTACGCCATGATAAACGCAGTTAATGAAGATAGATAGATCATTATGCTGCTATACACATCTTATCAATTCAAACAGAACTATACTGAGCCGGTTCGCCCTTTACCACATCCGGTTCCTTCAACACTTTATATCCCTCCGCATCCTCGACTTTCCCACTCACAAACGCCAGGGGAACATTCGGTCCCCAGACGTAGAGTGACTGCGGTCCTGCGGGCTCCTTGGACACGGGGGAGTCTTCATTGACCAGATCTCCATCTGAATAATGCTCGATGATGTTTCCGGAGGCATCGAACCTGCTGAATTAGTATACTTCGCGAACTTCCAGATGTAAGGAGAGAACTTACCAGTAGTCGAATATCTGACTTCCCATAATGTGTCTTCCAATTCCCCAGCAATTCACCCATCCCTTACTCTGCAAGAAATCATGCCCCAGCACCTGCGTATCAAAGTCATTAACCTCGAAACTGGAGTGATGGATGGATGTCCGCTGGACCTTGTCTGAAGAGGCCAGGAAGAAGCTCTACAACCACATTAGCAACTGCATCACGAAAGTAAATAAAAAACCTACATGATGGTCTGTATACTCCTTCCCCAAATCCACATGATTAAAAACCGTCTCTGTCACCCCCGTCTCCGGATTCACGACATAATCCGACGGCTTGAGATTCATCAACCCCCAATACCAATCCAGGGTCCCCTGGTACACACCCGCCGGCACAATCAGTCCATAATGACCCAGCTTATGCACAGGCGAAGCCCCCTTCTGGAACCGCCGGAAGCCGCCCCTGCGGTCCTTGCGCACCGCCTCGTTGGGCTTACTGCTGGTATACTCGCTCTCTTTCACCTCTAAGCGGGAGGTCGTCTCGTCCGTGTCGCAGAGCGTCTGCCCGTGCACGAATCCAACTATTATGCCGTTTGGATCACGCAGTCTCACGACCTGTCCGCCTCCTGGGGCGATGCTTTCCTCAATACCCGCGACGGCATTTGGATGAGAGGCGGCTTTGTGAAGATCCTCAGCGCTCTCCACGACCCAGTACCCGCCTAGGAAATGTCGCTGGGAGTCGGAAGATTGTTCCGCGACATAGATGAAGGGTTGAGTGCCATAGCCACGGAGATAGGATTTTCTGCTACCTGTCTGGGTGGTCCTGGATGATTTGACCACGAGTCCAAAGTCTTGGAGGAATTCGAGGGCTTTGTCGAGGTCGGGATGCGCGTAGTGGACGTGCGCTAGGCGAGTAACGCGGATTTTGGAGATGGTCATTTTCGCTTTCTTTTTTGTTCCTTAAATTTCAGGCTTAATTTTTTAATTTCTCCTAAAATTGTGGACAAAAATCAGAGCGTATTTCCTCATCCTGAGTCTGGCATGGTATATAGGTCGAAAGTTCCCCCGGATCAAAACAAGTGGGAACGGGCGTTGCACGGCAAACCAAGGCGTCCCACGGCAAACTAAAGGCATTCCACGGTATTCACGTATCTATACCCCTCATCCATCTCCAACAAAATTTCCTTGTCTACAAGTATATATTTAATTATATGTGTTAATTGAATTATATTATACAAAAATTCTATCTCAACATGTCTTTCCAACGCCTCGTGAGATTCGAAAAAGACGGAGCCCCTCACTATGGGGATCTGCTCTCCCAGAATGATGAGGGGTACACCGTCCAGCGACTGGAAGGAAACATTCAGAATGGCTTCACCAGAACAACAGAAGAACCTGTTGTAGTTTCTAAGCTCCTCTGTCCCATTGAATCCACGCCGATAGTTATCTGTGTCGGACTGAACTATCAGAAGCATGCAAATGAAGCCAGCGTATGTTCCTTTCATCTATCTGTCTATCTGTCTACTTCTGTTACTGATAAAATAATGAATAGCTTAAAATCCCTCCCTACCCCATCATCTTCACCAAACCTGCCACCTCCATCACTGGTCCCACCGACCTCATCCACGTCCACCCTAAAGCCCAACCCATGCTCGACTACGAAGGCGAACTGACCTTCGTCACCTCCCGCGATATCAAGAACCTCCCCGAGGACTTCGACCTCGCCGACTGCGTCTTGGGTTACACAGCCGGCAACGACGTCTCCGCGCGCAACTTCCAACTCCCCGACGTCAGCGGCGGACAGTACTGTTTCGCCAAGTCCTTCGATACCTTTGCGCCCATTGGACCTGCACTGGTTAGTCCTAGTGTGATTCCGGATCCCCAGAAGCTCAAGTACGTGACGCGGGTGAATGGGGAGGTGCTCCAGGATACTGGCACGGATGATATGATCTGGACTGTGAAGCAGATTCTGCAGCATATTAGCATTGGAACGACGGTTAAGGCGGGGACGGTGGTGATGACAGGGACGCCCAGTGGAGTGGGACTTTTCCGACAGAAGTTTTTGAAGGATGGAGATGCCGTGGAGGTGGATGTTGAGGGGTTGGGATCATTGAAGAATGTGGTGAAGTTTGAGTAATGTTTATATTATATTATATCTACAATAGAGTACGGGGTCGAGTAAACAGAGAGAGGAGAACGAAGCTTATTGTTAATACTGTTGTATTTACGAGGGAGATTACTTGCCTTCTCTCGACCAGAAACTTGATGATTTATCCGTAATCAATCCTTCTGTGTTGGGTCTCTCACGTTCGGACCAGGCTATCTGATTACCAGGATGAAACGCTGAGTTTGGGTATGGACGAGTCCCAATAGTACGTGGATCGTGTAGAGGAATTGATCTTGGCGATAAAGATGAATCTAACCCAGCGTACTTTGCACGGCCCTTCATTCGCCCGGGTGATAATCCAACGCCTCGTATTTACCAAACCAGATTTTAGATGTTGATAGATGGGCAGATGCCTGAGGTGACAGCGCCCACCGCCTCTCTTTGTTGGATAGACCTTCCTTTCTGGGACCTTCAGGAATAGCATCATCTTCTTCATCTCTCTCTGTCTAGTGATCTCTATGCTCAGGTCTTTGTCATGGCTCTGTCCGACTTCGCCTGAGTCTCGACGCCATCAAATGTTCGTCTCAATTTACATCAAAACGACTCCCTTGTACGCTGTTCGCTGCTAGAGCGGAAGGGATCCAATCGGGAACTACTAGAGACTCGTCGACATCTGACTGATGATCGGCAGTGCCAAACGCCAAGGGAAACCCTTCTGGGTTTCGTGATTGAAAATGTTCAACAGGGATCCTGGGTTGGTCATTCATATGGGATGCGCTGTCTGAGGGTGATTCAGGGGCGGCAGGGATCAGAGCCCTCAATCTTTCAGCGGGTTGAGTGGCTAGGTCTCTTGAGAGATCACCTGACTCGATCATATGGGCCAGTTCTATTGCAATTCAACATTAGTTATTGACGATTACAGTGCTTGGAGCATTTGAAACATACCGGATAGGGTGGACCCCAGACCATAACAGCTGGCAAAATGAGAAAGGCCCAATTTTACCATTTCTCTCACTAAATGCGAGGATATGCAGTCATCGTCGCTCCCAGAGTGACTTATAAATACCCCCCTTGGCCCTAGGAGAGTACACGCTATGAAAGGATGGGCAAGGCTCATGAATTCCGGGGGCCAGAGTTTCATTATATGAAGGAGCTCTGAGACGTGGCGCTTAAAGCAGGCAGTGGAGAACTGCACAGAGCCGTTGCTTAGGTCCTGAAGTACTCGCGCTGAGAGAAGAACCAGATTTGTAGAGATAATCCAGTTGGATGCGGCGAAGTTCTCCGAGTTAAACAAGACAGGCTCTGACAAAACAGAAAATCGCGGAGGTAGGGCTAACCGGAAACAACTCAGGATGGCGTCCAAGACCATGTGGTTGTCTGGAGCGATCGTCCCATTCCGGACGCTGTCGTGGACCGCGGAGAGCAAATGAATGCAGACCAAAAACCACGCCCGTTCGTCCTGGTTACAACAGCCCTGGAGGGTTTGCCATGCCTTTACAGGGTCTGGATCTAACATTGCTGACGCCACAGGCTCCCCTCGAAACCAAGTATCATCTGATACAGGTAAGAACACTGCAATTGATCTGGCGTCGATCGCAAAGGGACGTTGGGAAACAATAGAGCCAAACCGATCCAACTCCCACACCAGCCACCAGACCCTTCTGCGTCCTTCCTTCCGAACGCAGTCATTCGGTATTATATCCGAACTGTGATCTTTGTCTATGACGTGTAAGTTGAAATCATATGCCATACGGACACATATGCCCGTCAGCATCCACCCCTGGTGGCTGAGGCCTGACGTGTAATAAGCAAATGCTAGAAGCAGCGACCCCTGAAGAAAGAGCAAGGAAGGGTTTGCAACATGGGCCCGCACTTGTTCATAGGAGAATTTAGCATTTTCTGTGAATTCAACTTCTTGATCACACACACTATCGCAAGGGAAGCTGCTTGAGTGGGAGTGTCGAACAGCAAGGGAGAATAGGCTCCAGATGATCAATCGTTCTTCCAGGGTCATGCTTTTCAGGCTTCGGAGGTGGCCTGTTTCAGGAGCGATGTAGGTGTTGTAGAAGGTTGGGCGATGGAAAAGTGGTAACCAGGGTTGGATCTTCTTGAAAAAGACTTCGATGAGTGCTGTTGAGAAGGAGGGAGGCAGGTCGTTTATATGTGAAGGAGTAGACTCGTCCGCAGGTTGGGGTATTCCGTTATTAACTGGTAAAGTATCTCTACCTGCGTCACGCATTGAGACTGGCTCAGGATAGGTTCTCGGACTCGGAGAAATCAGAAAATCCAAGAGCTGATTTGGACTCCCTCTGGAGGATACTGGGATTGCACTTTGGAGGAACTCGTGATCTGGTGATTGTGATCTCAGATCCCTGAGGATATTCTGCAGGATACCGTCGGGAACATCATTGGCCATTTGCAACCGAGCAGCGACTGTGTTGACCAGGTATGTTGCGCCGTTAGCTTTTAAGGAGAACAGGAAAACAGACCGTATACTGACCAACATATTTGGACCTGTTCGACAAAGTTGAACCCATTCTAGGTGTATTTCTTTTGTAGTTCCTCCGACGGGTGGGGAATTTGCAATAAAGGCCATTTCGCTCACAGAGGCCACATACAGGTCGTCGCATGTCACCTTTAGTAGTCAGCGTGTCTGGAGGCTAGCTAAGTCATGTTCTCAGGAGGTTGGGCGTCAACTAACATTTTGTTTTCTTCCTGCCGTCGGTGGTTCAGTGGAAAAGTTACCAGCTATAGTGGGCCATAGGGAAGGGGCTTACCGGTTACACTCTTCACATGCTCGTCTTGAAGGTGGAATGCTGTGTCGGCTGTTTTCCATTTCCCGTGAGATTTGTTAATTCAAAGGGTCAAAAGGATACACGTTATGAGGCGGTTGGAATGCCGGGCTGAACCAGCTGAGCGATAATCGAAGGGGAAAGTTAGTTGAGTGTTAGACCACAAGGGTAAAATGAAATAAGTAGCTTTGTGCTGCCTTCGGATAAAGGCGGCTCATCCATAATGTTGGTTATAAAGCACGTAAGCTCGGCATTTAAAATGCGGGGAAGACCCGCCTGGTTTAGTACCACATTTGTTTTAGGCTCGTGCTGCCTAGACCCCACCCCCCAAGTTTACCCGAACACCCCATAGGTTACTTGACCAGTACCCTAAGCTTTAAGCTCGGCAAAAAACTCCTCAATAAGGTTAATCCGGAGAGTAACTCGGCAGATACAATTGTCTGACTCCCGCGTCAGACCTCAATCGCTTCACTCGATCTGAACGATGGAGGGATGCGTCATCCATAATAAGCACGGATTTTGGCTCCGGCCACCTCCCACAGCGCTGGCGGAGTTGCTCAATAAACGATTCGAACAACATCGCATCGGTTGAATCTTTTAAAAACACCAGACAGAAGAATACCATCTTGAGTGTATGCTGGCAGTATCCAATAGCGCTGGCCCCGATGGAGTTTAGACGCTTGGACTGATGTCACGCCGAGTGGTGACCAACCAGTCCGCCTACATCCCGCTGGTGTATCACATCCAGATTCATCAACAAAGATAAGGTAGTGTAAACGAGACTCGGACAATTTGTGTTGGTAGAAATCACGTAGTTGAGGGCTTTGGTCTTTGGCTTCCTGCTGAGCTCTCTTTGTGGTCCGGCCAGCCCGAGAAAGAGCACCCTGAATACTGGATGACGACGGTAATATGTTGACCTCGTCCCATAGAAACTTAGCCATCTTTTCGATGTATCAGCTGGGTATTTCGGCGAGGTGGTCGCAAAGGACGTCCAGCATCACAGGAGTTATGCTTGGTGGCGGGCCGGGAGGGATTGTGAGAGAATTGGGACTGCCGAATAACCGCCTGTTCTTGCGTATTATGCAGGTTCATCTGCGGCTCTGCTTGGTTGACCGTGCTTTGCCTTCTGCTGGGTAGTGACTGGGGCCCTATAGGCCTCTGCCTGTTGATTCCGAAGCTTTTGGACCTCATTTTCTGGTTGCCTGATTCCAAATTGGTAGTTCTCCTCACAGATCTGCTGCTGCACGTTCCGGGAATTCAATTCTTCCACAAAACGCGTCCACAATACCTCCAGGTCCCGTTGACGCGTCAGTTGTTGATTGCGAGCCTGCTGCTCAAAGGCCTGTTCTACATTGCCTGCTAGGGCTTGGAATTGCCTGCTGATGTCGTTCAGGGGTGCCCGTGTAGTTCCTCTATAGCTGGAGGGTTTCTGGTTCGGTTTTTGGATCCGGGAGCTGCTTCGTAAGATCTCACTGCTCCAGTCTGGACACCTGCTTCGATCCCGAGTCCAGGTTCTGTCTGGGCTTCGCTTGTACCCTCTGCGGGCAGTTTCTGGTTTGTTGTCATTTATATGGGTCTCTAAAGGCCCCTGAGAGCTTCGTACTGCCGGTGTTGGTGTGTCTGGTGCTTCAAGAGGGTCAAATCCTGATTCCGACGCGTGCTCAGTCGCAGAATTCAACGCGTGAAAGAGGCCACCACCACGGGGTAATGGGGCCTCCATGGTGATTTCTAGGGGCTAAAAGCCCTTTAGAATCCGAAAATATAAAGTCAAAATTCGTGAGTGCTAATTTGGATGTTCCGACGTCTCTGGTTGTTCCTTTAGCGGAATCATCATAGGCTGATGGATGAGCAAGATCTGCATACATGCTTGAAATGCTTTTTTGGATGATGAGTTTCGTATGAATTAAATGCCTATCTAGTTATGTGGTGCGATCAATATATTGATTCCACGGCTGATTTGTTCATATCCCCACTAATGCCTATTTTATGAGAGCCATGAGATATAATACTAGTAGGATGTTGAATTGTAAATCAGTATCTATTGATTTATACTACCAACGTATTTCAGAGGATTTCCATAGCCTACTATTTGTAGTCTATCGAAGAGAGCTAATAAACCATGCTAGTTTTCCTTCCGAATGGTCCATCACGCAAGAAAAAAAATATATATAAAAAAATAGAGATAAAATAAAAAGTACTCTTCAGTCTTATAGTTCAAAATTGACATATAATATGGACCTAATTGTGGGCAACGGGGAGCATAAATCCCTCAAAAAACCGTGCAACTCCTGCCCAATCTTCCAGCGAACTCAGCCGTGCGATATCTATTCAAAGATACAGCGTTTAGTCACCGACATTTAGAATATATTACGAGAATTATCATATACTCACATTGGTCTGGACGAACAATTACCAAACAACCCCCGGTTCGACCAATGCCATAGGTTTCATACGCATGGCCATGGCCCGAGGTATAGCTCTCGTCATCGACGAACACCTTCTGTAGGCCTTTATGGGATTAGCCATACTTCTCTAATATGAAAAGAAACCTCTTACATTTCATTCTCCATTTCCCCGCGACAGGAGTAAATAATTCTGGGATTTTCTTCTGCTCGAGTTTGACCCGTGGTGTCGATACAACAAGCAAAGACTGGATCTTGCTATCGACGTCCTGGTCTTGTGGGGTAAACCGGCGGATGATATGATTAAGTTCCGTAGAGAGCTGTCCTTGAATTAGCTCCACGTCTGCAAAATTTCCGTTTCTTAGTATGAGAAAGAAGGATCTCCACCTTTTGCAGCCGCTCTGCAGCAGCCTGATCAGCAATATCTCCCGCGAACACGACCATATGCCATCTAGAATCCGCAGGGAGGGCCCGGACCAATTGCATTGCCTTAGCATCACAGAGCCGGACGACCTGGGCACTTGGGAAGCGCGTCCCCACCACCAAGTGAGTCGCCAGGTCCTGGGTGTCTGTATTCGGTGACACCAGCAAGGACCGCTCATACTTGGTTGCTAGACCAGCAGTATATCTACCTGACTTGACAAACTGCTCTTTGATATATTCCGGGGTGATGTTATTCTCCTGACAATACGTGGTCGAAAACAGTTTCGACCAGGACCGGTCAAAGTTGATCAGGTCGGATGCTGTTTTCTGACGCTCTGAGACATACGTCTCTAGTATTTCGGGAGGGCATTGGCCGCGAAGCACAGCAGCTAGCTTCCATCCAATATTGTAACCGTCTTGCAGACTCACATTCATACCCTGGCCGGCCTTGGGGGAATGTGTGTGACAAGCATCTCCTGTCAGGAACACGCGGTTGTCCTGGGTAAAATATTCGGCTAATCGTTGACCAATTGAGTATGCAGACCACCAGACCACCTCTGTGATTTCCAGTGAATACGGACGAAAGATGGCACGAGCCTTTTTCTCGAGAGTGGCTAGGGTGACGTCCTGAGCGGCCATTCCGTCGAGCTCAATATAGAAGCGTACCATTGAGTCACCCTCGCGGGGAATAATCCCCAGTTGCCCTGCGTCAGAATGCAGGATCACTTTCTTCCGGAGGTCCGGGAAGTCTGTCCGTGGGTACAAGTCAATAACTCCCCACAGGGTATTGGTGCTGTCGCCTAACATTTGGAAACCCAGGGATTTGCGGACTGCGCTGTGTGCTCCATCACACCCCTTCGACTGCGTGTCAGTCCCAAGGAAACATACAAAGAAGATCTGGACGCGATGGAGAACATACCAAGACATATTTTGACAGATACTTCCTCTCCTTTCCACTGCTTATGGCTGTTGTTTCGACGCAGAAAGCGTCGGGGTTTTTCGCTTCCTCGCTGTTGACATGCACACCTGTCACTTCAACCCCATACTCGCTCTCAATTCTACCCGCAGACCTCTGTATATCCCCCATCATCAGCTCGTTGACTCTCGCCTGATTCAGAATAACATGTGGCTGGTGACTCAGGCCGGGCTCGGTATCCGCTGAATACTGCGACCACTTGATGCCGCCCTCCCCGTCGGGCGACCAGACCGCAAGCTCAAGGATATGGTGCGCTTCTTTGAGGAGATCCTCAGAGATACCCAAACTCTCAAATATCTCGACTGTCCGGCATTGCACACCGTCCGCCTGGCCTTTGTCGAGTGGACCAGGCCGGCGCTCTAGGATTTTGTAGCTTACTCCGCAGCGGGCGAGCCAGACTGCAGCGCAGAGCCCGGCGGAGCCACTGCCGCAGATGAGTACGTCGACTTGTTCAGTCATGTCGAGTCCGATGAATAATAGCTAATGGATCATCTGATAATGGTAGTCCTTGGTCCGCTTTCATTCACATTTTATGGGGTTTCTAATAATTATCTGCATGGATTTGACAGTATTAAGTTCAAATCTGCACGATCGGCATTATTAGGGTTCAATGACGGCCACCGATATTGACCGTTAATCTAGTCCCTCCAGCATGAAATAGCATAATGAAGAGCTAGTCAGCAACCATAATGTTCATCATAATGGGGGGAATGAGTCCCTGAAAAGACTGTCACTTGAAAATTAACCCGAGAGAAGTGGGGACGGTGATCCACGGCCCTTCACGGCTGAACCATTATTACCCAGTGTTTACATGGAATTTTAGGCGAGTGCTATTTGTCCCGTACGACTAGTCCCCATACAGCCTAGCGTAGCAAAAAGCGAGACGCGCAGTGAAGGGAAAGATAAAAGAGTTATGGACTAAACAGTGGAAACAGGTGCGAAGGACGAAACCAACAGCAAGACCGACACGAGCTTTAATGGACGAACCGCATAGCAAGACTCTCCGGGTGGATAAAGGCCTCCCAAAGGCCCTATCGTCGGGGTACTTATCCAGATGCGGACGGAACGGATCGGTCTCAATCACTTTCTGCATAAATCGGCGTGCGTGAGAGCGCTAGGTGTGAGTGTGAGCGAGGACAGCAAAAGGGTCAGGGATCCTCAGTGGCAGGCTGAGGGTAAGCTTCTTGATGAGGCTTTTCAAAGGCGAGGGGGCAAAAGGGGGGGTTCAGGGCCTGGAACCACCATTCTTGTCATTCATGTACGAGTATCTAATTACTATGCCGAACGGCTGGTGCTGAACGCGACACTGCATAGCAGCCATGTAGATAGGCAAGCTAGATCAGATTAAGAATTCATCCTCATCCTCCTCATCATCATCATTGTATGTTTTGTAGTTCATTCATCAGCACGGTTGTGACGGGCTACCTTGATATTGTCTATCTAAAGGTGCGCGTATGTACAAGGAGGATTCGATGAAGAAAGAAGAGAAGGGTTCAAGGGGTTTTGCTGAGCTCTTATAGCTTCCTATTCGTCGTATGAGGGGGATCCAGGAAGCTTCGCTAAGGTTCTATACTTGATGTGTGGTAGCCGATAGGAATACTCGAGGGCTAAAGCCCGAGAACTTCTAAAGCCCGAGAACCTTGGAATACTCGAGACCAAAGCCCGTGAACCTCGGAATAATCGAGGGCCAAAGCGCGAGAACTTCTAAGGGTTCAACCCTTCACAACGGTGAACCCGGGGAATGCATGACGGCTTTTCACGGTGACCCTCGAGATCCGGTAGTGATGAAATAAAATAAAATCAAATAAACTAAAGTAAATATACTAAAATAAAAACGAGATCAGATCGAATCAAATCAAATACAGCCTATCACCCCGCCTCATTACTGTCCGACCTTTACAGTTACACAGCGCATCACCGTCCATTTCTCACCTTTCTTTATTATCTTTATAAATAAGCAACACCACAGACCAAACAGTCACCTCTTCTACATCTACATTCAATTCAGAATGCAAATCCTCATCGTCGGAGCCGGCCTAGGCGGTCTCTCATGCGCCATATCCTGTCGCAAAGCCGGTCTTGACGCTACTGTTCTGGAACAAAGCCCTGAGATTTCAGAGGTACCTCCCTCCATTACCATACCATCAACGTCCCTAATTATTGCAGTGACTAATAAATGGAATGAAAGATTGGCGCAGGAATCCAAGTCCCCCCTAATGCCTTCCGCGTCATGCGTCATCTGGGTCTACTGCCCCAGGTCAAAGCTAAAGGAACCCGGGTTGAATGGCAGGATATCCTCAGTTATCGCGATGGGGGGTTGATTATTCAAAGGCTGCTTGGGGATGATACTGTGGAGGAGTTGGGAGGGCAGTGGTTGTATGTGTCTATCTTTAATTTTGTTTTTATTTATTCTTGTGTTATTTTGGATGCTAACTAGTGCAGGGTCATCCACCGAGCAGATTACCATGCGATTCTCCTCGAGGAAGCAAAACGGCTCGGGGTGAATATTCTACTCTCTGCCAAAGTAACAGAGCTGGATGTCGAGAATACCAAAGTCCACCTCGAAGATGGACGGGAATTCTCCGCTGATGTGATTGTTGGTGCTGACGGTAAGCATACAATAACCCATACAATTATCGAAATATATCTAATTATGTGTGTTTATATTGATAATCAGGCCTTTGGTCCCAAACCCGCACCACAATCCTCGACAAACCCTCTCCTCCCTACGAAACAGGCGACCTTGCATACCGCGCCACATTCCCCCGCGAATCCCTCCTGGCGCTCAACGAACCCCGTATCAACGAACTCGTCAACGGAAACGGGGTAACTCTCTGGGCCGGCCCAGGAGGCCATAGTGTCTTCTATCCAGTTAAAAACGGCACGGTGTTTAATCTTGTGCTGTTGCGGCCGGACAATATGCCTGCGGGGACGAGGACTGCACAGGGAGATATTGGGGAGATGCGGGCGACTTTTGAGAAATGGGATCCTGTGTATGACTACATCCATCTATATACGAGGATGTAGATGCTGATGGTTATAGGCTGACGAAGATTATCTCCTGCATTCCAACCGTATTGAAGTGGAAACTGCTGCATCATGAGGAATTAGAGTCGTGGACTAAGGTACGTACACCGCATTATCATTCTATTTGGCTATATACTCATGAAAAAGAATAATATAACCATCCTCGGAGACGCCTGCCACCCCACCCTCCCTTACCAAGCTCAAGGTGCCGCCATGGCCGTCGAAGACGGCGCCCTTCTCGGCGTCCTCCTGGGCGAGTTCAACAAACGCGCCGACAACACCGACAAAACCATAAATGGGGTGTTGAAGCTGTATGAGTCGATGCGCAAGCCCCGCACCACGCTGAACGTCAAGGGTGCGCTGAATAATCGCGACTTCTATCATATGGTGGATGGGCCGGAGCAGGAGGAGAGAGATGCATCCTTTAAGGGATATGATTGGAGTATTGGGGAGAGTAAGTTTGCGTGGGCGAATGTAAAATACCAGAAGGATTTATTGCGGTATGATGTTTTGGCGGATGGGAGGGAGAGGTTTGCTGCGTGGATTGGGGAGGCTGAGTCGAGATTATAATTATTATTCAAGTACGGTGTGTAGGGGTGTTGTGTAGTTTAGTGTTGAGATATTATTAAATTTGTTCAGCGTCGTCAGCTTCATCCAAGATAGGAAGACCGGAAAAAGAGGAGTTTTGTTTTAACGAGCTTAATATAATAAATATATATTAAGCTCATAGAAACCAATCATTTATCACTACCTGAGCATATGATCCTCATGGATTAAAGGACAGAGGAAAAAGCATGAAAACAAATGCCATATATTGTCTAGTCTAAATTCAAACTTAAATTCTAGCTCTGACATGTCTCAACTTCTCATACTGTTCAAACTCCTTCAACACCTCCGGATTCGCCACGGCCGCAGACGGTACCACCTTCTTCCCACACACCACATCCCTCACCAACTTCTCGATCTTCTTCCCGTTAGTCGTATACGGCAGATCCGACACCTGGATTATATGGCTGGGCACATGGCGCGGACTGAGACCAACCCTGATAGCTTTGGCGATTGCATCACGCAGCTCCGCACTCAGCTTACCCTTATGCAGCACGACAAACAGCAATACCTGCTCATCCTGGGTATCTGGCAGACGCTGCCCAACCGCAATGGACTCTTGTATCTCAGGGAACCGCTCAACAACGGTGTAGATTTCGGCAGATCCGAACCGGACACCTGAACATCATCAACGTTAGCACTAATCTTATCTCACATATGGAAAGGTAAACTAACCCCCCGGGTTCAAAACCCCATCACTCCGTCCCAATACTTCATACCCACCCGTGGCCGGGTTCTTGCGAATATAATCCCCATGGCACCAGACACCCGGGAACTGATCGAAATACGACTTCCGGTAAGTCTCATTGCCGTTCGCGCCCCAGAAGGTCAGGGGCATGGAGAAGAAGGGCCGCGTGACGACAAGTTCGCCATCCGCGCCGGTGTTCTCGACATTGGTTCCTGTCTCATCCCAGACTTCGACTTTGATGCCCAATGGAGCGCCGGCGATTTCGCCTGCGTAGATTGTCGAGAGGGGGGAGGGCATAACCACTTTTTATGAGATTTTTCTTAGTAGATGCTAGTTACCTACTGGGTCATGGGTTTAACTTACATCCACCAACAAGATCTGTACCCCCCGATCCACTAAAGAGCGCAATTCTGGAAGGGAAGGTTTGATAAAACCATCCTGCCAGTTCGGAGGACAGGTTGGACCCGGTAGCATTGACACTCTTGAGGGAGTCCAGGGGGAAGGATACTGAGATGCCAGAGGCTTTGAGGGTGGCGAGGAATTTGGGGCTGGTGCCCCAGTTGGTAACTCTATCGATTGTTAATATCAATTAGAACAGTGGTAGGTGGCTGATACCGACTTTTCTCGTTCCACGAGAGCCAGTTGAGACGAAGGCGTGGGATGCAGCGGACTGCCATCGTAAAGCACAATGCGGGTCCCGCAGGCCAGCGCGGAGACCAGGTGATTCCACATCATCCAACCGGTCTATGTTGTCAGAATAAATATTAATAGGCTGGTTAGGGACTGTACTGACAGTAGTGAATTGATAAAAGACCGAGTCGGATGATATGTCATTCTGCAGCATGTGTTCTTTCTTGTGTTGCAGGAGGACTCGGCCGGCAGCGTGGCATATACCTAAAAATACAATATTAGACGCATATCATACAGTAACAGGAGGATAGACTCACATTTTGGAGGACCAGTAGTTCCAGATCTTGCAAAGTTAGACGCAATCCTTCTTCCGTATACAGAGAGACTTACGAATACAAAACATAAAGCGGATGATCGAATGGAAGCTGCTCGTATCGAAGCTCTGGCCGTGCCCGAGGGAGGATGTCTTTAACAGAAACTCTATATGAAAGATCAGTTTAGAACTAACACAGATTGGAAATGCGCACATACACATTTGAGCCCTTGAACAACTGTCCCCGAACAACAACACTCTTCTGCAACTCAGGCACTTGCTCTTGCAGCGTACGATGGACTTTGGCCATCTTTTCTGAGAAGTCATAGCTTTTCCCGCCATAGACCCCCTCCGTCACACAGATGAAGACCTTGGGACGCAATTGGCGATATCTCTCAACAATGCCATCCATGCCCATATCCGGTGCCGTGGAGGAGAAGATCGCCCCAATAGCCGCGCAGGCGAGGAGAATCACCAACGTATCAACGGAGTTGGGCAGAACGACTGTAAGAATATCAGTTTAACACCCCTTATAAAGAATAAAAAAGCATGGAATGAACACACCACCAACTCGATCTCCCACTCCCACACCCAGATTCCTCAGCGCATGCGCCCACCTCGCAACCCCATCCTCCAACTCGCGAAAGGTCAATTGTCTAGTCTGCGCATCAATCTCACTATACGCGGTGACTGCAATCGCGTCTGGTTTAGACGACAGCCCAAGATCCAGAAGATTCTCAGTGTAGTTGAGCTTAGCCTTTGGGAACCAGGCTGGTGGGGGCCACATCTTGTCGAGCCCGGTCCCCTGGGTCTCTGGGGGGACGCTGCATTTGATGCCGCAGAAGTCCCAGATTGCTTGGGCGAAGGATGGGATATCGGTGGTGGACCATTGGTGGAGGTCAGTGTAGGTGGAGAGATTGAGGTTGTAAGATTTGTTGACGAAGGTGAGGAAGGCGAATACTTGGGTGGAGGAGGGATCGGGGTGAGACCAGAGAGGAGTATTTGGGGGCATTTTGTATACTATTACAATATAGGAACGCTAAACGGGTGAAGAATGAATGAAAAGTTAAAGTCACAAATATTAAGTAAATAAATCTACATATATAATTGTTTATTTCAGCTATACTCTAATCTTGATAATCCCGGTGTAAGCAAAGACTTTCGGAGCGAGGTAAAGTCTAATGCCGGTTTAATGCCGTTGTTGGCCGTGGAAGACCGCGACAAATACAATAATACTGACAAGTTGGAGAACTACTCCGTAAATCGATTTGATTACTCCGCACTTAGTCAGGGATTGGACATGATTTGATGATCGTGACAAGTTCGCTTAATGCACTTCCCAATTGTCATCACATGATTTTATTAACTGCCCACACTAGGGACGGGAAATGAAATTTCAAATTTCGAAATTTCGGCCGGATTTGAAAAATTCCATTCTCCGATAAAACGTTCCATTTCGACCAATTTGGCCAATAAATCGCCAAATAACTGACATGAAGCTATTCGCATGTATCGGTTAGAGACAGGTATAGCGACTGTAGTATATTGCCCATAATGTCATATATTTAACGAAGGATTGTTCCGATACGAAAGGATCCTAGAACACCGTAAATTCAAGTTCAACAACTGGAAAGTATACATACCCGGTACCGGTCACCGTGTTTAGACCGTGCTACTCGAAAACGCGGCGTCCTGCCCTAAACTCTAATGGGATTACCCCGTGGGGAAGACATGATTGGTACGATTATGCTCCGATCAGAATGCCTTGATTAGATCAAGGGGTTGGGCAGTTAGTATATAACTTAGGGAAGGCACAGAGCACACCTCAACAGTCATTGTGTTGTTCCCTCGCAGTCAAAGTTGATCAATTTATCATGAGTCCCCCAAGTGAACATCGATCTGACTCGGAGTCTGGCAGCAAGCCAGAGCATCAAGGAGACTATATTGAGGAAGCCAAGTTGGAAGGCGGAGTCGCATCTCCAGTCCAGAAGGTCAACAGTAGAGGCATCGTTTTGATTCCGCAGCCGTCCGATGACCCCAAGGATCCACTGGTATATCACTGCTTGTATACACACATATACGATTGATGTTCTAACATAGGTCGCTAGAATTGGTCCCGTGCAAAGAAGATCACCGGTCTTGTCCTAGTGAGTTTGGCTGCATTCGCAGGCAACATTCAAGCCCTCGCAAATGCCTCAGGGTTTTATACTCAAGCAGCACTCTATGGTAAAACGGCTGTGCAGATGTCTTATAGTGTAAGTTGTCAACCAATTATTTATCTCCAACCCCTTAGCTGACACTTGTTAATAAAATAGATCTCGGCAGCTCAAGCTGGACTCGCCGTTGGACCCTTTCTCTGGATCCCAATTGCAGACAAATGCGGGAAATGTGCCTGTATATTTTGGTCTTTGATCTTCTCGCTGGCCATGAATATCTGGTCTGCGTGCATGACGGGATCAAATCAGTACAACGCCTTTGTTGTGTCTAGACTTTTCGCTGCTATTGGTGGTTCAGCTCCTACTATTCGTACGGCTCTGCACTCTTTTCCTGTCTGATCTATCTGCAACGGAAAGTGAAATTAACTGAACAACAGTTGGCGGGACTATAATCACTGAAACATTCTTCCTCCATGACCGTGGGAAATGTTTCGCCATCTACTCCAGCGCCATTCTGCTCGGCATCACCGCCGCAGGGACCTTCTCCGGCTTCATCGTTCAAACAGCATCCTGGACGATACAATTCTGGTATAACGTGGCGTTTGAAGGAGTGCTGGCGACCCTCTATCTAGTATTTATAGATGATACACGCTGGGCGCGGTCCCCAGAGGATGAACCCGTGCCAGTGATAGACGGCTTTGTGCAGCGAAAAATAGCCACCTATTTCCTCACATCCCGATTCATTCCAAAGGGTCAAAAGGGACAGTTTGTGCAGAGTATTGCACGGCCAATCCGCCTCATGCTATCACCAGTGACGGTGTGTATTGGGGGGGCTGTTATGATCTACTTTGCGTGGGTCGTTTCCGTCACGACTTTCATAACCGTATATCTGCAGGAGCCGGTGGAGGAGGGGGGATACGGGTTCTCGCCTCTGAGAAATGCAGCTTGTAACTCTACATGTCATCTCTTCCCAGTGAAAAATAACTAACCAGGACAGTCACATTTACCCAGTGGGTCGGCGTCTTCGTCGCCCAACTGTACGGCCACTACCTCAACGACCGCCTCCCACTCATCATCTGCGCCCGAAACAACGGTAAATGGAAACCGGAATACCGGCTACACAGCCTCTGGGTTCCTATATTGGTCACCATGCCACTGGGACTGGGCCTCTTCGGCGCCTGTCTGTACTACCACTGGCACTACATGGTGCTTGCCTTGGCCACGTTCATCATCGCTTTCAGCGGAGTAGCGGGAATACCGCCAACGATGAATTATCTGGTTGAAGCGTTCTCCCCGCGTCTGGGGAATGATGTGATGGCGGCGATGACCTTCTATCGACTTGTTTTTGCGCTGACCATCAATTTTTTCCTGTTTCCATGGGCAGACAAGGTCGGGGTGCAGTGGGTGTATGGGATGATGGCATTTTTGACGCTGTTTGCATTGATTTTGGTGGTTGTGGTGATGCGGTGGGGGAAGAAGTTGAGGAGGATGAATTTGGCTGGGAGGGGAGTTGGGGAGGAGGTGACTGTGTTGAGGGAGGTGGACAAGAACTAGAGAATCTCTTCTATTCCAACAACGGCGCTTGTAGATAGGCAGATATATATTCATCTATTCAATTGACACTAACCGCATCGACATGTTTCATGCGACCATTTGATATGGACTATTCCAGACTGTATAGTTGATGTCCCCACGTGACCGCAGTGGATCCACATCCAAGCTCGGTCCCCCAGACAAACTAATGTTGTTGTTGCTCCAGGGCCAGTGTCAGCGCATTCTCTGGGAACCCCATCCAGAGCTACACTCGGATACACCGATATCCGGCCACCCTCCAATCCAACCAATTGCCCACTCCCATCCCCCGATATCAATCAGCATGCCCCCGAAACGGAAATCCGAAGGCCCAGCACCCAGCGACACCGACGCGCCCACACCCGCCAAGCGCGCGCGGGACGCCGAGGCGGGAGAAGGGACCTCAGCGCAGGTGAGTACCTATATAAGCACCTTCTTTCTCATCGGGTGATGCCGTGGGTCAAGGGTCATGGATCATCAACCGCGACGATCGTCGCGATCTCTTGTTGCACCGGGGTCTGATCTCGTCGATCTCCACCTACTCGTGCCGGCCCACAGCAACCAAGTAACTAATATCTACCCCAATGCCACAGACACCGCAGACCGGCGAGAAACGCAAACGTGGCCGACCACGCAAATACCCCGAAGGCTCAACGCCCAAGAAAGACTACGATGGACCCAAGCGTGGTCGTGGGCGACCGCGTAAGGTCGTTGCAGAGACAACGCATACAGGGACCACGCCGTCGCCGGGACCGAAGAGGGGGCGTGGACGGCCACGAAAGAGCCTCCCGGCGGAGGCGACCAGTGGCGTTTCTGATGCTACGTCTGTGACTACGACACCAAAGAGGGGACGTGGGCGGCCACGAAAGAGTCTCCCGGCCGAGGCGGGCAGTGTCGCAGCTCATGTTGCGCCTTTGACTCCGACACCGACGAAAGGGCCTGGGAGACCGCGCACAAGTCTTTCGGCTAAGGTGGACAGTGCCGCAGCTGATGTTGCGCCTATGACTACAACACCTAAGAAAGTTGAGCGGCCTCGCAAGAGTCTCCCGGCTGAGGCAGAGAGTGGCGCTGCTGATGCTCCTCCTGTGACTACGACGCCAAAGAGGGGACGCGGACGGCCACGAAAGAGTCTGCCGGCTGATGTGGGCACTGTTGCTGCAGGCACTACGCCTATGACTACGACGCCTAAGAAAGTTGGGCGTCCCCGCAAGAGTCTCCCGGCTGAGATGGGCAGTGTCGCTGCTGATGTGAAAGCCAAGACGGAGCAACCAGTGGCCAGCACCGCCCCCAGAGTGACAGGTCGTTCCTACTGGTTGATGAAGGCGGAGCCCGAGTCGCGGTTTGAAAAGGGTGTTGATGTGAAGTTCTCCATTGATGACTTGGCGGATGCAAAGGAACCGGAGCCGTGGGATGGTATGTCTGATGAGCTCTTGCACAAGCGTCCAAAATCCAATTGCTAACGATCTAAAATAGGAGTCCGGAACCCCGTTGGTACGAGATATTTCCATATCCCTTTTAATAGTATCTGACCACCAGCAGCGCGGAATCTCATGCGCGAGATGAAAAAAGGGGACTATGCGTTCTTCTACCACTCCAATTGCAAAGTGCCCGGAGTCGTAGGCATGATGGAGGTTGTCCGAGAGCATTCCGTCGACGGTTCGATCTCTCCCTATCGTTGGCATCAGAGCCAGTACTGACATGACCCCAGAATCTGCATTCGATCCGAAACACCCATACCACGACCCCAAGGCCAAGCGGGACACTCCCAAGTGGGTAGTCGTGCACGTCGAGTTTCGCCGCAAGTTCAAGAAGCAGGTCACATTGACTGACCTGAAATTGCACGGTCAGCCGGGAAAGCCGCTGGAGAATCTCCAGACGCTCAAGCAATCGCGACTCAGTGTTTCGTCCGTCACGCCCGCGCAATGGAGGTACATCCTCAAGCTGGCAGGCGAGAACTTGGAAGGCCAGTAAATGCAGAGCGAGTTCTTTCTAGTAAACAGTTTTATAGTCACATGGCGTCGTTGGATCGTGATGACGGGGGTATCTGTAATGAGAACAAAACACAAACAGTGAATCCATCAATCAAGTGGCCGGCCGCAGCGCGTAGAATCGAACGGGGAAGAGCTTCAAACTGGGCGGGAAGCCAGCCTGCTCTTCGGACTTGATCAAGTTCAGCCCGGCCTCCTTGAACAGCATCCGAAACTTGTCGTCCGTGCGAGTGACGCTGCTATCCAGCTCATCGTACACATCCTGTCCATGGGAAGCAGTCGACATATTCTCCTTGACAACAATCACCCCGCCATCCGACAGTGCCTCCCGACACCGGACAAGATACGCCACGAGCTGAGCATCCGTCAAATGGCCCAGACACCACTGATTCCAGACCAGATCATACTGTTTTCGAGGAACCCAGCTCTCCAACCCAACGACAAAAATTTCGCCCACCTTCCCAGCTTTCTTCAATGGTCCCTCGCGCACAACCCGCGAAAAGTTCTCCACGGGCTCAACCACATCAACCACCTCACACACGTTGCTCAGAAACCCCTCCGTAACGCGCCCGATGCCCGCGCCGCAATCGACGCCGAGCGGAAGCGCGCCCGTGGAAGGAATCGCGGGAACGAGGCGCCGGACCTTGGCGAGGAAGCTGGCGGATCCGCGAAGGTCGATACGCGAGATCTGGGGGAACCCGCCGAGCATCCCGTTCACGTCCGGGGCGACAGAATTCCAGTATTCGAGGGAGGTGGCATGGTTGATGTTGGAGTCGGCCATTCGGAAGGGTTAGGTAATTGCGTAGTCGAGTCGAGAGTATGTAGATCGTCGATAGAGTTAGTGAGCGAGTCGGTGATGCAGAAGAGTGGCAGTTCAGAGCCGAGGCCGGATGTGTGGGCCAAACAAAAGCGCCGCTCATCTTTTCTCCCCAAAGAGTAGGTCTATGCGACGGGTTCGGCTCGTCCGACAACCAGCTCTGGCGGGGACTATTATTACATATCAACGTCGCTATATCTTCACTCCCCGCTTCTGTCCTTCCATGTTCCTCCGCTCTGCCTTTACCTTCCCAAGGCCACTACGTTGCTGTCTATACCTCACTCCCCGACGCTTCCACTCCTCCTCCATCATGTCCGACGTCTCCGTTCAATTGACTGCCCCGAATGGGCGCAGCTACACCCAGCCCATCGGCTTGTTCATCAACAACGAATTCGTCAAGTCCCGGTCCGGCGAGAAGTTCGCCTCCATCAACCCCTCGTACGTTTAGCCAATTCGCCCATGTCGTCATACATACCCGTACCCCGCTAACGCTGATCACCAGAAACGAGACCGAGATCACCTCGGTCTATGCCGCCGGTGCTGAGGATGTCGATGTTGCTGTTGCTGCTGCGCGCAAGGCGCTCCGCGACCCTTCCTGGAAGTTGCTGCCCGCGACGGATCGCGGTGCGTTGATGATGAAGCTGGCGGACCTGATCGATCAACACAAGGAGACGCTGGCTACCATCGAGACCTGGGATAACGGTATGGATTGCCACACATCGAACGGCGGGACAAACTGACAGTCGTCTAGGCAAGCCATACTCCGTCGCCCTGAACGATGACCTGGGTGAGGTCAGCGGCACCCTCCGGTACTACGCCGGCTGGGCCGACAAGGTGATGGGCCAGACCATCGGCACCACGCCCGCCAAGTTCGCTTATACCCTGCGCCAGCCGATTGGTGTCGTGGGCCAGATTATCCCCTGGAACTTCCCACTGGCCATGGCTGCGTGGAAGCTGGGTCCGGCGCTGGCGTGCGGAAACACCATTGTCCTGAAGCCGGCCGAGCAGACCCCACTGAGCATTCTGTACCTGGCGAACCTGATCAAGGAGGCCGGCTTCCCTCCCGGTGTGATCAACATCCTCAACGGCCACGGCCGCGTGGCGGGCTCCGCGCTGGTCACCCACCCGGGCGTCGACAAGGTTGCCTTCACAGGCTCGACTCTCACGGGCAAGGAGATCATGAAGATGGCCGCTGGAACCATGAAGAACGTCACCCTCGAGACTGGCGGCAAGTCGCCGCTGCTAGTCTTCCAGGACGCGGACCTCGAGCAGGCCGCCAAGTGGGCCCACATCGGTATCATGTACAACCAGGGCCAGGTGTGCACGGCGACATCGCGCATCCTTGTCCACGACTCCGTGTATGACAAGTTCGTCAACATCTTCAAGGAGGTCGTCGCCAGCACCAGCAAGGTCGGCGACCCCTTCGCCGACGACACCTTCCAGGGTCCCCAGGTGACCAAGGCGCAGTACGACCGCGTGCTGTCGTACATCGAGAGCGGCAAGTCCGAGGGCGCGAAGCTGGTCTCCGGCGGCGAGCCGTACAAGAACGTCGGCGACGGGCGCGGCTTCTTCATTGCGCCGACCATCTTTACCAACGTCAAGGACAATATGCGCATCTACCGCGAGGAGGTGTTTGGTCCCTTCGTCGCGATCGCTAGCTTCACTACCGAGGACGAGGCCGTCACCCGCGCCAACGATACCACGTACGGTCTGGGCGCTGCTGTCTTCACCCGTGACATTGAGCGCGCTCACCGCGTCGCTTCGGAGATCGAGGCCGGTATGGTCTGGATCAATAGCAGCAACGATAGTGACTTCCGTGTGCCCTTCGGTGGTGTCAAGCAGAGCGGTATTGGTCGTGAGCTTGGCGAGGCTGGTCTGGATGCTTACTCTCAGATTAAGGCTGTTCACGTTAACATGGGCACTAAGCTGTAAATGTTGTTTTGATATAGCAAGTTTGATATTAATGATGATGAATTTTGAACTTTTTCTTGACTTACACGGTATATGTCCATCGCCACTATGCTCTTCAAAATCGTCTTCATCTTCAGTGAAATTCTCCTTTCACTCCGTTCAAACATCCCCACAAGCTCCACACAATTTTGGAGGAGCTGTGTATCCGGGTGATGGTGGACACAATGAAGATATTTGTTAAGTAATTCTCGCGGCGGGGTTGATTAAGGACGAGAGAACGTCTGCAGGAATAAGCTGATGAAAAAGGCCAGATCAAAGAGATTACTAGTGATTGATCTAGAGTGAGAAGTACATAGTGTTGTGATATTAGATAGCGCCACGTATATTGGCTCGCCTCTTGCTGATTACTTTTCGGGATCGAGATGATATATTATTTGACTACAGGACGAAGTATCTCAGTATGTATATTGTAATTCCCTATTAAGTTCTTCAACAAGAATCGAATGGGATGTTGCAATGCATATACATGCCTGCCAGCAGTTCCTAGGAGTTTACTGTCAACCCTAATTCTTTCGCCTCCATGGCCAGATGGGCCATGGCTTATTCAATTTGCTTCCAAAGCTGCTGGTTGGATAGATTTTGTGCATCGAATGCATCTTTCCTTCTGGTAAAGTTTGAGACTCGGAAAGTTCTCCAGAAATAGGACACTAGTGCTGGCTGCCCAAATACGCCTATTAATTTCCACGTCAGCGTTTTCCTGTATGATGAACAATAATGGAGGGCACTGGAGGCTTGACGGCTGTCTCTTGCGCTTTTGGGTTGGGGCATTGCAAATACGCCATATCACGTCAAATATAGCACAGAGCAGAGGTTCGAGAATAGTGACGGTTCAACTTCAGCGGACAGACGTATTTTCATACTGTCTAGGGTATCGCCGTTTTGAACTTGGGCGGCGTTTGCGGCGGTAGCTCATGGTATGTGACTGGTTCATACACACTCCAGGATGGTACAGGTAGAACAGGCGTCTTAGACGGCGACTGCCAGTGTAGAAAGATGGAAAGGCCACTCACAATCTTGCCATTTTTGCCGCCTCCCCGAGTTACTGCGTATATCTACACCAGATTTATTAGCTCGAAGAGGAATGGCATGGCACCGCTCCTCTGCTAAAGGAGAAAAGGGTCGAAAAACCGGGGCGAGGATCCTCGCTTGCGTAGATCCCATGAGGGGGATCCCAATCCACTTAGTGCATAGCCATTCTGTGGCTGTTAAGAAGCATTATTAACTTGGATGCAGTTTCAAAGAAAGTAAATAAGAACCAGAGTATCAGCAACAATTGATGCCCAACCGTCTCACGTCCACACCACGTCAGACAGTGAGCATGACTGAGAGGGGGGCCGCTGCTGCGGCATGCATGCATGCATGTCTACCCTATCACTTTTGAGTTTCCAAGAGAAAAATACGTGCAGCATGGGGTGGGTGCCTTAGCTAGACGCTAGGAGGGTAGCTACTCCTCCGGAATCTCTCGTAGTGGACCAGCCTCACTTTGACCATCACATGAGGCTAGGTATGCAGGCACAGCACGCCGTGACTCGGGGGCGATTTTTTCATGCATGCAGCGCTAGCCAGTCATGTGAAATACATAGTTAATCTGACAAGGTTATTGTTTCTCCGAGGTTAGCGGTGAGAACGGATACTCTAGGAGGAGTAGTTTACTAGTTCAGTTAGTTGACGGACGTAAATTATCCATGAATCTGTCAGGTGAGATTTTGAATTTTTGTCTGCAAAGGCTTCAATAGTGTTGCTTTTGCTTTTAATTATTTAATTTTTCTTTTCAGCCGTGGTAGTTAGTGAACTAAGTCGTTCAGGGGAGAGTTCACATAGTGACTCTCCCCTGACTCTCCCCTGACTGATTAGTTCAAGGTGAAATGGAATGTGGGGATCGGGTCCTTGGCACACCATCTTTCACTTGACACTCGACCACTCTGTTGTGCGCTTTCTCTTACCGGACTGCCGGACTGCCCCAAACCACCGACTAGACTTATTATTTTGATCGTCCACTTTTGACTTTTGGGCATCGAGAGGTCGCTGTCTCACTCTCTAACCAAGGCCCGTCTCACCTACCTAGCCGAGGCAGCCTGTTTTTGACACACAGCTCCTCAGGGGATCACACCAACGGGTACTCCGCTCTCCGCCCAAAATAGCGGTGTCCCACTCTGCTGGCTGATCGGCATCATGTCTAGCATTCAGCGGTGGACAGTCAATGAGGTATGTGATAGCTGGTGTCCAGCTTCAAAAGGCAAAAAAAGGAATAATGTCATGACAATCATCGTCTAGCCCTACCTCGACATAGCGGGCACCTTACTCGAAGGCCCCTATCACGACGTGGCTAACAATGAATTCCGCTTCGTCGACGTCTGGGAGCACAAACTCTATCGGCTCGATCTGGCGCGGGGCCCTGAATCCCTGAGGGCCATTGACACGCCTACCTCAGTCGGGTGCGTTGCCTCGTTATTTTTGTTTTGTTTTTTTTCTGCCGTGTCTTGCACTGCAGGCTGACTGACTTGTTTCCTGCTGATTTGTAGGGTGACTGCCAATATCGCCGACGTGGGCGAGGATCAGCTGGTCGTAGGGGCCAAGTATGGATTCGCTCGGCTGAACCGCACCACTGGGTCGCTCTCCTATATTCGCGAGGTCTGGGACGAGCAGGATGGGCCGGGGAAAGCTGAGAGGTGAGCATTTAATTAAAAGTTAGCTATCTTCTACTAACTATAGTTAGAATGCGCTTCAACGACGGCGCCGTCGACAGCCACGGCCGGTTCTGGGCGGGGGCAATGAACGACCCCAAAGTCCAAACCCCAGGCCCAGAAGGCGTGCTGTTCAGACTGGATCCGGACCTCAGCGTGCATCGCATGCTGGCCCCGGTGACGATCCCCAACGGGATCGGCTGGAATGCGCAGGATGACACCATGTACCTGACCGACTCGCCCACGGCCAAGATCTTCGCCTTTGATTTCGACGCCGCCACTGGCGCCATTTCCAATCGTCGCGTGCACTTCGATTTCGGGGAGCCCCTGGAGCCTGATGGGTTTGCTATCGACGTCGACGGCTGTATCTGGTCGGCTGTCTATGGTGGCGGCAAGGTGGTCCGTATCTCTCCGGCTGGGAAGGTGATTGGGGAAATCGCACTGCCGACGCGCAACATCACTTGTCCCGCCTTTGTGGGCACAGAGTTGTTCATCACCACGGCGAAGGATGATCGTGACGATGAGAAGTTCCCCCAGTCCATCCGGTACGGTGGGCGACTGTACCGAGTTGATGTGGGCGTCCGGGGGAAGCCCAAGAACGAGTTCCGACTCCAGGGCTGAGCTGCACATAGTGATGTGGATGAATCCACCTGTATCTTGACTGTATATCTACCATTTACCTCGTATACACTAAGATCTACGGCTTCTTTTATTATTGCGTTCGGGATCGGTCCCTATTCGCCCGTCCGACGACGTATATGTACACATATCCCGCGGCGCATCTGGTGGATGGGCGGGTGGGTCGACGATCACCAAACGGCCCATGTATGTACATTTGTTCCCGGTCACTCGGCATGGCCCAGCCCGCGAGGGACGGCACGATCCACTTATATACTTAGTCTGGTTGCAAAGGATTGGTCTCGTGGGTGAGGATTATGTACGTATGATGATGCACTGCCACCATCAGCGGCCGGCAGGACAATGCAGGCACGGAGATGGCGATGTATGGTGAGGGCAAAAGTGAGGCTGGGACGTGGTCTGTCTGGATGGATACATGCACCGGGAGAATATTTCCTAGCTTTTTTCTAATCGGAGTTCTAGGCCTTGCCCTGTCCTGGCGGGTGCAGCGGGTACTAAGGGGGCAAGGCAACACGAGAGTCAAGTAGATCGGTGCGGATGAGAGATAAAAAGAAAATAATAACTAAAGACTCAACACACGTGTCCCATGCGCCAGCTGCTTGGGCCTTTTCCTTCATGACACGCATAGGACAGGGGTTCCTCTCCTCCTCATCCTTCCCCTCTCTCTCCCGACGCAGCGGGAACGGCGGTTTGAGAGCGCAGCGCCACCGAAACTTATTGTCCTCCAGCCACTCACATCTGCTGGATCTATCAGACCGCAATTGTTTCCTCAGTGCATTCCCCTGATTCGCCCGTGTGCCAAAAGCACGTAGCCGCCTTTTTTGAGACATGCGTACATACTACTGACAGCTTCTCTGAAAACAAAACAACCCTTCGCGACCTATCGTATTTTACTAAACGCCCCTCCTACCTCATCAGGATCTGCCAGTGATCAACACCTCCTGTCATACGTACAGGAAGATATGTCCGTTAGAGCTGAGTTGCGAAGGATTCTAGCACCCACTTGGCGCCTCCTGGGAGTCCCAGCTTCCTCCGGGACTCCTTTCGCGGAAGCTGTCTGTCACTAGTGCTTGTTATAAGTAGGTGTCGGCAGTAGTCAGTCGGGACACGAGCAGCTTTACCATTGTGGGAGGACTTATAACCTATTATTCAGTTCATCTACACCGAGGTCCGCGAGAGTTTCTCCAACGACCGGCTTCAACGCCTCCCCCTCAACCCCTGACCGCGTGCAAAACCATAACCAATGCCCTCATCACCTCGCTGCCTTGATCGTCCAGTTCATTTGAGCTACTTAGGACTAAACCAAACTCTCGGAAATTGACAGGACCAGCTCCAGGGGGCTCGACTAGGCCCGAGGCAGTATGGATCAGTTCTATCTGGCGTCATTCTGTCGATTCCGGACTATGGAACCTTCCGGATAGCCCGTCGTAGGTTGAAAGTACTCGCCCCCAATTTCGAGCTTCCGTTGCGCTTGGTCTCCACTCCGTCCGTCCCTGTCCATGGCCACGGTGACGGAGCCGGCGCACTTGCAGCTCTGCCTGCCCGACTGATTCGTGCTTTGCCGGTCTGCGATTGCTGGTTGGCTCACTAACCCCCCTCCCTTTTGACCCCCCGGTAGTTCGCCTGCGCTGGCCCACTCCCCGGACCTGGTCCCCGTACTCCGTACATGGCCCCCGTCAGGTTGACACCAAGCCACGAGAGAGATAGAGGAGAGAACCCGAAAAAAAAAAAAAAAAAAACAATGCTGCTCCACTTACAACGACGAGGCTGGTCTAGGAGGACCCATAATATTATTGGTTCCCACCCCGGGAAAAGGCCAGACTAACTAGGGCCGACACGCTAATGGGGAGATCGTGCCCAACGCTTGCCCTCTTTCCAGTCTGTCGGAACGGCGACCAACTTGACTTTCTTTTTGGGTCTTAGCAGGCAAAGTGATGGATCATGGGTCCGTCTCCCTCGCTCTCACCGCTGAATCTCAACGGTTCTGACAAAGAATAATATTAATAAAATAAAATACAAACAAATTAGTCTTATTACTGCGTCCCCGGTCCTCTTCTTTCTCTTTCCTGTTCTTACTGCTAGTTGTTACATCTTTACACATACTCTTTCACCCACCCGGATTATTGTCATCAACGGGAGATTGTCACTCTCAACACCCATTAGCCGTCATTATTAATTCTAATTTACAAAAATCTTTTGAATCAACTACTTGGAGACCCAGAGGTGACTGCCGCAAATAGTGTTGTCAATTGCCGAGATCGCGAGCAATACGAGGACGCATCCTGTCGTCCATCATTCACCGTGGCGACTCTGGGCATCAGCGTGCTTCCCGCACCTCGTCCTGCACTGCATTCGCCAAAGCTGTCTTCGCCTCATTGCTATTCTCGCGACCGTCCTCCCTTTCAAGACCGTGACGTTGAGAGAGGGTGGGCCCGGTCATGCCCTGACCCGCGGATACTTGCCGACAATCTCCCGGATTCTATGTCGCAGAGACCTCTGCGCCCGGTCTCACGGTCCGAAGATGTGCCTCAGTCTGATGCTGAGCGTGCCGGGCCGGTAGGCAAGGCATCACGAAGGCCGCCTCTGCGCGCTCGTCCCCAGTCCTGGCATCCATATGGTCCTGTTGAACCGCCGCTGGAGTCTTCAAACCACCTGCGTCCTATTGGCGTCCATGCGATCTTGAATCATCCCGAGCAGGCCACCCCAGAGGAGGGTTCCGACGGCCGTCGGGGGTCCTTGGGATTGCCGGCACCGTCTTCTTCCTCTCCTCGTTCGCGTCAGGGCTCTTTACCCACAGCTCGACCGGTGCATCCTCTCGCCCAACAGCAGCAGCCATTGTCTCCCGGCATGCAGCCACATTACAGGTTGACTCCGGAGTCACCATCGGCTCGGTTTGTAGGCGGAGCCGCCAGAAACTCTGGTCCATCCAGCGTCGTTCAGTCACCGTTAATCTCGGTCTCTCAAGAACCTTCCAGGCAACTGGCCTCTACCTCACCATTACCCTTGGATTCCATGCTCAGACCCATCGCCACATTACCCCCAGTTTCCACTTCGCTGCACTCAACCCCGACCATGCACTCGCGGCGGACCAGCACCGGCCCAAGCCCGCTCACCACCCCAAACTCCCAGGAAACGAGTCCAACAACATCGCACTCCACGTCCGGGCCGTTCTCGCGCGCCTCTCCCGCGATTGCTCCCGTCCCCTTCCCTTCCAACGTAGCCGCCTATTCGGCTGCACCGCCGTATGGCCCAGCCGACCCCATGAACAGAACGGCTGGCCCACGAGCTGCCGATGAAGGAGGTGCGGGACTGGGGCTGACCGCACAGAGCACACAGTCCATGGGCGGCGGCGGAGTGTTGATTCCGTGCGTTTTGGATCTGAAGTCCGGGTCGTCCACCCAGGCCGAGAAGCGCAAGGCCAACAGCGACGCATCGAGGCGGTTTCGTACTCGCAAGCGAAACGAGATGCAGCTTGAACTGCGTATCACCGCGCAGGAGGAAGAGATCCAGAAGAGTGGTGCGATCATACGCCGCCAAACGGAGGAGATTCGTGCCCTGATGCGGCAGCGAGACCATTATCGGTCTGAGCGAGACTTCTTTCGTGACCATCTCGGCCTTTCGGGTTCCTTGAGCCAACTGTCCGCCCGGCCGGCCTCCCCCCCTCCGCCCACACCTGCTCCTGCTGCTGTTGCCGTCGCACCAATGGAAGGAGGAACGACACCGGGAGGAGACATCTCACGACCTGCATCCACTTCGCAGCCTAGCTCTGCTGGACCGGTTCCATCAGCGCATCTGCCCGATCCCGCCCGTCCCCCGGCCAGCTGGGTGGGCAGTCCGGCGCCATACTCGCCTGCACCACCGACACACCGGGGTATTGCGCCCGCTGGACCGCCTCCCGTGACTGGAGGGACTCTGCCTCCACTGAAGGGGGCGTGGCGACAATAACCGTTATTTTCTATTTTGTGTTATTCTTTTTAATTCCCCACTGCTGCTCAGAGCAACACAGTCACCGGCCTGGCTGCGGCAAAGGGTGTTGTCGTGTTCTTCATTAGCGATTCCGAAAAGCGCCTTGTCTGCATCGGCCGGGTGTATATTAGTATATTATCTCTCTGTGTCTTTTGTTGTGTGTCCCTGGAGGATGGATTATATATGAATATATATGGTCGTTCATTTATGGTAAACATACCTGTGTGTACCGAGAGATACCTCCTTGTCTGCGAAAAATGCAGTTGTGATTAAGTACCCACAAGTCTCCACATGTCACCGGCCGACCGTTGAGACTAAAGCCACGTCCACAAGGGGAACGCTCTGATTGGTCATCCACCAAAACCCATTTGGACTGCGACTTCCTTGTTTGCTTCTTCCTCTTGCTGTGATTCCGTCTATTCTCTCCTTCTCTACTTCTTCGAAATGCTCCTTGCTATCCGTGAGACCGATCTGGTTTCCCCCCAGTGGTCAACAGACACCCATTGAACCATCCATTCAGGAACAACATGGCGGCTTTCGACTCCGGTCAGAGCGCAGTCGCGGAGAAGGAGGGGTTGCTTGATGGTCGACGCATTGGCTCAATGCGCCGAAAGCCAGCGAGGCGCACAGTTGTGGGCACTGTGACGCTTCTGGGCTGTGTGTTGCTGACGGCCGTGTACCTGGTGACCGGGTATAATCGCCTGCGCGACCAACTCCCCTGCTTTCAGCAGGGTTTCCAGAAGGTGTGCGAGACTCCCCGGCACAAGCACAAATGCACCACCCGCAGTGGCGGATACCAATGCTTTGCGCCCGTCTCCCACCGCTGGGGCATGTACTCGCCATACTTCTCGCTTGCCTCAGAGTCCAGTCTCTCGGGTGATGTGCCACCGGGCTGCCAGATCACATTCGCCCAGGTGCTCTCCCGACATGGCGCGCGGTATCCAACCGAATCTAAAAGCTACAAATATGCGGAGCTTGTTGCTGCCATCCAAGCCAATGTATCCTCAGTTACGGGCAAGTACGCGTTTCTGCGGTCGTACAACTACTCGCTGATCAGTGAGGACTTGACGGCCTTTGGAAAGGACCAGATGGTAGACTCTGGGGTGGAATTCTATCAGCGGTATGAGGCGCTTGCTGCGCAGACAGTGCCCTTTATCCGCGCATCTGGCTCGGACCGAGTGGTGCTATCGGGAGAGAAGTTCATCGAGGGATTCCAGAAAGCCAAGGACCGTGACCCGAATGCGGATCTCCAGCAGCCCTTCCCGGAAATCAATGTTGTGATCCCGGAAGAAAGCGGCTTCAACAACAGTCTCGACCACGGCTCGTGTCCGCGCTTTGAGGACAGCCAGCTGGGCGAAAAGGCTGAAGATCACTGGATTGCCGTCTTCGTACCGCCTATTCAGCGCCGACTGAGACATGACCTCCCCGGCGTTCGTCTTTCCAGGAGAGATGTCGTTCATTTGATGGACATCTGCCCATTCGACACCGTCTCGCGCACCCCCGATGCGAGCGAGGAATCCCCCTTCTGCGCTCTCTTCACGGACCACGAGTGGTCCCAGTACAACTACCTGCAGTCTCTATCCAAGTACTACGGCTTCGGTGGCGGCAACTTCCTCGGTCCGGCACAAGGCATCGGGTTCGCCAACGAGCTAATCGCCCGTCTGACACAATCCCCCGTCCAAGACAACACAAGCACAAACCACACCCTCGACGCACCCGACGCGGCCTCTTTCCCGCTTAACGCGACTCTCTACGCAGACTTTACTCATGACAACGGCATGATACCCATCTTCTTCGCGCTGGGCCTGTACAACGGCACAGCCCCGCTGCCTACTTCGCATGTTGAATCCGCTGCAGCTGCAGGCGGGTATTCCGCTGCGTGGACCGTGCCGTTCGGGGCTCGCGCTTACATCGAGATGATGCAATGCTCAAATGAACACACCCAGGATGGCGACGGCAGTATCCCGGACGAAGAACCCTTCATCCGCGTCCTCGTCAACGACCGCGTCGTTCCGTTGCACGGTTGTCCCATTGATGATCTTGGCCGCTGTCGGCGGGATGACTTTGTCCGCGCACTGAGTTTTGCAAGGGAGGGTGGGAACTGGGATCAGTGTTTTGCATAGTTCATTTTTCGGTCGCTTCTCGGGAGGGTCCATTGCATCGAGGGCTCTCGTTGATAGAATAAGCCTCGGGTGGTAACACCCGCAAAGTTTTGTTATGACTATTTAATCTAATATGAATTATATTTGCTAGACACCAATGTTAGGTATTGCTCTTTATTCCTCCTATTTTTCTACGGTTGGATAGAGCTGGGCGAAATTATCAAAATGTGATGAACCTCCATCCATGATCTAGTATCAAGCTTGTTTTATTTTATTCACGCTTCATAGAAAACAAGATCTCTAGCTATAAACACAAGCACACACGCTAATATGTAAGATGTACGGTATACAAAGACATAGACCATCCCTGTCAACCCCCCAGAAAGTCTCATGCTTTCTCGTCTTATCTCGAGAAGAAAAGAGAAAGACATGTCTCCCATCCCATGATCCATCCACATGTAGCTGATGTGCACAAAGCAAGCGTCGGCTTCGGTGTTCAATGCTTTGTTTTGATGAACCCCAAGCCGGGACGGGTATCAAACGGCCTATTGAAGTAGGTATAAATAAACAAAGTCTGAATTTGTCACGACCGATGCCCATTATGCATCACGCCAACTCGCTGCGGAGTGGAAAGCACCCACGCTTCCCAGAGAGCCAGTTGATCGCGCCGGACATGGGAGCCGTCATCACCGACGTCATCAGCTGACATGGCGCGCAGTTTCTCAAGGGACAAGATTTTTGTCGAGGATGTTTGACGATGCTGTGCGTACAGTGTGGTGGTGGTAGGTGACGGGACCAGATCCAGATCTGGGAGAGACTCTGTCGAGTACTGCGAGGGGCGAGCCGCTAGAGTCAGAGATGAGAGAGGTGGTAAGAGCGCAGGAAGGGCAGGGCTGATATCTGCGTCTGTGTCTACTCCTGGGTCGTCGAAGACCTCTACGCCAGATGTTGTGGCGAGGGCGTCAAAGTGGGAGGTATAGTCGATATCTCGGAGGTCCAAGCGGTCCAGATGCTCCATTTCCGCGCGGAGCATGGCGAGGACATCGCGCCAGCGGCAGCCCGGACGAAGGTAAATTCCTGCGAGGCGGAACGAGCGCAGCTGGTGTCTGTGGCGGCGTGCTAGGGCTATGATCTCATCGGAATCGAGACGCCAGCCCTGCAGACTGAGCGTGCGGAGTGTTTTCCAGCGGATATGGTGGAACAGTGCTTCTAGGTTCAGGTCGAGCGGTGTTTTGTTGGGGAATCCGAGGTGGATGGCGATGAGGTTCTTGGCTGCACTGAAGAACCCGTGGAAAACATCTGATAGGTCGGCCATTGTGGTGGTTATGTCGGTTGTTGAGTGGAAGTTGATGTCGAGACTGGTGAGACGGCTGCCTAGCGCGCTGAGGGTGGTCGATGGCGCGCGCAGGAGCCGGAGGGTTGCTTCAGGGCTGATTTGGGGTCCTACGAAGCGGATGGAGTTGCATTTGGAGTCGAGGAGGGCGATGCCGAGGTTTGTTACTGCGCGCGAGCATGCTGGCTCCCAGTCGAACTGCACGCTTCTTCTGAAGGCGTGGTTGCGGAAGACATGGATTAGACGATCATGAGCCGCGTCTTGTAGACGCAGCAGTTTTATCTCTTGCAGCGATACCAGGGCCGGGAGTGCCCGCCGGAGCCCCAGTAGATCGTACCCAGACTCGATGAGGTCGTTCTGGTCCCGCAGTCGCCGGGAGTGTATTTTTGAGAGCGGCGGCATGTGTCCATCTAGTGCTTGTAGCACGCGTGCCCATCCTGTATTCAGGCATTAGTCTGCGGTTTTTGCAGGTTGGGGCGTGTGAGTAAAGCACGAAGAGCCGGTACCGCTTCCTTGATAAAAGGGTCGCACCATGTACGTAACTGATTTTACATAGCAGGCCAGTTGCATGTCCAGCAGATCCTCCAGTCGCTGGAAGCCATCTCGCGAGAATCGCAGCACAAATCGGGAGAATTTGTGCGGGGATCCAATCCGCATGAAGCGCTTGCATACGAGTCGAAACCGATCCAGGTCGGAGGTCTCGCCTGGCTCAATGGCGCGGGAACTATTGGAATAGGTTTTACTGCCATTGACAGTCTTTGATTCTGGACCGAGCAGGAACAATAGGATCTCCCTCAGAAGCTCGTCCGCGAGGTTATGAATGTGCCGTGGCTGGTGATCCATGATTGGCGCGCATTGGGGCAGCCGAATTGCCGACTGCTTGGTGCACGAGCAGCACCATGGAAGGAGAAGGGGGAAAGGGAGAACCAGCTCTGCCAGGCGCGGAGAATAAAAACAAATCACAGCAAAAGCAAAAATGACATTTAGTTTTTTGGGGGGCGAAGAAGAGAGAAAAAGAGAGGGGTCAGGGCGGCATAAAAAGAAGCGATCAATCAATAATAATTGATCAAACAAACAGCTTGTTGTACAGATCAGACGAATCGATCCTGCAGGGCTGGGCGCGTCGAGGACAGCTTCTCACCCTGTCCAACCGCGCTGGGGCTGATCAGCTAAACCCCGGCCTAGCGCGCAGCGTCGCGCTGACACTGTTGCGAATTCATTGGCGCCGACCGCGCCCAGGAATCACATGATCGACTCCGTCTGCGGCCAGCCAGCGCAGTCCTGCAGCAGGTTGCGATGGCTGGGTTGTACTGGTTGGTATTGGTTGGGTGTTGGTGATGATGGGTGGGTTGACCGGAGACTTACCTAGTGAGTTAGGGTTGCGGCCTACATGATGGAGGGGCTAGGCGGGGATAGTCACACCCGCGAGTGACGGACTTGCATGTTCGAATAATCGGTTATCGGCGTAATAATAATGTATACATTTCTTAGCTAAACCTTGGCCAGGTTCATTCGCCGCCGCCGGATCTCCGTGCTGCTCAATTTCGACTCAAAGTCGTCCGGAGACGCGGCCTCACCTGCCTGCAGCACATCCACCTCGAAGATCTCCAGGCTCTTCCATCCCTTCTTCGCCCGCTCCTCATTGACCGCCGCACCGCCAGCATGAGTCTCTCGGGACACGACCAGCGCACTGATATTCTCATCGGTAATGGTAGGCCCAAACGGATCCGATATCTCCTCAAACTTGAATGACAAATGCGGCTGTCCGGTCATCTCAACCTGTCTACCCTCATAGCCGGGTACACACACTTGTTGGATCCAGGCATTGCTCTCTTCGGTCGAACGAAAGTTCATGATGGCTATCAGGAAGCGTGCGGTGCTCTCATATCGCTCGTTGTAACTCTCGAGAAACTCGGCATACTTCTTATTCACTAGCAAGGCAGGTCCTGTCACCCCGATGGTCAGGGATCTGATTGAATTGGGATCCGCCTCTCCAGGTGGCTCTAATGCCAGCGCGGTGGCTGTCAGCAGAAGCTTGTGGCCCAGGTGAAGATGATCGAATGTGCCGCCCACCGCCACAGAATGATGGGGCTTGGATGCTTGCTGGCTGTCGGGAACTAGCAGAGATGGAGGGAGTGTCCAGCGCGTGTTGCTATTTATAGCGTGCATCTTTTTATACATGTAATTCTTGTTCGAGGGCTCGGCAAGGTTGGCAAAAGTGCTGGCCAGGTTCTGGCCAGCAGGGATGTCTGGGTAGAACACATAGTCCCACGAGCGCTCGGAGGTTGCCAGGCTCTTCAGAGCGAGAACCGGCCCAAATTCGGGACAGTCGATCTCGGATGGTGTGTGATCCACGAAAATCACGCGGGTGTCAATGCCACCGGGTGCATCCAGCTCGATGTTTTTGGCCGAGCACACGGCACCCACCAGCGTATAGATGCTAGTCAGGTAGCGCTGGAGCTGCTCAAAGACCTTGGCCCGTGGTCTGTTCGCCGGGGCAAGCAGATCAGGAATGGCGAGTGCAATATCCAGTGAGGCCAGTCGATTGGAGCCATCCAGAATGCGGACGAGTCTGGCATAGACCTCGGCCAACGGGAGTGAGAATGCATCCTCCACCGGGCCGAATGTAAAGGATGGGGGTGGAGGAAGCAGCAGCAGCGTTGAGGGTGAACGCCTGTATGTAAAAGCCATGGTGATAGGAGATCGTTTGAAACACTGCTGGCTGATCGGTTACTGGGAACTGTTGTTGTCTTGTACAGTTGTGAGCCGACGAGTGGGAGAGGAGGCTGAGTCAGCACCGGCGCTTGGTCATGCTCTCACCCCAAGTTGCGGTCCTCGACCTGTTTACACTTCCTTCGTCTGGCAGAATGCCATTGTGAATTGCCCTTACTTGATTTTGGATCTGGAATGGTCCCTGGCGTCCTTGTCTCTTCGCTCAGAGCTACTCCGAAGCTCGTCTTCCTCCCCGCCCGCTGCTCTCCCCCGCCATCTTCAGCCCTCCCGCACCCGCTGGCACCGATCCACGACAGGGAATCGGTGGAGCTCGCCCGCGGACAATAGATCGGTCCATCCCACCCGTCGGCCTCCTCATCTAGTGCTGGCTGCACCATGTCAAACCCTGCACAGCCCTTCGACTCCCCCCGCCGTTCAGCTGCGTTCGGTCGCCAGCCAGAGGAGCTTCACATCCCATCCACCGGGCTGATTAACCCGAGCCTGGCGCGCCAGCCTTCTTCTCATGAATACCCAACAACTCCCGACGCCAGTGCGTCAGTCCCGTCAATAAATGTGCAGCAACTGCAGTACGCAAGCGCTGGTGGAGGCAACGGCAACAGTGCCCTGCCAGGAGCCCTCCAACCAGGAGGTCACAATCGTCCCCCGGCTGTGTCTGCCAACACCGCCCCATCAGTACTGCCTACCCTACCACAGCAACAACAGCAGTCACAACAAAGCAGCCATCGCTCCAGCATGATCAACTCACACGGGCATTCTCGATCCAGCCCTGCGGGGTTTGAGCAGTCGCTGTACCAACAACACAGTGCCCCAGACGACTCCAAATTCCCAACCTCTCCTGGGGCTTTCCCACCGCACACCCCGCAAGGGTCCAAGTATTCGCCCTTGGGACTGGCTGATATTCGACCATCGGCCGACCATCTGTTCACTGGCTCGCTGATGAGTCCCGCCTCGTTACCGTACAACGGAGATAACCAGGTGCCAACCAACAGCAACTATTTGGCCCCCTGGCCCATATATGCAGTGGATTGGTGCAAGTGGCCTATTGCGGGAGGATCTGGCTCCTCTTTTGGCGGCAAACTGGCCCTGGGGAGCTATTTAGAAGATAACCACAACTATGTTCGTGCCTCTTTGCCCCCTAGCTGCTTCAATGAGACTAACATACGCTTTCAGATCCAAATTATAGATACACACTGGTCCCAGCCAGATCCAGACACCCCAGATGCCGCCGCGGGAGAGATCAAGCTGGATTATGTGAAGACCGCTGAGGCAACACACTCTTACCCAGTGACTCGCATTCTATGGGAGCCCCCGTCATCCCAGAAACAGTCTACTGATTTACTGGCTACTTCTGGGGATCACCTTCGGTTATGGTCACTGCCCAATTCTCAGCCCGTACCCAGCTCGAATACCATCACGCGTCCAGCGGGCCAGCAAAGTACACCCGCATCCAAGCTCTCCCCCTTGGCCCTGCTTTCAAATTCGAAATCCCCCGAGCATACCGCCCCTATCACATCCTTAGATTGGAATACGATTTCTCCAAGTCTGATTATCACGTCCAGCATCGACACCACCTGCACCATCTGGGATATTCCCACCTTAACTGCCAAGACCCAGTTGATCGCCCACGACAAGGAAGTCTACGATGTGCGCTTTTGTGCGAACAGTGTCGACGTATTCGTCAGCTGCGGCGCTGATGGCAGTGTGCGTATGTTTGATCTGCGAAGCCTCGAACATAGCACCATCATCTATGAGCCGTCCGACAAGACCGAAAAGCGTAAGTCATCTCTCGCATCTTCGGATTTACAATACTAACTACCTGAATAGCGATGAGCCCCGGCAACGCCAGCCCATCTGGTCCGTCACACAACGGACCCTGGCCTCCGCCACTGCTGCGGATTGCAGGTACGCAGCTTTGGCTTTTTCAATTCATCTGACAGAAGCTAACTGCCGATCACAGCATCTCCACATGACGCCCATCTCCTCGCCACTTTCTCCCAGGACTCGAGCGTCGTTCGCGTTCTCGATGTACGGCAACCGGGCCAAGCCCTCCTCGAGCTCAAGGGCCATTCTGCAGCACTCAACTGTGTCGAGTGGTCACCAAACCGGCGTGGTGTTCTAGCTTCCGGTGGCGATGACTCCCTCGTCCTCCTCTGGGACCTGATCAACCAACAGAACTCTGCACCTCTCTCCCCACCCGTCGCCCACACACCCGGTGCCCCCTCCGTGACTTCTGACCGTGGCCCAGCCGCCGCCTGGCAGTGTGACTATGAAGTCTCGAATATCAGCTGGTCTCCACAAGGTGGGCCGAACCACTCGGGTCACCCGCGGGAGTGGCTTGGAGTTTGCGGCGGGAGAGGCATTTGGGGCGTTGCGCTATGAAAGCCAAAATTCATTTTCTTTTCTTTTTTTTGCTAGGTTCAAGGATCTTAGGTTTTCTTTTCTCTTCTTTGTCGTGTTTTCTCTCCTGCATTAGATGGGTTTTCTCTCATGCCTTATTTATTTCTGTCGCCAGCACAAACCCTTTGGAACATTTCCCGTTCATCTTGCCGGCTTCTTTGTCCTTGCTATTGTTCCTGGCAGCCTTTCCCATGACTGGTACTGGTATCTCTGTCTCTGCATAGTGTCGAGTCGAGCGCGAGCCTGTTGTTCTTACACTTGTTTGCGGTTGGCCGTCATAACAAATAGGCCCTCCTCTCGATCTGTTTTTGTTGGTACGAGTGAACGAATGAATGAAACCTACATCGAAAGCCTAAAACCTAAGAAAGGTCCCAGAACAAACTTCTAGAATGCATTCTTCGAGAGACATCCATCTATCCATATATTCAGGGTAAAACACAACAAGTGCAAAAGAAAAACGCCTATCCAGCACGAATTACGAACAAGACCGCAAAACCGCAGAGACGAAACGGGATATTCAGTGAGTCGCGCAGCGAGAAGGGAATGAAATACCCACATAAGATGGGAGACGAAGATATTTTTCTTTCTTTCTCCAATTGGTACAGGGATAACTCTATGCCGTGCGCGGAGTGCTCAAGGTCGGAGGAGCAGGTGGGGGTGACGGGCCTGGTTTCACGATGACACGAGTCTCAAGCCAGCGCGCAAACTTCACGCTGGGGATATCGACTGCGCGCCAGAAAAGATCACCCGCCCAGATGGAGACGGGCAGACAGATGGACCATCCTATCAGAAAACCCAGACAATATTGGAAATCAGTTTCCTTGCCGACAATGCGCCAAATGGTCGGCATGATGGAGTAGCCCAGCGAATGAAGAATGGGTCCGTGGACAATATAAAAGGCGTAGGAGATCTTGCCCAGGTATTGGGAAAGCGGGTTGACGAATAGTTTCTGGATGTCGGGGCAATTGTTGATGGAGAACACGATCAGCACGGCGCCGATGGTTTGGGGGAAGCGGTGCGGCTCAGGATAGGGTTTTGGTGTGAGGTGCCACAGCCAGCTGTAGAAGGGCGTCCATTTGAACCCGAGGTTTGGCACCGAGCCGATAAAGAGCCCCACGGTGAAGAGCGTGATCCACAGGCGACGGCGCGAAAGCCGGATGGTCACCTTGGTTCCCGCACTGACGTGGATATGCGCCTTGTCATCCGCGACCGCGGCGGTAGGCGTGTTCGGGCGCTCCCATGTTCCATTGACCAGATCGATTTCGGCCATGAGCATACCAAACAAGAACAGGACGACATCCCAGCGGCCGTAGCGCATGCAGCACCAGATCAGGCACGCGACCAGCGGCATGCGGATCTTTGCCACCAAACGCGAGGTCGCGAGGGCAGTGACGAAGAGGACCATGGAGCAGCGGAATTCAACGGGGATGGTCCACAGGTGCGGGTTGTAGTAGTTATAGTAGAGGTTCCAATCAAATGGGTTCAGGAGTGCGGCTAGGGTTTTGTAGAAGTCCCAAAATTGCTTGGAGAAGGACCTGTAGACGGAGGGGTGTTGCTCGTTGGTGCCGAGGATGGTGTGGCCTTCTTTAATGACACCGTGGGAGTAGTTGTAGAGACCGCACCGAGCCGCGATGAAGACGCAGCAGAGTCCAATAAATGAGGGGATGTAGAGGCGCAGGCCACGGCGGAAGGTCGACGAGGCCAGGGTGGTGAAAGTCTGGTCGAATTGGCGGTTGCGGATGGTCTTGAGTGGTTTATAGGAGAGGACATAGCCCGAGATGACGAAGAAAATGGCGACCTGGATATGGCCCGAAATCAACAGATGCAGGAAAGGCAGCTGGTGGATTCCGAAATTCTCGCCCGCGAATCCCCACCCGACGGCGACTTTCCAGGTGTAGGTGAAGAGGAAATGAAAGTTGAAGACCAGCAGACAGGCCCAGCCGCGCAGGCCATCCAGCGCGGCGATGGCATGCAGCTTGGCCGGCTCTGCGGACTCGCCACCGACATAATGTTGTAGAAAACTCGGCGTGAGCCAGATGGTCAGTTTTCGAAGTGTATTTTCCGCATTATCGAGCCAATCGTCCGATGAGTTGGAGTGCGAGAGGATATTGGACGGGTGGAATTGCGAGAAGCCGTTCCATCGTGAGGTGTCTCCGCCACCCGCTTCAATGTCGCTCGCGGGAATCGCATCGGCGGCGGATTTGGAGGACCGGCGAGTCGACATGGCGCGGGTCCTGTCCGTCGCGCTGAGAGTGCCTTTGACAGAGCCCGCGCTAGTAGAGGAGGAACATCAAGGCTTGTTTCGCGGAGGAAGACGATCGGTAGATGGGAGTTGGAGGACGGGTGAAGTGTCGCCGGAACTGGTGGACCGTCGTCGCTACCACTAGGGGCATACGTCAGCAGCAGACACGACAGAGAGGTGGCTTGGCAAGTTGAGCCGCACAGGAATCTAGAACTGACAACAAATGTGTATGTTGGAGAAGTGTGTGTATGTGTGCGTGTGCCTGTGTGCCTGTGTACCTGGGAAGGAACAAGACAACACCCTCTCGGTCAGCCTTGGCCCCGGGTTGAGGATGATCTGTTCCAATTGCGTCCAGTCGGGCCCGCGTGCGGTCACATCAGGGTGGTGATGTCAGCATGGATGGCCTGTTTGGGGTTCCTCACATTCTACAATTCATTGTTCAGGCATCCAGTCGCATTTCTTGCAAAGTTTACTTTTATAGTTCATTCCTTTATCGCCGCCACCGACTCTACTTGGACTAAGTTGGAGATCTAAGGGCATGACTCAGCATTTAGAGATCACATGACCCCGTATATTCCACTCTGGCCTCAAGCGGAAGATCGATGTATCAGGCAGGAGCAACAGGGTTGGGGGTGTGAATGATCGCTTTGTTCACTAGAACGAACAGGGGTGGGTGCCACAGCTTTCTCGCCCCCAAATGTCAAGAAAGGAGAGCTCTGGAGCGTGCTATCCTACCCCAGCAATGGAGCTAGACGACCTATCATAGGTTCTTACCTATCCAACCGAGAAATTTTTTATAAAATAGAAGAACGTAGACCCCTCTCACTTCTCACAACATCCATCCCGATACGCTCTCACTCACTACTCTCAGCGCTATACTTGGCCTGTATACCCAAAGCGGCGATGATCCGCCCAGCTCCCTGAACTCGAACTTCTTTCTCCCTCGCTTCTTTTCCCTCTTTGTCCTCCATCCCCTCCCACCCACCGCGGCCTGGTCTCTGCCCTGAACTCGACTCTGCCGCTGGGTTGGATGTCGCCTTCGCTTGTTCCTTCGCATCGATAATTCTCGGTCGTCGCGACCCTGGATGCCGTCGCCATGGATTTGCGCACCATCATGAACAGCGAGGCCGGCGGCGCCTCCAACCCTCCCGCCAAATCCTCGAGCCCTCCATCGGAGCCATCGCATCCGCCGCACGCCCATAAGCCGATGCCCTATCCTTCTGAATATGTTGCGCGACCCGCACAACCGCATGCCCACCACGTTTCCCCCGATCGATCCTCACCCTACGGCCCGACCCAATCGCCCTACCAACAATTCAATGCACCACCGCCGCTGAACACTACAGTGCAATCGAATCGCAGCCAGAGCCCCCAATATGCGCCGGCTCCCTATGCGCCGGGAGCGCGAGATGCGTTCGGCGCGCCGCCACCGTATAACGCGCCGCAACCCGCCGCTCCACTGGCTTCACCGTACACGCCACATCCCATGAGCGCGGGACCCCAGCATCCTGAACAGCAGTCCTATTTTGCGCAGCAGCGTTCCCACTCCCTTCAGACGGTGATGACGAACCCGCGTGCCCCGAGCGAGTCCTTTCGGCCCCGCGACAGCCCACCGTCTGCCACGCCGCAGTCGCTTCCGACGCAACATTTCTCTCCTTCTGCGCATCGCTCGGTCCCCAGTACGCCTCTTGGTCCACCGCCTACCTTCTCGTCGCGTCGTTCGCCATCGTCTGCCCGCCCTCCATCCTCGGGTCACGATTCTCCCCGAAACCCACTCTCTAGCCCGCGGCCCGCGCACGATCCTTTAACCCGTGATTCGCCACAAACTCAATCCCCAGTGACCCGGAAACACTTGTCGCCTCTTAGTTCTCGACCATCTGATCCGGCTCCCCAGATTACCTCTGCGGGGCTGAAGCAAGAACCTGTCGAGAGTGTGGGTTTAAAGTCCGCCTCCCGAACAAACAACGTCGCCATTGCCCCAGAGACCAGAGAAGCACCTCCAATTGCAGGTCCGGGGCCACATGTCGCGTCCGTTGCGCCAGGGATGCAGGTGGACAGCTCGCCTTCGGCACTTGGGGCACGCGCCCCCGCGATGAAGATGGACATAGACCATGAGCCGACTGCGCGCGCAAGCGTCGATGGACAACCGCCCAAGCCGAAGAGGAGGAGGTACAACGAGCCTCCTATCTATGCTCGGAGATCTGTTCGAACCAAAGGCAAATGCCCAATGATCCCGAACCAGCAGCCGCCCATTCCAAAACATGCGAGACGCGCGCATCAGGATTCCTGGACCGAGCACAGACGATCGTCCTCTGTAGCAGGGCCCACGGCACACTCTCCGTCAATGGCTCGGGCGTCAATCGCGCCTCCAACCAACACCAATGGGCCATCAATGCAACCCGCGCCAGCAGTTTCAAAAGAAGTTGGCTCTCTTGGGCCCTGGGAGCCTTCCATTACTGGATTCATTCCTCATGAGGAAGTCACCAAGCGTCTCTGTGATTTCCTTTTCGAACATGTGGTATTGAGAAACGATGTGGCGGCTGGGGCGGCGGGCTCGGCCGCTGCTGGTCAGGGCGCGATCATTGAGGTTGAGGCGAAGTTAGGCCGTGTCCTGGACATGGATCGGTCAGAGCGGCTGAATCTTCCTATCCTGACCGAGAGTGTTATTAACCGCAAGAACCCAATGCTTCGAACATCTTTTGAGAGTAATATGAGCATTGTAAGTTCCTAATTCACATGCCTACGACGGATACTAACCGTGTTTCAGGAGCAACACCGGGCCATGAATAATTTTCTGAATGATGCTGTCAAAGAATCCCTGCCGCATACCAACCCAAATCGCATTCCGCTCTCGTATGCGCACAAAAAGGAGCGAGACACGTTCTACGAGGTTTCGGCGGCCGACCTGCCGCCAGTAATCCGCCACAATCTGAACCCACGACATAAGCCCCGAGTCCGCGTGACGACGGACCAGCGCACCGGCGAGGTTCTTGCCAAGATCATCAAGTGCCGCGTCGCCGATTTCGATGTCTACAGCCCCAGCACCCATGTGGACTGGCGTGTGAGTGTGAATTTGGAAATGGAGTACGAGGGCGACATCCACAATCTGACCGTCGCGGACGCAGCCAAGGGCGGCCGCGGCGAGCGCAACAAGGATCGCATGAGCTACCGACATTTGGCGTATCAGGTCGATTTGACCCAGGTGGCTCGCGCCGAGGTGAGTTTAGAACCCATATTACTGTCCCACTCCAAAACATGCACTGACCACACGACCTGTTTAGCCTCCTACAAAAAACGATTTCGAGCACGAGCTCGAGATTGAGGCGTCTGCTGCCGAAATCCGCCGCCAGGGCAACCTTGCCATGGAAGGTAACCCAAACAACCAGTACGAAGAGCTCGTCAAGGGGTTCGTGGACAATATCAGGGTCTTGGCGCGTGCTGTTCCGCCCTAGTAACCTTGCCGATTAACGGATTCTTGTAATATGTACACTTTTTTTTTTCTTTTTCTCTTTTTGTGATCCGTTTGGGGGATACACTTTCTAAATATGGTGTTCTTATCTTCTCTCTCTTCACTTCACTTCGCATTACGCTGTTTGGATCGGTTACATACAACACCAGACAAGGAGTTGTGGGACTTTTCATATCTCGAGAGCGTTATCTTTTATTGTATCCTGTTGCCAATGCATCGGAACCGAGTGAAATGGTGGCCGTGGTGACCTTGTATCCATCCATCTATTCTTTCCAGTGCTGTCGATGATTTACTAGAGCATCCACACCAGCCAGCCATTTCTTCCATATCTCGCCGCTCCCCAGGTTCAAGACCTTCTTCATCCGAGCATAGCCTCTCACGGTATCATCTTCCTCTTCTGATTTGAGCTTCACGCTACTGTTTGGACCCCAGACCATCCACTTCTTTTCACTGGCATCCCATGGCTCCAGCCCGTTCACGAAACAGATCCATGCGGATGCAAACTCCCGCGCCATGCGACGCTCATCTTCGTTGAGCGCATGGTCTAGGTTCCCAAATAGATAGAGCAGTTCATGGGCATGGTATGCCGTTCCCTCCAACGCATTCGGGATGCGGGATCGCTGATCGAAGTGGTACATAAACAGCGTAGAGCCAATTGACACGTTTTTGGACAGATGTGTCTGCGCCTGCACGTAATTGGGAATCTTGAAGATGGCATCGCCGCACATGTGTTCAACGCGGAGGAGCAGCTCCTCGGGAGATAGATCCTTGTTGATCCCGTAGTCATCCAGTATTTGGTCCGTATATACCTCGTTCTCGATATAGGATTGGAGAGTTCGGCGAATGCTCTCATAGTCCTCTTCCAGCAGATTAAGGTGGAAGATCACGCCTTCATGGTAGGTATCGCCCAGCATAAGTCCCTCCAGCCAGCCCGGCGGAGCATGGATATCCCGCGGGTCCGAATTTCCATAAAACCATCCATCCAGACATGGATTCCCCGTGCCAGTCAGCACGCCCTGAATAATTGGGGTTGCATTCGCAAGTTCCTGCTGCGGTACAGCGCGGAGTCCGTCCAGGGCATCAGGTCTTGCAGGATCGATGCCAAAATGGCGACACACGTCCCCGAAGAACCGGTCATGCTGCTTCATCGTCCACGCCGGGATAGCAGCGGATAATCCAGACATGCACACTGCGCGATTGAAAATCGTTGGGTTCTTTGCTAGGAGCTGGTTACTGATGGATATACCACCAGCGGACTCACCCACCGCTGTGACATTGTTGGCATCTCCGCCCAGGAACGGGATGTACCGCTGCACCCACTCGAACGCAACCTGCTGATCTGTGAATCCGAAGTTTCCACTGCCCGCAAACCCATCGCGCGCCAGCTCGCGCGCAATGGCATCGCCGGCTAGGAATCCGCCGATGCCGACGCGGTAGTTGAAGTTGACGACTATGATGGGTTTGCCGATGGCGATGCTGTGGGAAACTAGGTTGACGGCATCAAAAATGGGGAGATTGGCGCCGCCGTACAGCAGGGATCCGCCGTGGACATACACCAGGACGGGGAGCGGTGTATTGTTGGTAGTATTTGGGTTGATGGTGCAGGGAATGACGATGTTCATCACCAGAGCGGATAGTTCATCTACGTCTGGCGGGTTGGGAAAGTGCGCTGCCGGTGGGACGGGAACTAGGTCGTCGCTGTCGTCGCCGTCGATCTTGGGGCTTGGACAGTCATTTCTGTGATCATGTTAGTGATATATATCTGAGCCTTAGTAGATATGTTGTACCCTAAACGAGTCCCGTCATGATGTCCCCCTTTCCATGCGGTCTTTAACATTGATCGTGTCCAGCGCTTTGATAGGTGAGCATATGGAATTCCACAGAATTGCCGCACGCCGTTTTCATATTGCAGTCCGTCCAATGTCCCCAGGCTGGGGATGGATGTGCGGCAGGTTGAACTAGGGCTTTGGAAAGACATTTTTTTCTCAGTATACCCAACGAAGAGTTTCGAACAAGATGTCCGGAATGCAATATATCTCTCCAACTCGGCCAGATGCCATATCGCGCCGCGTTTTATTAAGGTCCAGGATTCGCCCTGTCCAGCCCCGATCAGGCAGTCGGACCCGTTATCGCTCACTCCACCAGCCTGATCCACACCTGCCTTTTCTCCCCGCATTCCCGCGCAGCGTTGCCAACGGTCTTCGTGCAAGGATTCACTTCAATCAGGCATGTCGACCCGCTCACATCAAGGCTGCTGGACCTGCAAGAACCGTCGACGGCGTTGCGATAACACCCGTCCGACGTGTCGAAACTGCGAGCAGCGCGGCGTCGCCTGCGAGGGCTATGAGGTTCGGCTGCGATGGGGCACGGGGATTGCCTCGCGCGGTAAGTTTATGGGCGCTGATAAGCCCGTCAAGGAGAGTGTGCCGCCGAGGCAGAAGGGTAGACAGAGAGATTTGAGTCGAGAGCGGAGGAGGGCCGCAGGGACACGGCAGTTGGATTCGGATAGTCGGTTTCCTTCCTATATGGTTTTACTCTCTGCCGTCTGATATTGACAGGCAGAATATGTAGATGTGATGACCGCCAGCGATGAGCCGGGGAGTTCTCCGGGGCAAGACACAAGCAGCGATGAGGCCCTGTTCAATGAATGTGAGTGAATGAATCCTCGAAATCCAGGGCACCAAAAACTGACCAGGTGCAGTCTTGCGCTCGGGAATTAATGTTCTTCACTCAACGACTGCTGAAGAGAGCATGCTCCAACCGCGTCTCCCGGAGCTCTGTCAGGAATCCAGCGCACTATACACAACCTGCCTGGCCCTCCAGCTCTCACTTGCACCCAGTCTGACCCCACAGTTCTTCGAGTACTTCGATGCAGCGCTCCGGACATTTCGGTCAGAGCTGGCATGCAGCTCGACCCTGTTGGATGGAACACTGGCCGCTGGCCTGCTGTTGTGTAGCATCGGCGTAGGTCACCCGTCTCCCCTTGCCCCGGACTCCATGTTTCAGGTACTCCGGACATAATAAGCAAAATAAGCTTCTGACAGAAAACTCCCTATTGTCCAGCTGATGCATGGCTTTCCGTGGACGGTGCATCTGGAAGGCATGCACAATATCCTGCTCGAGGATCTGCACCACCCATCCACCCCGTCCAAGTTCCGTACGCACCTTCTGGAGGTCATGGGGGTGCTGGACCTTCCAATCTTTGCAATCGGTCGCCAGAATCCGTGTATTGGGATTTGGCGACGCTATTGCCAGCGCGCAGAACCCAGAGGAGGCGTTGAGCCTGTGAGTGGTTTGCCTCGCGCCTTGCTGGATATGTTCGCCGGCATTGGTTTCGAGACGACTGAGCAGAGCTTTTGGGACTGGCCTGGCGATTCAGGAAACTTCTTGCAGTGCTATCTTTGGGAAGCACACCGACTGGCAGGTATCCTCACACTGCGACAGCAAGCTCGCATACCTGGCAATCAGCAGTCCCCAAATGTCTCAGCGTGGCGTCAGTCCGGCGCGTGTCCTGCGGATGCAACGATCCTTGTAGCGCGGATTCTTGCCAATCTTGATGCTTTGCGTCTGGCATGTGCGGAGGGTTCGGAAGAGGACGCCTTCATCCAGAATGCAACGAATTATCCCCTATTTGTTGCCGGGCTAGAAATCACCGTTCTGCGTGCCCGGCCAGACTGGCAGAAGAAAATCAGGAGCTTTCTTCTTCGCACATGCCAGGATGAGTTGCTTCTAAGTTTATTGGAGGAGGTGTGGCGACGAGACGACCCAGATTTAAGTGTAGACCAGGTAGCCCGAGAAAGGGGAATTGAAATGGGGCTGCTGTGACTCGATTCGGCTGTCTATGTTTCACCCTTTGCACAACGTTGCCTCTATCCTTGTCACAAAGATGTCTTCTTCCCTCTTTACTACTATCAAGCTTCTTCGCTTTCCTCCGAGCGGATCATCACCCAGTACTTCACTTTGGCCTCGTCATCCGCCAGCTCCACCTCTTCAACCACCCGGAACCCGAAACTCTCATAGAACTTGATATTCTCCTGCCGTGTGCACTCCAGATACACCGGATCGTGCTCAACATGCTCCAGAATCCATTTCATCACGCCCCCGCCGAGGCCGCGTGATTGCAGCGCCGGATGCACAGCGACGACTTCAAGGTACCACAGTCGCCGGCGGGGGTATTTCATCTGCAAGGATAACAAGCTGGTTTCATGTGCGCCAAGGAGCTGGGCAAGGCGCTGGACAAAAACTGGTTAGGCCATGGAACTATGCGATGGGGAGAGAGGCCGACCCACCTCGTTGTTTGCTCCGCTATCCCGAGCAGGTTTCAGCATATCAAGCAGCCACAGCTTGCACGAAAGGAATATCCGGGACAGGGACCACGACGTCCTATCTTTGGGAGGGAAAAGGAAGATCACAGCTCCTGCATCCGCATTGCTCAAGCTGGGATCTGGCTCTTCCGACGGAGAGACCTGTGCAACTTTCTCAGGTGTCGTGGCTGAGGCACCATCAACTGCTGGAAAATGGGTGTTCTGGATCTTGTGTGGAAACGCGCGCGCCATTTGAAGTACTCCGGCGGAACGACGCACTTGGCCCTCGAGCATCACTCGCTGGACTCGACGATATTGCCATTTCCATGAATCGCCGTCCAGCTGGCTCCACGGCGGCGCGTTGGGACGTAGCCATCGGATCAAGGGATCAGGCGAGAATGCCAGGCTTACTGTTCGCGCAACTGAGGAAATATCATGATCTGTCGAACGAATGATTATCAGTTTCGCTGAATGTTGATTGAATGAGATCTTTCAAAAACCTTTCTGCAAAGAAAATAGATCCAGTTTGACTACCCGCTTGTTGGTCATGTTTCCGGATAGCCTTCGAGTGTCGTGAGCAGAATATGCCCATTTCCTTGCTCCTGGGAAGTTGTAGATAGACAATCATGTACCGCGGCGGATGCTATCCAGCTAACATAGAGCGACAGTCCGTGCGTCGATCTACATCGTAACTCCATCTGCCTGGATTCGACTTGCGGCGTTATCAAGCGATGGCCATTTTGCGTCCACCTTCCAATCACAGTATATTCGACGCGAAAGACCAAACGCAGAGCCATGGCTGGAATTACACTTCAACATACCCGACCTTCCCAAGCCCCTAGTCGCGGCGCTCCATTCCTATTCGGGCAGGTCGACACACTCCAGCCCTAAAAACTCACCATGTGGAGCCAGAGATAGTCATCCCCAGATCCGCGGGGGGCTATCTCCCCATGTCTAGGTCCACGCCACTGGCACCGAAATAGAGCAAGGTGTCTGCGTATCTCGCTTCGTACCCAGTACGGTGGCGTGGAAGATAGTCTGTTCGTCTATCATGTGGCCGGTCGCGTCTACAACCCGGACACAGAAGGAAAAATCTATATATCGACTGTTGCACCATCGCCTGCATGGCAGGATCTCGGACACATCCTAGCGAGAACGATCTTCTTCTTTCCGAGCGAGACATGGCTGGAAACTTTGAAGGGTCTAGGGATGCCATTCTTCCCCCGGGCACTTTTCGGTTGATTAGTGGTATTTCTTTTCTTCTTGAATGACACTACGGAAAGGCTGATGTCTTTTTAGAAGATGGAATTGACCTCCATGGACAGCGAGCCATTATTCTCGACCCAATTCCGTCGAGCGACCCTAATGAGCCCCTGGTACGTTGCACTGTGGGTTGTTGCTTGTTCAGGTCTGATACTAGGCTACAGAATTGGAGCACGCTGCGGAAATCAGTTAACTTCGGCATTGTGCTGGCTATGACGATCGTTATTTTCACAGCGTAGGTTGAATATCAAATGACTTGGCCTCGTTAGTAACCCACAACACTCGCAGGCTCTCTATCCAGGGTATTTTTTGGCAGCAGATGGTCGTCGACCTCCAGGTCTCTTATACGCAACTCAACCAAGCCGTGTCGGTGAATTATGTCGGTCTCGCAATGGGTTGTGTGTTCTTCATCCCTCTCGCAAAAAAATACGGCCGGCGTCCCGTGTACATTGTTTCGACTGCGCTGATGCTGGTCACTGCCTTTTGGACCGCCAACCTGCACAGCCTAACGGAACTGTATGTCACCAATCTACTGCAAGGCCTGGCCGGTGCAACGAATGAGGCTATCGCGGAGATTACCGTAGCTGAGCCCTAATTTGATGGTTATACCAGCCAGCTGACGTTACACAGATTGCCGATCTGTTCTTCGTCCACCACCGAGGCAGCATGAATGGCCTGTACATGACGATGGTCATGATTGGTGTATGTATCCATGTCAGAGATTGGGTGCTTATGCTGATAATTCCACCACAGAGCTTTCTGACTCCCATGGCGGCGGGTGTCCAGGCCACCGCCCAGGGCTGGCGCTGGTCGTACCGCACCATGGGAATATTCAATGCCATTCTCCTGCTCATCTTTGTGGTCGCCTACGAGGAAACCAAGTATGTACCTGTACTTACAGGCCAGGTGCGCTCCGGATCAGACGACGACGAACTGCCGGCCACCGCAAAAGATGCCGACCAGCTAGCCTCCAGGATTAAGGTCCAAGCAGATACTAAGACCCCCATCCCTGTCGAGCCCAGCAACCTGCACCACGAGCTGGACCCGACCATCCCACATAACTCATGGCGCAAGCGCCTCGCCTTGGTAACGGCTACTCCAGAACCCATCTGGCCGTATTACTACCGCCCCTTCATTGTGCTCTTCAGTTTCCCTCCGGTCATGTTCGCCGCCCTCCAGTACGCCGCCGGCGTCATCTGGCTGACCATCACGGCGAATGTTCTAGCTCTCGTGTTTCCGCTGCCACCCTATAATTTCACACCCGAGCAGATCGGGTTCATGAGCGCCGGTCCATTTATTGGCAACCTCATCGGCGCCATCTACGGCGGTGTCCTGGGAGATCGGTCGATTCTGTACTTCTCCCGCCGAAACAAGGGATTTTACGAGCCGGAGATGCGTCTGTACATTCTGCACCTGCCGGCAGTGGCCATGGCGGGCGGTTTGATTATGTTCGGTGTCACCATTTCTCGGGTAAGGTTACACTGCGTGCAGCACCACCTGCATTTGCACCTAGCATTTTTTTTGGAATTTTTGTTTCGCCCGGACATCTCCGACCCCGCTAACTTCTCGGTCTTGTTACAGGGCATGCACTGGATCTATCCCAGTGTCGGTGGCGCACTGTTCGGCTTCGGCCTTGGCAGCATCAGCGATGCCGCGTTGACTCTCGTGATTGATAGTTATCGTGATGTATGTATATCCACACCAACACGTGTGCGCCGACCTTCCTTGCTAATTAACATGGACTACTGTAGATCACCGGTGACGCCTTTACAGGGGTGGCCTTCATCCGCAATGCGGCCAGCATCGGCATTCCCTTCGCCATCTCCCCATGGATGAAACACGATGGTCTGCAGAACATGTTTATTGCCTGTGGCTTCATATGTCTGGGCGTTACCATGACTATTATTCCCATGATAATCTGGGGCAAGGATTCACGCCTTGCCCTGGCGGCGCGGTATTACCGCATGGTCGAGGAGCAGGGACATGCGCACTGACGCTGTTGCACCCGTGTCCAACGTCTAGGGTCGTTTTGTTGACTTCTGGAATTTCTCTGATGGCTTTGTACGAGGAGCAAAGAATCTAGTTGCCTGGCCTGGTGATATTTTCTTGTGCAATTTTGTTCTGTTTTTCTTCTTTCCCCCTCTGATATGGTTTGGATATAGCTGTGACGTATAATGGCATGCGGCTATTTTCCTTTTTTGGTAGAAATATACTAGATAACATGGCCATATGCAGAAGACCCTTGCTCACTTTCCATTCTTTCATATTCATAATTTATGCATTGCAGCCCTGGTATGCTTTCTGAGATCTCATGATCGCTAGATACGAAGAGGACATGATCGCAAGTCGACGCACCAGCTTTCTGTCTGAACCCTAATAAAACACGGATGCCTGTTGTAGGAACAGACAGAAAAAGCAAAGAGAAAATAAGCAAATTACACAGCGTGGCCAGGCCGAAACCCTATCGCAACCCTCCTCGTTCTACAGATTCGCCTGACGACGATTGTCAGCCACGCTGTTGGGCAACTCCGCGGCAGCAATTCTTTCTTCAGAAACAAGCATCTGATCTGGGAACCACGACATATCTGCGTCAGCAGTCGGAGCAAGTCGGCGGTCCTGCAGGAGGAGCATCGTGGCCAGGGCCTTGCCGCACAGCCAAGCCTGCACCATACCCTCGCCACCAAAAGCCGCACACACCCATTCGGCACCGTTGCCGTGGGAGGAGGCAGAGGCACTACGGTCACTGTCACGACGTGTCATCGAAGCAGGCAACCGTCCCACCCAGGGGAACCCGTCAGAGCTGAAAGCCATGTTGCCTGTCCACATTGCCTGTACGGGATCGCCGTTCACACGCCCCCAAGCCTGGCGGCCGAAAATGGCGCTCAAAGCGCCCGAGAGGTGGATGTCAATGTATAGGCTTAGGTCTGAGTCTGTTGCGATGCCCAGATCGGCAAGCCCGCCGCCCTCGCCCTGCGCGAATCCGCCGCCAAGCATCATCTGGCCACCCGGAAGCTGGGTAAGGTAGTCGAAGCCACGTTCGTAATTGAAAAGCCATGAATGCTCCTTTGCCTGGCATGGGAACCGGTCACCGGGTGTCTGCGCCGACATCTGGCCGCGCACGGGGAAGATGCGTCCACGCAGGCCTGGGACCAAGTGACTAACATGTGCGTTGGTGCAATGAATGACGTGATTGGCAAAGATTGTGCCCCGACTAGTCTCGACTTTGTAGCGCAGCTCCTTGGTTGAAGATGTGTTGTGGATGGCGGTCACGGCTGTATGTTCTTCGACGAGGAAATCCTGCGGATACTCTTCCAGCAGACGGGACAACACGCCTGTCACAAACTTGTAGGGCCACAGAGCACCAGCTGGACCAGCAATGACACCTCGCGCACGAGAAAGGTTGAACTCCTGGGATGGGGTGAGAATGAGATTATAATCGCAAAAGCGCGGGACTTACCTTGGGAATAGCACCAGCTTCATAGGCAGTCCACTCCGCTGACTCTTCAGGAAGTCCCTCTCTGAACTTCTGCAGTCTATCCAGCGCTTCCTTGAACGAGTCATCCTCGAAAAACACACTGAGGAACTGCACTTTGCGTGCCTGCGCCTCCTCCGTCAAACCAAACTCATCCGCAACGCGAAGCATCTCCTTCAGATGCGACAGACGGAAGCGTAATGTCTTGCGCGCAACGTCCTCACCAAATACATCAGCAAGCTCAGCATATTCGTCTGCGGTCTCGAGGATGTGGCCGCCATTACGGCCCGTGGCACCGCTACAAATGCCGCGGGCCTCGAGCATGACGACGGCTGGATGTGTCGGCACGGAAGATTCATGAGCACGACATTGGAGTAGCGTGCGTGCAATAGAAACGCCTGTAATCCCAGAGCCAATGATTACGACATCGCTCACGCTGGGCAGTGTAGTGGTAGTCAGGGCCCGCTGGGTGAAGCGCGGGTGCGGCTCTTGGAGCCAGAAAGAGGAGGTTGTGGTTGAGCAAGGAATACCTGGGTCAGAAAAGATGCGATCCAGAGCTTGCTGGCGCGCTGCGACAGGAATTGCTTCGTCGCTGAGTAGAGCTTGAGCGAACGGCATGGTGGGTGTAGAAATGGAGAGAAAGGAATGGTGTGGTAATGGGAAGGAGAGGTTTGGGGTAAAGCTTGAAATAGCCGGCCTCTGCCTGCTTGAAGTAAACACTCTCGCTAATCAGATGCTACCTCTTGTACCTCCCCCGTTTGGTGCCTGGCCAGATCCTGGCCGAGATCAGATAAACTTGGGGTGGGACGACCTACTTGTTTGGGCAGTGCGGAGACGACTTAGGACTCCATAGATATCCGTCGTTCGAGTCCACGCTGAACGCATACAAAAGAGACACTTTTCATCCTCTCAGATATCTTAATTATCTTTCTCCTTGATCCAATAATCGTAAGCATAATCATCATGTCTGCCACTCCATCTCCAGGCAATACCTTCTTTCCGCAGGGTCCGCGCATGCGCCAGCCTTCGCTATCGTTCCTGTACCGGCTTGAATGCGACATTGCCAGAGACGAGATCAATGTCGGCGCACCCCACAATGCAGGTATCATCCGCAGTATTGCCAACATTGTCCGCGGCAGCATGAAAGGACCCGGCATCGAGGGCGAGGTACTTCCGCTAGGGGGAGCAGACTGGGCAACCATGGTGAAAGGAACACATGTCAGTTAATCGTTTCTATTTTTCATTGATCCATTTTGGGGTCTCTTACCCCGGGCAATCTGTTGCTTTTATCTCTGCTTCTCCTATACTAATTTTCGCAGTCCATGACCCTAGACGCCCGTTACACCGTCCGCACAACAGACAACCATTATCTCTACATTCGCGCACACGGGCTCTATCGGCCCGGTCCAGGCACGGACTATGCAAGGCAGGTGGAAGCCAATCCAGAAACAGTTCCACCGGGGACAGTATCGCAGGACGACGTCGAGTTCTTCTCGCATTTACGGATTGAGACGGGGCCTGGGCCGTACAACTGGCTGAACGGGTTGGTATGCCTTGGAGTAATGACATGCGAGAGGGAGAAAATTTGGATTGACGCGTACCACTTGACCAATTTCCCGGGCGTTCGGCCGGAGGATGTGGTGGCGCGGTGAGAAATAGCGAGATTAGGGCTTATTCCATCTAGTAGACTAGGGATGACTTGCAAGTAGATTGGAGAATTGATTGAGTGGTTTATTGATAAATGGACCGATTTTTATGGAGAGTTTTAGGACAATATTCTTCTAAAAACACCAAATATGATCTAAACGAAAACCAAGGAGAGCGGCATTGTAGCGACCTTCCCGATTCGGCAGGTGGACGCAACCATCGCAGCTAGAGATAACGGTGCGGGGAAGGACGTAAGACACGGATAGAGAATACGGCATCGTGAATCGCATACCTCGGCCATTTTCGTCTCATATATACACCACACAATCACCACAAGCTGACGCGAGGCTGGACCTCTATTCATACAAGTTCAATGGCAAATACCAACGCACCCACCCGTAATAGCAACACGAACTGGCGAGACCTCGTTGCGCAGAAGCAGCGCGAATGCCGCGAGAAGATCCCAAGCGAATGGATTCTCGATGAGAAACTCCTAGCGCAGGCTCCGCGCCGGCTACTGGAGTATAACCTCCCACGCCACAGCGGGATTCTATCTGAGGCCGAGTTGGATTTGACGGAGAAGTATACCGCCAGCCAGCTGCTCCCGAAATTGGCCTCTGGGCAAGTTAGTTCGCTGGCTGTCACGACGGCGTTTTGTAAGCGGGCTGCGATTGCACAGCAGGTGGTATGTAGAAGTGCGCTGCTCTAGCGCAAGAACTGATATGCTGATTTATGTCGGACTGATATAGACATCCTGCTTGACGGAGACCTTCTTCCCACAGGCACTAGAACGAGCTCAATTCTTGGATGAATATCTGCACAGAGAGGGAAAGCCCTTTGGCCCTCTTCATGGCCTGCCCATCAGTCTGAAAGACAGTTTCTGTGTACAGGGCACGCAAGCCACGGTGGGATACGTGTCGTTCTTGAAGCACGCACTTGCAACGTCCGACTCGGCGCTCGTCAGCATGCTGCTCAAGCTGGGAGCCGTCTTGTACGTCAAGACTAATATCCCGCAGACCATGATGGTATGTACGGGTATCACCCACTTACTTGCTTCTCCGTGTTTCGGTCACGGCTAACAATAACCCTTCCTACTCCATCCAGACCGGAGACTCAGATAACAACATCTTCGGCCGTACCTTAAACCCGCACAACACCTCCCTCACAGCCGGAGGTTCCAGCGGCGGCGAGGGCGCACTGGTTGCATTTCGCGGATCAATCCTAGGCGTGGGCACTGACATCGCGGGCTCAATCCGTATCCCTTCTCTATGCTGCGGCGTGTACGGGTTCAAGCCAACTGTAGATCGCATTCCCTTTGGAGGACAGGTATCTGGTGCAATGGAGGGAATGCCTGGACTCAAGCCTTCCGCGGGTCCATTGGCACATAGCATTGCAGATCTGCAACTGCTGATGCAAAACGTGATAGGAGACGGAAGTGCGTGGGAGTTGGATTGTACAGCTGTCGGGGCGCCGTGGAAGCAGTATTTGCACCAGAATGATCGAAATGGGAGCCTGAATATCGGAGTAATGGCTGAGGATAAACATTTCCCGCTCCATCCCCCCATCAAACGAGCTCTCAATCTTGCAATCGAGCGTCTAGCGCGCGCAGGCCACCGCATCATCCGCCTCGAAAACCCCGGCAACGAATGCCTGTCCGTGGCATATGCATCCCGTCTGGCATTTCAATACTTCACCTACGGTCCGCACGAAGACAACATCGGGGCCAGCGGCGAGCCCCTCGTGAACTCGGTAGCCAAGTTTGCGGCGCCGATGTTCTCAGGCCCTTGGCCCGTTGAGCAAGGCCTGGAGCCATTCCAGACAATTCAGGCACTGCACGTGGCTAGACAGCGAGTGAGCGACGAATGGCGCCGAGTATGGGTTGATCAGAAGCTGGATGTGATTTTGGCGCCCGGGGCGCAGAACACGGCTGTTGCGTATGATACCTTTGGGTGGCCGCCGTATACGGTTATGTGGAACCTGCTTGATGTAAGTTGTCATCTGTGATGTTCTTGTGTCGTTGCTCACGAAAGATCTAGTATCCTGCCTGTATCATTCCTTTTGGCAAGGCGTCGAAGGAGCTCGATCCCGAGGAGATGAAAACAGGAGATGAGGTGCAACCAGATTGTAAGTGTGCCTAGGTATTCGTGGACAAAGGTTTTATTCTGACTGCGCTCTAGATCATCCAGACGAAGTAGATGGAGCACCCTGCGCGGTGCAAGTCGTTGCGCCGCGGTTCCAGGACGAACGGTGCCTATGGGCAGCGGAGATCATTGATCAGGCAATTCAAGAGTCCCAGTGATGTTTTCAGCCCAAATCAAGTTGTCATTTGTTGCTGTTCTGTCAAGTACATCGAGGATAAAGTAGAATACACATGAGAAGCTGATCCGTCCCATCCATCCTGCGGCCAATGATAAAGATAAAAAAAAAAACAAAGACAGTGCAGTCGGCAGCCGTTTTAATGCTTCAAAGGGAGTTGATAAAAGGAAATTAGAACTACGGGCTGGGGGTGCCCTCATCGTACCGCGGTCCACCATCATCGCCGCCATAGCCTGCTCCTGGCGTAGCAGCCATGCCACCACCCATCGCCGGTGTCGGTGCATCGAAGGGGTAGGCAGCGGGCGTCGGCGCATCATAGCCTCGCTTGGAGGGGCCACCGGGAGTAGGCGCGCTGAAAGCTCCGCCGGGAGTGGGGGCGTTATCAGGCCATGCGCCCGGGGTCGGGGCGGATGCGCCTGGCGTTGGTGCGTACGCCCCAGGAGTAGGCGCAGAGTAACTAGCACCGGGCGTAGGAGCGTCATCGAAGTCTCGATGGTCTCGACCATTAGAAAGTCCGCCCCAAGCTGGGGTGCGGTTGCCAACGTTGGCACCACCCGCACTACCCCAGGCAGGGGTGCGAGACCCAGAAGCAAAGGCATCGAAGCCGGAGCCGCCGTCGTATGGGGTCCGGGAGCCAGAATTCCATGCGGGAGTGCGGTTTCCAAGCCCGCCATAGGCGGTGCGATTTCCATCGTAGGGGTTTGAAGTGCGTGATCCGTCCGCCTTCCATGCCGGAGTACGGGCACCGGCAGCGGCACTGCTCATGCCTCCCCAAGCAGGGGCTGTGATCTTGTTAGCTTCTTGTTTCCAAATAGGAACAGCATCAACCTACTGCGTGAAGATAACCCTCCCCACGCCGGAGTTCTTGAAGAATCTGCGGCGGCGATGGGGGTTCGACCACCCTGCCATCCATCTCTTGCGGGAGCACCAGATGCACCGAATGGTACACGGGAGCCTCTTCCACGACCCATATCGAGCGTTTGTTTGGAAACAGGACTGCCGGAGATCAGTAAAAGAACGCATGAACAGCAAAATGATTCTGACGTACTCTTTGGGAGTCAGGATATCCCGGGCCAAAATCACGGGCTTGTTGGATGTGTAGAGCTCAACCTGAGCAGATGTGTCGTCTGCATCCCGCACGATACCAATGAGACCCTTGTAACGACCCTTCCGAATCGTCACGGTCTTTCCGACTAACCTGTCACGGCCACGTTGAGGGGGTGGCATTGCACCACCACCACCGCCTCTTCCAGCCTGCTGATTGAGGGCGGGGTTCAGTTTCGTGAGATCGGGTCCGGCAGGCCGACCACCTCTCGCCGATACAGTGACGACATTTGTTGTTCGCACCACAGTGATACCGGCATTTTCAGCCTGTGCCTTGTTGTGTAGGAAGAGGAATGAACGGTGAATATGACGAATAACGCCGCTTCTCTGCTCTCCGTACACTTCGCGAACGGTATCGCCATGTCGGATCTCGGCGCCATTGCGGTCAGTTGCTACAGCATCGCGGCGAGGAGTAATCTTGTTGGCAATCTGACTGGGAAGGACATTGCGAACAGACCCGTTTTGATCCACGACGCGCAGAGACTCGCGGTCGACTTTGATCACACAGGCAACCGTGGCAGCACTGTAACAAGATTAGCGGATTCTCGGGAGAACTCAATTCACGCTGAAAACTAACTCAAGTTGGACCAGGTCCTGAACATCATAGATGCCCAGTTGTCCATCAGTAGTCATTTCGGCAGAGAGCCGGAGGTCCTTGCTGAAGACCGTGATCTCCTGCATGCTCATGTCGCTGAGGAGGGTGACGGTGTCATCCTTGACCTGCACCACCATACCCAGTTCATTGTTGTATCGGCTACCCCCAATCACCTTGACGTGGTCACCCTCCCGGAAGCGTTTGCGGAGAGTGCGAACAGGCGCGTCAATGGTCTGGCCTGTAAGATCACCTTCGGTGACCTGCAATGAGACGATGTCGCCCCGAGTCGACACTGTGCGACCAACCAGGCCCTGTTGTTCGCCCCGATACACCTCCACGGGGTCCCCGGGTTGGTAAGAGTCTTCGGCAGTAGAGTTCTTCAAGGTCTCGGCCAGCGAGGCCAGGTCCAAGTTCGCTGTACCATCCTCGCCGCCACGAGCAAACATGGTCACCTCCTCCAGGCGGGGATTGACATTCTTGGCGTTCAAATGGTTGACTCGCATATCCTTGATGAGAAATCCATCAACGTAGTTGTCGTTAAGGTAGTTCCAGGACTTGCCACCCAATCCAGACGTGGCTGACAGGTACTTCGCATGCTTCTTCTTTGCTTCGGCCTCGCTGAACAGGCGCTGCGGGGGGCGAACCATATTGGCGGCACCACGTTTGCGCTTCGCATCAACGCCGGGGGCTGCTGCGGCATCTTCATTCATGCCATAATCCAGCCGGGGAACGAGTCGCACGGTGACATTCAGGCCGTTCGTCTCAACCTCCTCGATCTGTGCCAAATCACCCTGGTATCTACCGCGCTTAATGCGGACCCAACCGCCAGGCAGAAGCTCTTCCGACTTCTGAACACGAAGAAGATCCGGCATTTCCTTCACTGGAACCAAAGTCATCTTTTGAGATGGGTAGTAGAAGGCAATGGCTTCCAGGCCCTCGATGACATCAGCCTGTCGGCGTGCCTCACAGTAGAACCAGCCCTGCATGACATTCCCACGCTCGAAGGCTGAAATAATGCGGATGGGGTTGCGAGAGCCAGGGGGGCGCTCCTCAATTCTCCGCTGAATAGAGAAAACAACCTCACGCTCCTTGCCGGGCTTGCAGCGGGCACCCCAGATGCTGGGATCCTCCACGCTGGGGAGCAGCAGACGTTTAGGGACCACGAGAGCGTCGGACGCTGCCGCACGATTCCGACCGTAGCGTTCCTTGAGCATCTGCGCCTGTTTCTCTGCGTCCATGCTCGCATCGATTTCACGCTGGCGATCCAGCTCCCGGTGGCGGCGGTCGTCTGTTTCAGCGCCCACGGGCAGGGCATCGAGATCGTCCGGGTGCATTTCATGACCGAGCTCGGCGAGTTCATCTTCCTCTTCCTCAGCTTCGTCTTCCTCCTCATCCACACCGGCCTCTTCTTCGAAGAACGAGTGCACACCACCGCGTCTGCGCTTGCGAGGTCGGCCCTAGAAGAATGCAGCCATCAGCTACGACAAGCTCTTTTTAATATCTGTACCCACGTAGGGTCACTCACCGAAACGGCCTCTTCTTCCTCTTCTTCGGCCTCTTCGTCATCATCATCATCATCATCGTCGCCGTCCTCATCTTCCGCAGCATCCTTTGCATCATCATCCTCTGGCGCATCGCCCTCGTATTTCACACCATCGTCGGCACCGTTGAGTTCCTCTTTCGCCGGCTGTATTTTCCCCTGCTATCAGTATACCATTCATCCAACCCCATCAGGGAGCGATCACTGACCTTCGCCTCCTTCTCATCGGCGTCTGAGTCGTCGTGGGCGATGGGGTTAAAGTCATCGTCCTCGTCATCAGAACCGAAATCCTGGTTGAGAAAGTTGGACATTGTGTCGGGTGATAATTTGGGTGGGTATTAAAGGGTAGATTTTCGGGCGTGACCAATGAATCTGTAGTGCTCCCTAGACTGTCACGAATAAATCAGCATCAACAGACTCGAAGACAAGCCAGACATAGGCAAATAAGGAGGGAAGTTGGATGCGACGACGCACCTCGCTCAAAGAAACCTTCTCCCGAGTCGAGTGGACAAAGAGGCAAACTCCAGCCAGTAGATCGTCCAACGCGTAATCCGAGAACAGCCACACACCGAGCTGAACGGAGTGATGAAGATACCTAGGGGACAGGTGAGGTGGCAGGAAGCAGACCTGACCTGCGGGCTGTCTGATTGCCGCGATCGCCAATGGAGAAACTCGCAGTCCAAGTCTCGCAGACAGGTGATTGAAAAGAGACAGAGAAAATCGGGACACACTTCTCGAGGGGAATTATGATTCTTATACCCTTGAGAGAGAGGTGTGTCAGCTGAGGAAAGTGTGTTAGGGGAGTGAGTTGGAGGGCGCGAAGTGGTGAAATGCGCGAAGGGAAACTGAGCCCGGCTGCGTGGTGGGTCACTGTGACCCGCCGTACTGATTCTGCACGATGGCCGCTCGTTCTTCCGTGCAAGACAACTTTAACTTTGTATGGGCCATGTTCCGCAACTAGTCAAGGTCTTTTGAGTCGCGGAGCCTTAACAATGAGAAAACGGTCAAGACTTGCCATGACTATGTAACATGTAGTTCATACAACTCCATGAGCCAGAAATAGAGCTAAACGGACATAGTCAAATTGTTCTATCCAAGTCACCTCAAAACACTATATATCGTACAGACAAATCAATGAAGAAAGGAAAATGCCGTCACAAGGCAGGATATCTAGCCAGAACATGTCCCAACCCTCCAGGGATGGGGATGGAAAGAATACAAGCAAAGAGAAGAAAGGGGGAAAAGCCACAGCAAGCTCTATATGATGCATCAAACAGAAATCATCCACGTGAGATCAGATCACAGCTTCATGCCAAACATCCCGTGGACGCGCAAGCTCTGGCGCATGCTCAGATCCAGCATGATCTCCTCACTGCCACCGGGGATGGCATAGGCGCGGACATCACGGTACAGTCTCTCGACCTTGCCGCCCTGGCCACCGCGGCTGTAGGACAGACCCCCAAAGATCTGGGAAGCCTCGCGGGCACAGAACTCAAAGGTGGTGGTGGCCTGGGCCTTGAGGCCGGCGATGGCGCCCCCGAGCTTGAGCATGGCCTCGGTCTCCTCCATGCACTGGCACTGGAAGATGGTGTTCTCGAGCCAGTTGTAGGTGGCTTCGATCTGGCGGGCCATGTGGGCTAGCTTCATGCGGATGACGGGGTGGTCGATCAGGCGCTTGCCGAAGGTCTTGCGCTTGTGCGCGTACTTGACGGATTCTTCGTAGCAGACGCGAGCGAACCGCACGCACTGGATCACAATTCCGATCCGCTCGTGGTTGAAGTTCGTCATGATCACCTTGAAGCCCTGGTTCTCCTTACCGATCAGGTTCCCCACGGGGACCTTGACGTCCTCGAACGTGATGTAGGTTGTGCCGCTGCTCCAGACACCCTGGCAGTCCATGCGCCGGGTGCTGACACCGCCGGCCTCGCGCTCAATGAGAAGAACACTGATGCCGTTCATGCCGTCCTTGCCGGTGCGAACGGCAGTGGTGAAGTAGTCAGACCAGATGCCGTTGGTGATCCACTTCTTCTCACCGTTGACAATGTAATGCTTGCCATCCTCGCTGAGCTTGGCCTCACAGGTCAAGTTGGCGACATCACTGCCAGCGTCGGGCTCGGTAATGGCCAGACAGATGCGCTTGTCACCAGCCAGGATTCCAGGCAAGATGCGGTCGACGAGCTCCTTCTTGCCAAACTTGACCAGAGGCGGGCAGCCAATGCCGAAGCCACCGATCAGATTCCACACCAGCCCGCCGCTGCCGGCGCGCGACAACTCGTCGGTCAGCAGCATCTCGTGGAACAAATCCCAGCGCTCGGGTTCCACAGACTGAACCCGGTAGGGAGTGTGCTGCTGGGGGAACTTGACGCCCAGCAGACCGGCCAAGTAGCCCCGTTCACCCATCTGCTTGTAGATGTGGCCGGGGACTTCCTTGGACTCATCCCACTCGGCGACGTACGGCTCGATCTCGTTCTCGACCCATGAGCGGACCTCTTCGCGGAGAGCGGCATGGGATTCGTTGAAATAGGCCGAGGCGTACTGTAATGGTGGCGCAAACGCATTAGTCTCCGTCGGACACAAGCCAACCGCAGTATTCTCTCAACGGGCCAACTTACACCTTGGTACCAGGAGGGATCAGAGAAAGGAATCAGCTCGCCAAACGGATCCTGCGGCGCCGCCGTCGCGGGAGGAGTAACATCTGAAGAAGAAGAAGCGGCCGGCTTGGGCGCAGCCTTCTTGGGGGCTGGGGCCGGGGCCGGGGCAGCCGCCTTCTTGGTGTCCAACGAGCCGATCTGCAGCTGGCTCTTGTACTTCTTCAGAATGCCCTCATTGTGATACTTCCAGAACTGCTTCGAGGCGTCCTTTCCGGCCACACGCTGGAGAACTGCGCGCACAAGGTCAATACAGGGTTTCGCGGGGAGGTAGCGCCGCGCGCGCAAAATGACGTACTTTTCTTTCCACCTGTTGGCACACCCAGAGTCAGCACATGCGAGTCTCGTGCAGCCCCCACGGAGAAGGGAATGGACTGTGCGACGCGCCGTAAGGACGGCGCAGCGCGTGGACTTGGTACTCACCAGGGTGTTCGTCCTGGAACTTGGTCACGTCGTAGACGTCCTCATCGACGATGATCCAGAGGCCGTCGGCCTCCTTGCTATGCGACGCAACGTCGTCTTTGGTAAATGTCTTTGACATTATGGATGTGATGTGGGGGAGGTCAAAAAAAAAGAAGGGTGATGGGTAGGGTAGAGATAAGAAAGAGGGACAGTCACGAGAGAGGTGGGAAAGAAAAGAAATCTCCGGGGAAGACGGGGCAGCAGGTATACATATAGGGGGACCACTTTCTTCGGGGTGTATTCTACTCTGGGCGAAGCTGGTGATGTCCGTCTTCACATGGACCCGCGACAATCCTCGGTCAGAGTTGATTGAGCCGCCACTGATTGGCTGGAGCCACTGCGTCATCGCATGGCCTGTTGGGGAAAGTGCCGAGGCTGTGAAATTACAGGTGGTGACCGATATTATACGCCAGGATATGGTCGACACAACAGTACACGGTAATCCCAGTACACGCATGTGAAGATTTGGAGACGAGCATGGGGTTCCCCAATAATAATACCGGGCAGTAGGAGGATGGGGGTCGGAATACATTCTACTTTGAGACAAAATAATGCAGAAACAGGTCCATATCAATCACAAGGCTCGGTATACCGGGTCACGACACATCGACAGCCCGATTAATCTAGTAATACATCCAGCTCCGAATCCTCTACTCCTCGTCCGACTCGTACGTGAAGTTGTCCGGAACGGGCGCATCCTCCACACCTTCCTCATCCTCATCCACCGCCGTCAATACACCGGCTGCAGCCGCCGCGCCAGCAGCCGGCGTGGATTCGGCGGCCACCGCGGCGCGAGCGGCGGACCGTTGAGGAGTCTGCAGCGCAGCGGTGCCAATGGCGGCCTGCAAACGGTCCTGGAGGGTTTCGGCCGGGGGGCGGGCTGTCGGGTTTCTTTGCTGGCCTTGAGTTCGACCGTCTCGCGGGGCTCGTCGGGCTGCTTGTCCAGCACAACCACAACTCCACCGGTGGGCTGTAGAGATCGTTAGTATAGAAGACTATAGATGGAGTGGGATACAACATACCCTCTTGACCGGTTCGTACCGCGGGTCCGGGAAGGTGAGGTACTTGAGCTGAGCCGGGAGAACTCTGGACAAGTTGTCTAGCTCGTAGCCGACCTTCTCCCGCTCGGCCTTCTTTTTCTGGCCCTCAACAGCACCCTTGTCGGCCTCCTTGCCCTCCTCTTCCTTGCCCTCTTCCTCCTTGGCCGCACCCTCGTCGGTCTCCATCTTCTCCGGAAGCTGGTCGGAAACCTTGGGAGTCGTAGGTGTCTGGTCAATGTCCATGCTCTCGCGGCGTGCCTGCTTTTCCCGACGCTGCGCGCGGCGCTTGGCCTGGGCTGTAGTCGAGAGGACAGCGGTCTTCACCTTCTCTGGTGCCTCCTCAGCTTTCACTTGTTGCTCGGGAGGATAGTCAAAGAGACTTGGCCGGGTGTTGCTGTGGAACTTGAAGTGCGGGACCTCGAGTTTCTGGTCCACGCCGATCACAGAGGTGGGAGCAAAGCTGAGAGACAGGAAGTGCGTGAGCGGGAACCAGTACCAATACTGCACGAACACCGCGGCGCCAACAATACCAGGCATGTTGAGATTGCCCGTCTGTGTTTGCAGGCTGATCGTGCAGTTGCGGCCACCGGCATCGATAATTCCCAGGGCGACAGCACAGCCGAATTTGGCCATAGCATCTTCGTGGCGGTCTCCAATCATCTTCATCATGGCCTTACGGAGGCTAGTGACGCGGGGGTTCATGGCCTCGTTCTGCTGAACAAGAACCATGGCGAGCGAAATCAAGGCGCCTTGCCGGACAAAGTCGGTCGAGTCCTTAAGCATCGGCTCCAGCAGGTCGATGGCCTCGTCAAGTCCAGTTCCGGCGCAGGAAATACCAAGCGCCATGGCGGCACCGTACCGGACATGAGGGTTGTAAGACTCCGAGAGCAGCTCGACCATGCGGGGAACACTTTGGTACTTGCGGAACAGGATGAAGCCCAAGCTCAGCACTGCAACCCGGCGGACATCATCGTTGACATCACTGACGGCGACGTGAAGAAGCTTGCGAACAGCCTTGTTGCTGCCACTGCCGCAGTAGGCCAAAGCGATGGTCATAATACCACCGTAGCGGAGGGTAGGATCGGGATCGCCGAGCAGACCATTGATCAGTTCGTCGGCCGCTTCCTGGCGTCCGTACATGATCAAAGCCATACCCATGGCCAGACCACGGACAATCTTCTCGTGCTGCGTCTCGTGCGCATACTGGATCATATCCTCCAATGCTTTCATGTTGCCAGTGCCCAGCATGACCAGACCCATGGCGAGACCAACAGCCTCACCATTCAAAGCCGAATCGGTGTAGAGCACGTTCCGGAGGTCTTCATAGATGCCCTCGTCGCCAGTTGCCATGCCTGCAACACCAAGTCCCAAAGCTCCGCCATGCTGAACCACCTCTTCAGTGGCCTTCTTGAAGTGGTCGCGGATCAGATCAACCGCCATGCCACCGTGGTTAGCGTAGATGAGACCGAACGCGTACAGAGAACCGCCCTGGCTGTAGACCGAGCCTGACCCTCCAACACCAGCGATGTGCTCTCGGGGCAGGTATGGCTGTAGAAGCTTTTGACCCTGGCTCAGGTTTCCACGATGGATCACACCCAGAGCAGCAGTGGCTGTGAACTTGGACCAGTTCACAGCTTTCCCAAGCCACTCCAAGTTATCGCGGAAGAACTTGTCGTGGGTGGTACCAGCGTGCATGAAAGCATTCGAAAGAGTGACTGCAGTGTGGAAGATGGAGTTGCGAGCCTCAAGGCTGTCACGGATCTTGTTCAAAATCGCAATATCGGCCTTGTTATTCCGATACAAGAACTCCAGATTGAGCTGAATGGATTTTTTGCCATCCAGAATCGCCAGGATATTCTTAAAGGCGGAAAGCGAGTCATCCAAAAGGTTCGTGTCGCCATCTCCCGAAGGCCTTGACGAATTTCCTTGGTCCTCAAGCAATGGGTCGGACTCCTTGGGCTCTTCATCGTTCTCGTTGTTCTCCTTCTCGTTCTCAGGCACAAGCTCGGCAATCTCCTGACGGACCTTCTGGAGGAACTCCTGGGTGCTATTGTCGTACAGGTCGAAAGAAATCTGGTAGGCGACCGCCAGGGACCGAGAATCACCCTTCTCAACCAGCTGACGGAGGATGACGGAGGCCATCGAGTGCTCGTTCAGGTAGACAACACATTTCGCGATCGAGAAATAGTCGGGGGAGGGGATTTCGTTCAACAGTTCCAGGATGAGCTTCAAAATCTGCAAAGAATGGCGTCAGGAGAAGATACTTGAATAGAAGGGGACGTAGATGCAGGAACAAACCTCATTCCGGAAACCCCGCTCCTGGACAATACCCATGCAGATATCCAAAACATATTCCATGAGCTCCTCACTCCGCCGAGATTCACCTTGCTGCTTCTTCTCGTCCTCACTAGCACGGATGATGGCCATGCGCAACACATCCAAGCTCTTTGCCTCAACCGCAATCCCAATCACTTGGCGATAGCGCTTCTGGCGGAAGCACTCCTCAAAAAGGCTCTCAATCACTGCCTGCAGCTGACCCTGGACGCCACGCTTCAACACAAGGGGTGTTTCGGCATGCTGGACGCTGGTGTCCTCGCCTCCGGGGTGTGCAGCGTCGATACCTGGCACCTCCTGGCGAGACAACAAAGACTTGGAAGGCAGGGCGGATTTCGAGAATGGTGTGATTGGGGAGGTAAGGCTGGCTGATGTGCTCGTGGCGCCCTCAGCCGATGCCGGGAATGCGGTGTTCAAGTTGGCTGGCTGGTCGCCGCCGGCCGGCCGCTGGGCCGCAGAAAGGGAGATGAAGGTATCGACACATTTGGCTACATTCAAGTTAGCGACTGGACAAGCCCAAAACAATTAGAAGTGACAAGGCCCATCTTACCAATGATCGTCTCCTCGTACTCGCCGCCGTGATCTAGCTTGAACAGCTTTCCCGCACCCAGGGCAAGTACCATGCTCTCGTTGTACTCTTGGAGATGATAATATACCTTGGAGGCGACCAACGCGGCCAGTTCACGTTCAGGGAATGATTCATCCTCGTAGAGAGCCTCACTAGATGGATGCCGTCAGCACGGTCCCTCGGACTCAACAGCAGGGGCATGTCATCCAAGAGATGCAAAGAACGCGACGAGGATAACATATCCGTCAGGAAGAGTAGACTTACATCTCAGGAACGGCGTTCACCACTTCAGTCCAGAGCAGGTCGACCTGGGCGTCTAATGACTTGAGCGCAAAGACCTTCAGCTCTGGGTCCGGCTCCGACAGGAAGCCGACCAGGCCGGCAGCTGAAGCAATTCCGACCATGGTTATTGTAGGAGGTGTCTCGTGTGACAAACTCTTGAGTTGGGTTGGAACAGAGCGACTCCGGTGTTGCAGGGGTGATGAAGCAACGTCAACGGGGAGAGCTCCGGGGGGAACAGCGAGTCGGCCCCAAAGCACGGATCAAGTGGACAGGGAGGGATTTAGATCCCGTAGTAGAGAAAAGCAGTCCCAAAGACAGCGAGTGATCGAAGGAATGGGACCGAATGGATGGGTTGTGGAGAGAGCAGGAGCTGGAAGAGCAGAAGCTTCCAGGCGCGCGCGACAACGTCAACCGCAGCTGACTGATTCACCGGGTCACGTGAGATGACGCCTGACCCGATGCATCAGCTGCACCAACACAACTACATTAAATGCGTCCAGAGTGTCGAGTGCCCCGATGGAGGACAATTCTCGACATTGCACCTCTGCATCCTGCCCACGATGTCGCGCCTGTTTGGAAGAGAAAGCTACATGATAGACCCAGAAGCATCACACCATGGAGACGCCCTGCAACACATTCAACGCCAACAGCGAGACATCCATCGCCAGCTGCAGGGGCTGATTAATGCACAATCTAGCGCTCTTCTCGCCCCCGATCCCAGTGATCCCGATTCCCCTTCTCCCAACCTAGAAAGTACGGAGGAAAGAACCCTCACACCCGCTTCCTCTATAGCGAGCTCGTCCATACCGCTAGCTCCTATACCAGGTGCCCGCCGTGGACGTGCTAAGACGACACTTGAGATTGCCCGGGATGGAATCGTTCGCCACATCGACAAGTTGTTGGAGCTGGAGGAGGACGAGCGGCGCATCCTGAGGCAGCACCTGTTCTCTACGGAACGGGCGCTCGACGACATTGATGAGTTCAACCAGAAGAAAGATGGATTGGAAAAAGCCATCTCTGATATCCATAACGAAGAAGAGAGCCAACGCTCGAAACGGCTGCAAGAGAAGGCCCAGACCCTGGGGACTGACATTCAGGAACTGGAGACCAGATTGTGCGAGATGAAAGTCAAGCATAAGCAGATGGTCGACGAGATCTCGAGCATCAATAATTCGATCGACGCTAAGCTGTCTTCCTACACGGAGTCCTTGTCGCTGCTCCAAGCGGATATGCGAGAGTTTCTAGCCCACCCTCCCAGCGAACCTTTGAAAGGATTCGAGAACAAAATTCCATTCTACTCGCTGCAACCCAAACGCCGCACGCTTCCCATGGCGGAAGAATATTTCAGCAATGAATGGACAGGCCTGGAACGGAAAACACGGAATATTGAAAAGGAAATAATGGCCTTGCAGCAAGGGGGCAGTGCCTGGAGTGAGGTCGTCACCGAGGTGACCGGGTTTGAGAAACGCTTGCGGACCAGCATGCGTCGTTACATGCGCATAGACATGCACGCTGAATTGGACGAAGCCGAGAAGACCAAGTACCGGAACGAGCTGATTGACAATATCCTGGGGGATCTGGCCAAAACCACGCACTTTGTCGACCGTGTGATGAATCTTGCCGAGAAAAAGGGCTGGAATCTCATTATCTGCTGCGTTGGGGCAGAACTTACGGCTCTGCGGCAGGCACGGAGCAAGCTTCGCAAGGCATTTGACCTCCCGCTTGGCGGAAATGCGCCAGTTGAGTCTTCAGAACAAGAACGGGGCAGCCCTTCCGTGCTTGATGAGACCCCTGATCCTCTGGGAGTCGACAACCCTGGCGCCCCGGATGATTTACTGAAGGACCGTGATCCTCATCGTACGGAATCCAGGTCCGAGGATGATGAAGCTGATCCTCCAGCTGATTTGCTCAAGGATGAAGAGCCTCTTCACACCGAATCACGGTCGGAAGATGACGAACCGGACCCGTCGTGGCTGCTCTCAGAATCTTGAGTTTATCCTGCATGTAAATTTTTTTTATGTTTTCGTGACTACAACTACATATACCCTCAGCGCATTGCATTTCTGGCTAGATCCTCAATCAAGAATTACCTTTCCAGACAATGCCCTTGACCTTATAGAAATCGGCCTTGTAGCATTAGGGTCAGTCTTGTAGTGTCGTGTTGATCGCCAATATATATATCGTCTTTGCCTCGGTCGGTGGCCCATACGTGTGCTATTTAGATATTCCATAACTTTCAGGTCGTCAATACTCGTACAAAAATAAATCTTTCACACAACCCAGAAATAACTAGGTCCAAGGACGAGCGTTGGTGGAATGGTTATCATCCAAGGCCCGTTGGTTCAAGGTTTGTTGGTGCGGGAATCCCGACACTCACATTCCACCACCACAGCACATCTTCCCATGCATGGAAACGACTGTTCCAGCAGCACAAGAAGAGAGGGGACGAGACACGGCATCTATACCTATGGATCTCCCATCTCCGACCTTCTCCTTTACCATCCCCTCAATTTATGATGGCTGCAAACTGGAATGCCGCCTCTACCTCCCGCGCACCCTGCAACATATAGAACCGCCCCCTGCATCCATCACAGGTGCCATCGTCGCCCATCCGTACGGGCCACTCGGAGGTTGCTACGATGACCCAGTGGTGAGCTTTGTGGGCGGCGAGCTGTTGGACACGGGCTGTGTTGTGGGCACCTTTAACTTCCGGTACGGACATCTATTCTTCTGACCAGCTTCATCCCACTGATCACGCTGGGTATAGCGGCGCTGGTGGCTCAGAGGGACGGACCAGTTGGACCGCCAGGCCTGAATTGGGGGACTATGTATCCTTCTACGGGTTCATGTTACAATATCTGCATCTGCTACGCTCTGCTTTCGCTCCGAAGGAGAGACCACCCCAAGATGCAACCCCCGGCGTCCGACTCATTCTGGGAGGCTACTCTTACGGCTCACTGGTCGTCTCGCACGTTCCGACCGTGGATGCCATGACCGATCTGTTCCAGTCCGATCCAAGGACAGGATCACCCCGCGGCGATATTGGCAAAACGGCCAAGACGGCTGCTACACGCTCGATCGAGACCCTCCAAATCACCCACCCTTCCAGTCTGGACGACGTCCCGGCCCTCAGTCCGGGTAACACCCAGATCTCGTACCTCCTCGTGTCACCTCTTCTGCCCCCTGTCAGCCAGTTGCTGACGGTGTTCTCGACCCTGTCGCTGAGCGTGACATCAGCCCAGGGCAGACACATCGCCTGTCCCCGTCCGGCCGACCAGCTGAGCACGCACCGCAGTCTAGCTCTGTTTGGCGATTCGGACACCTTTACGTCAGCCCGCAAACTGCGGAGGTGGTCAGACGAGCTGGCACACATGGCACACAGCCAGTTTCAGTACCGGCAGATCGGAGGCGCAGGCCATTTCTGGCGAGAAAAAGGAGTCGAGACGCGAGCCCGACACGTGCTGCGGGAGTGGTTAATGGACATGTGAAGATGGATGATGATCGGGCACGAATAAATAGATTCATTCCAAGTAGTTGACCTCGTGACGTCTTTCCCGCAGACCGACTCTTCTTTCTTGCCCCTGCCTTCCCCTTCCACTTCCACATCCCACATTTTCAACAATACAGACTCATGGCTCGCGCTCAATGCCCTCGTCTGTCATGTCGGTGTTGGGCAACTCTCCAATAATCCATTCGCGCCCTCACCATGGCGCGCCCCCCGCCCAGCCCGCGCCGCCGCGCCGATCGCTCCGCAAGGCCATCTCCATCCCCGCGGTGTCGTCGCTCGTGCGGGACTCATGGTCCTGGGCCGGAGACACTCTGCACACTTACCGTGATGGCCTCTCCCGAGAGCAGCGACAACAAAAGACCGAGGTGGAGGATCGCAAGCAAGTTCTCTACCTGAAGATGAAGCATGTGAGTGTCGTGCCTGGCGGGCTGAGTCGAGTATGCAACGTCACCCTTTTCTAATCCTTTCTTTTTTTCTGGGCGGCAGGCCGTGTCGTACGAGGAATGGAGTACTTGCGCCAAAGAACTGGATGTGCTGGAAGACAATATCGCCTGGAAGCAGACATTCGAGTGCGCCGAATACCAACCTCGGCTGGTCCAGGAACGGCTGCGACAGCTGGAGGAGGCTCGCATTAGCTGCGATGTGAGCCGGATGCTGTTTCTCGTGCGCACGGCGCTGAGTCGAGACTTGGGGAATATGAGCCATGCATCGCTCTACCGGCATAGCCATATCGGGACGAAGGACTTGATTGACCGGTACATCACCGCCGCCTTGGAGACGATCTCGACTCTGGTGGACTTGTCGGTGCACGGTCGCTGCGATAGGCTGGAGCTGAAGTATATCTTGGATCAGCTGCTGGCAGCTCGTCAGGCGTTTGGGCGGAGTGCGCTCCTCTTTTCCGGGGGTGCCACCTTTGGGATGAACCATATTGGCGTTCTCAAGGCTCTCTACGAGTCAAATCTGATCCCCCGCATCATCTCCGGTGCTTCAGCGGGCAGTATCGTGTGTGCTGTCTTTTGTACCCGGACCGATGACGAATTGCCAGGGCTTCTGGAAACCTACGCGCACGGGAACATGGCGGTTTTTAATGAGCAAGGGCGCGAGGAAAACATCTTCCAGAAGACGGCACGATTCTTGAAAGTCGGGTCGTTCCTGGATATCTCCCATCTGGCCCATACGATGCGGGCCTGGCTGGGCGACATGACCTTCCAAGAGGCATACAACCGGACCCGTCGAATTCTCAATATCTGCGTATCGAGTGCCGGCATGTACGAACTGCCCAGGCTGCTGAACTACATTTCTGCACCCAACGTGCTGATCTGGTCCGCTGTGTAAGTCTTGCCATTGTATTTTGTGTAGAATGTTCGCTGACCGTTCACCCAGAGCCGTGTCGTGCTCCGTTCCGTTGGTGTTTCGACCTTATACGTTGATGGCCAAAGATCCCTTGACAGGCATGCCCGTCCCATGGAATGACCTCCACAAGCAGTACATTGACGGGTCCGTGGACGGAGACTTGCCAATGACCCGGCTTTCGGAGATGTTCAATGTCAACCATTTCATTGTGTCTCAAGTTAACCCACACATCGTGCCATTTCTCCCCAAAGATGGTGGACCTGTGAATCCAGCAGAGGAGGCGCAGTCTGCCATTCCTCGCTTGGTCAATACGATGACGTACCTTGCCATGGACGAAGTGCTTCACCGCATGACCGTCCTTTCAGAACTCGGTGTTTTTCCTAACTCATTGACCAAGTTTTCATCGATTATGAAACAGAAATACGTCGGTGACATCAACATCTACCCTGAACTGATATCGTCCAATTTTCCGCGTCTTCTGGAGAATCCGACAACGGAGTTCATGCTTGAAGCCTGCCTCAGTGGAGAACGCGCAACTTGGCCTCGGCTGAGCCGGATTCGGAATCACTGTGCCATTGAACTTGCATTGGATAGCGCCATTCAGCAGATGCGGGCCCGCGTGGCTTTCAGTCCCAGTCAGATCGACCTGCGCATTCAAGGCTCACTCCGGGCCGATTCACAGGACAGCAGTGCCGGACGAGGACGCATCCGCGCACGACGCCGAGGATCGCACAGTCATGAACTGGAGCGGACAAGGCGCCCGAGAGGCCAGTCACGCAGCCGTCCTACCAATGGACTGAAGAAGGCCCGTAGCACAGTGTCATTGGAAGAGACTCCGCGCTGGCGTCCGAACGATCCGACATTTTGGCCCGCCTTGCCGAAGGCCCTCCACCGTCGATCATCGGCGTCGACGGGCGGCGGGATATTCGCCGTCGGATCCGACAGCGAGGACGAAGAGCTCGAGCCTTCCTTCACCGTGCGGCCTGGGCAGCACAGCCATCGAGCCACATGGGATTCAACAGCCTACGGTGGGCCGTCGTTCGGAAACGGCAAAGGCCCGCGCAGTCCGGTGCTGTCCCGACGATCTTCATTCTCGGCCCAGTCGTCCCAAAGTACCACCGGGACTGTTCCTCGATACTCCCCCAAACAAGGCCATGTGCCTTTGAACCGTGACCTCTCTGTGACCATGCCACCATCCTCCCGCCATTTGCTCAATATGACTTCAACAATTCTGCCAAGCTCCCCGGAGTCCCTGACGCGTAAACCTCGCCAGTGAAACGTTGGCTTCACTTCATTGTGCCAAGAATTTTGTTTAGAACTGTTCCGCCACTCGCTCGATTGGGATACGGATATAGCAATCGTTTTTCTGAGACGGAGATTGCAGGCCACTCGGACAGAAACGACCCGTGTGGCCTTTTTCCTGCTCTCGATACCCCATTACACTCAGACCACTTGAATATTTGCATTAAATCGCGTTTACTAGAACTCCTTGGGTGGCTGACTGCTGTGGTTTACTCTAACTATAGCGGTCTCGCCTATATGGTTGGCTCGCGTGTACATATAGGGCTACGCAACCTAGTCGTTGCCGCTGGGGGGAATCTGTATGCCATGAAACTTGCAGCTAGGTTGATCCATGTACCAATACCATCTCGATGCACTACAATTTCCGCTGGCTCCGCTGGTTATCAGGTCTCTTTCCTACATAGTACTGGTCGGCAAAACCACTGGGCAATATTCTCAGGAGACGGACGCATCAGTTATGTCAGGGATCCACCTCCAGCACTAACTACGTAACTAAGAAAGCAGCTTGATCGAACTTAGACCTGCAAGGACCCCCCGCCCTGACGACGACCATGTGGAACCCCGCTCTCGGCTGTGGCTGGAACTGCTCGTGAAACGCCCGCCGATTCCAGTAGCTAGCGCCAAGGCCAGCGTTTCCACGACCGACATCGTCGTTTACGAAGACGCACACACGAAATGGAAGCTCCCGCACCACGCGCGGAACAAGATCGTGTGAAGGGAAGAGTGAAAAACAAGGAAAGCGAAAAAGTAATAGCTCACCTTCGCGTGGAAACGGCGTGAACAAAATGGAGTCAGTGGCGGTCCCCGGCGCCGATCAGGACGTGGTTATTGGGCGCATTCTTATCAATCAGTGGGCTTTTGTCCACCGCGGTGCCGGGCTTTCCACGGAGTCCACTCTTGTAGGATCCCAGGGGGACCCATGGGACACTCGTGCCCAACCCCCGATACACGATCTGTGTCAGCTCGCACGCCTTCGAGCTCCTTGGTGGCGAACCCGGGGAAAGACGATCCAGGGATCAATGGATTATGATGCAAAAGAGGGAGACATCATGAGGACAGGCTCACCCAGATCCCTCAGATCGCAGACTATTCATCACTGAGCTCCAACTATTGAATTCACCCGGCCGATCCAGGAATGAGATCAAGCTCACCGGGCCAACATTCCCAGCCTCGGCCGGAACCTCCATTTCCTCGCTGGAAAAATGAGCAGCGGGATTCAGCTACATCGGGCATGCACGACGAGCAAAGTTGACTGATCATGAAGATCCTCAGGCCACTTCGGTACTTTTTGTATACACGGAAAATGATCGTCGCGGCTATTGATTCTGGTAACCCTAACTACAACACCAGTAACCAGTACCCGCGCCCTAACCGAACGACGATACCTACCTTATTCAACCTACTGCAAAGAACAAGAACCAGTTTTTACCTGTTTCAGTCCCGATGTCCTCAATTGACAGCCGGGAGAAAACACCGCGACCGTAGGCTGCAGTCCCCGGTGTCCCTGCTGGTGTCCCTGCCAGACTTTGCTCGCGGTATAGTGGAGATCGATGATCCCCTGGTCTGGATGGGCCTTGCAGGATGGACCTGTCGATATCCACCGCCGAGCTGAGAGGCGACGCATTGAAGCCATTGACCGATCCCGGAGTAGGTGTCTCTGGTGGAGTCTCTTCAGAAGACCCAGAATCTCCCAGCAATGGTTGTTTGATGGGTGGACTGGCAGTCCTATAAAGACGCGCTCTTCGTCCTCTCTTTCTGGCCTGGAGTATCATATCAATCAGACCAATCTACACGTCAATCGTTCGATCGTGGTCTCTTCTACATCTCCCCATACTTTCAATCCTTTTATATCACGAAGTATATAACACTATCACTCCTTCGAACAATGAAGTACACCGGCTTCACCCTCATGGGCTTGATGGGCTGCGCCCTCGCCCTGCCTGCTTCCCAGGGCCCTATTCCTTCCAGCCCAACTCCCTCTGGGCCTGCGTCCACCGGATTCTCCAGCTCTTCTGGTCTGCCTCCCTTCCCGACTGGTGGCTTCCCTATGCCGCCCGGACCCTTCGATAAGCGCCAGTTCTCCGAGCCCTCTAGTGGATTCTCCGTCTCATCTGGTCTCCCAACTCCATCTGGAATCTTCAACAAGCGCCAGGGCCCTATCCCCTCTTTCTCCGCGCCCTCGGGGGTTCCCACCTCCTCCTTCCCCAGCGGACCTGCTCCCAGCGGGCTCCCCGAGCCTCCCTCTGGACTACCGACATTCAACGGCTTTAACAAGCGCCAGTTCCCTGCTCCGACTGGTGGCTTCTCCACCCCTTCGGGCTCCCCTACCCCGTCCGGTGTTTTCAACAAGCGCCAGCTCTCTACTCCTTCCGGCGCGACCCCTACCCGCCCTGCTCTTAACGTTCGTGCCCCTACTGGTTCTCCTCCTTTCCCTGTCTCCAGTGGACCCGCTTCTACCGGCTTCCCTCAGCCTTCCTGGGTTTAAATGAGAGACGGCGGCTCTAAACTACTTCGCGGGCGGCATCCCCGTGCGCTAGTTGCCTTTCGAGGTAGTTGGGGATGTATATGTAACGCTGTAGAAATGGCATCCGACCTTACGTCTTGATGTTTCTCACTATGTACGGTATAGGGTCTATGGGGTATGGTTGTTAGACTCCGGCATTCAATGGTGTAGCGGGCCTGCGCTGCCGGCAGACTGGCTGTTTGTTGCTGTACCTAGACTGAAATTCGTTCTTTCCTAAAGTATGGAATATATTCTTTCATTATTATTTAGACACATTCTTGTCACAAGTATCAACCATCCTCTCCGCCGTGGGAGCCTTAACATTCTATAAATAAACCTAATTAACTGTCAATATCGCCCGGGCGGGCTGGCTGCAGCCGCGGCGGCATGACGCAGGGGCTGTGACGGCGGCAGGTGAAGGGCTAATTTACTTTCTATTTTTACTCTTGGATACTAATTAAGGAACAAAACCGTCACTGATCCCCTGTCAAAACCCCTGGTCCGTGCCGATCGTGTCGCACCGTCTCAGCGGCAATGCACGATCCTATTGGCGATCCATCGCGCCCTCTTACAAACAGACACCACCGTCTTCAGATCACCCGCAGCTCTACAAATGAAGTTGTTTCATGTCGCGGGGTCAGATGCTATATCTTTCAACCTTTTCCCGCCCCTGGATCCTCTTGGTTTTGCTTGACATTGCTATACTCCCGCTGGGGAAATCGCTTGTTTCAACTCCTTGACTGGTAGTTTAGCGGAGGACCCATTCACTCTTTCTCCTGTTTTGTCTTTTCTGCCTGCCTACACGCTTCCCCTCACGTCTTATTCGCCGGGGTTCTCTCCTGGTCATTGGCTGAAGGACCCCCCTGCTTTCACTTCACACCCGAGTCCGGTGTGGTTCCGCCGGTGTCCAATCCAACGCCGAGTCCGGTGTGGATGTTGGATGACCTGTCCATGCAGAAACCCCGTTGACTCCTCAGACGACGGGAGGATCGGACGATCTGCGGCCGGTCACCAAGCGCGGAGCCTTGTTGATCCTGCTCAAGCGGGAGGCTGAGCAACGTGCTGCCGTCATAGCCACATTTATCTAGGCGGCCTTCTTTTCTTCCTATATTTCCCCAGCGACCGTTTGAATTTGTCCGCTATTCCCCACTCGAAGGCAGTCAGTCAGTCTCCCTCAACATTCACCCGTCTACCTCCAACATGGCCGGAATCGTCAGCGCCCCTCTTCCCTTCCTCCGAAAGTCCGAGGACCCCAAGCCTCTGCATCCTCGATGGGGTGATGTGGATATATCCGTTCCTACCGAGGGATCATGGAATCAATACGATAATCCTCATCGAGGTATGCGCGAACAGCAGTCCTATGGACCGGGTTTTGTTCCTGATTGTTGTCCATATGACAAAGAAATAATAAACAATAACCCCCAAGATGGCAAGAGGTCACACCCTACAGCATCCTCTACCAACACGACTTCCTCATCTCGGCGCAATTCGCTGGCCCTCGGGGCCTTGAGACCAGGTCGACTGTCTGTCCGGCTCGCCTCACGGCCCAAACACCTGAGAAGGGACTCACAGACCGCGCGACAATCTCAGCTAATGGAGCCTGAAAAAACCGAATTTGCATATAAACCGATCCAGCAGGACTATACAGCCGAGGCGATCGAGAATGCAACTCAGTACCAGCAGCAGCAACAACACTCTACTCGATTTAAATACATTCCCACCAACGGACGATATCTTGAGCAGCTCGCTCCGACCACTTCTAACAGCCAGTCTGTTAATTCCTACCGCAGTTCTCGTTTATGGCGAAACTCCACCATGGAGTCTCCGGAGGATCGAGGAAGCGACCGCGATCTTCCAACGACGACTTACAAGAAGAACATCGAGGATGATCGTCGAAGTCTACGCTCAAGTGTTGGCGGTGACTCTTCAGACAGCTCCACTGGCCCACACCACCATGTGCTGCCGGCCAGACGGAAAACATCGCCGCAGGTTGTGACGGACCGGAAGAGGTTTTCTTTATTGAAGCCGATGACTACAGCGATGGTTCCGGCTATGGATGATCTTTATGAGTAATTTCTTATGTTGTTCTAGGGTTTGGCTTGTTTTTTCCTTAGGCTGTCATTGCGCGGCATTATGGGGTTTCGGCATTATTTGGCGTTATCACTGCCTTTAAATTAAATGAGAGAGGCGTCCAAATTGGACTTTCTACAAAGCAGGAGCTGAGTTTTCCACTTCGCTTAGATCGTCTAGTAAACCATCATATATTCAAACCATATCATCAAATTTGTAAATCCGCTGCTCGTACAGAATCAAAAACGAGTTAACATGCCCGTAATTCACAACATGCTTTTGTCCTTCAAGATACTCCAATCACCTCGTCAGGTAATCCTTTCCCCATCTTATGCATACACCACAAGTTTCACTCGAAATTCCAGAAAAAATTTCTGTCATTCCATAAACCCCTAATGTTAGCAGCCCTCAAATATAGGCTATTGAGCAATTGGTAATTCTGTAGCCATCTCACCACAAAGTAGCGATATGCCGCCATTTTCCACTCTGAATGGACAGTAGTCACGCACGGACCGACTCGGTCAATCGGGGGGTTGTGCCACTTCTGGTCCTATCCCCTCCTGAGTTGGGGCTATGAGTTCGTCACCGTTAAAACCTTGGTCTCTTCGTCCAGAGAGCCGCATCTCCAAAGAAGAATCGCGGAGAGGGCCTTTTGGCTCGAAAATAAAGATCTAGGTTTCCCTGCCTCTGTACTGCTCTGAGACCACGCAATAACCGTCTATTCCACCTCGAACACCAACATAATTGTGCATTACCCATGGTCACCCCAAATCCATCAATTCTATCTATCCTCACCGCCAGACCCTGGTTCTACGACCATAATTTGAGCTTCATCAGATTTCGAACTGATGGCACTGGAGAGGTGAGCGTGTCAAGTCCCACTTCGTTCTCAGCACTAAGCATGAAATAGATCTGGTACGCCGGAGAAATGTTCGTTACAGTCGCGAACGAGTTTGACTGGAAGGCTCTCAATCCTCAAGCTCTGAAAGAAACGATTCATATTTCCCGCGGTCGAAACGTTCAGCATTTAGCGCAACTTAGCGTCGAAATCACCCTCACAGAACGTCGACCACGCCGCGATGAGGAGCGTGCGAGGATATTACTCAAAACGTTTCAAGATGGCAAATATCCTTTCACCGACTCTGCATTTCGACCGAAGACATTTACTGTGCGCCTTGAAGAGGGAAAGTTTCCGTTACCATTCACGGATGATCACGGCGGCCCCGAGTACCGACTTAGGGCAAAGGTTAGGTAGTTCGCTATTAATACTCGACGTGTCTAGCGCTTAGAACTCAGTTACATCTTAACAAATCCGGCTGATGTAATCTCTGGAAGAGACGGATTAGCTACGTTTAGGAGGTACTCGGACTAAAGCGAGACACTAAAATAGCTCGATATGTGTGACAGACATCGGTGGCAGCATTTAAAAGAATTAATCTCAACCTGAAGTGCGCAATAAAAATCCCTGCAAAAATAAATCTTGCAAATGATGTATCAGCAGTGTCAATTCACCCAACCCAGATCAGAACCCCAATCCTAAGTCCACTATTGTTTGTTGCACGAAGAGCACAGGCAAAACAAGGCCCGCCTGGACGACGGATAGTTGCGTTTCTTCCTCTCTCCGAGCACCAAGCTCTTGCAATTACCTCCGCGCCTTCCCCAGTCGCATTGATAACCGAAACTCCTCCAAACCCTTCGCCGGGCGTGTGATCCTTCAGCTCCCCGATGGACCATATTTTCCCCTCGAATAGCGGGAGTTCCCTCTCGTGGAATCCATGCAAACCTGGACGAGTACCATGAAGGGCTTGTGATCGGCAGGGTGGAAGTGTCACAAAGATCGGATTGGTGAACAACGTGTAAGTGATGAGGAGATGGCTGTTGTTAAATTCAAATAAGAGGCTAGCTCGATATTCAGCCTGGCTCTCTGCGTCCAACCGATCTACGCCGCCGACGTTGGCATCTGCTGGCAGCTTGCTGACCCGGACCTCTCTTAGCCTGTAGGAACAATGGTCACGAGCGGGAGGGGCGGGCGACGTCCACTTTCCGGGATCTTTGATATCGTTGACGAAGCCCTCTAGCGTTTCCCAGGGCTGCTTCTGCATCAGTCTCGCCTCCTGTACGGATGGTCCAACTAATGCGATGCCTTTGAAAGTCGGGTTGGACTCAAGTGGCGAATTAACTAGTGCTTTGATCCGAACGTACCGTGGCTTGCTCTCATCCACGGGTTCCTCGAATATCAGAGCTGGACACGGCCCTATCCAGCCACAAAGAGATACCACACCCGGCAAGCAACCTAGCACGCGAGCAAGGACTGTCCTACTCCGCAAGTAGGACCTATCTTGAAGTGCGAGGCCGCATTCATAAAACGGAGCGGCGCCCAAGTTATCACTGATGCTTGGCGTGCATTGAACTAGGGCGGCCATAATCTTTAAAGCGAACCACTTGCCCGGAAATACGAGGCCAAACAACCAGTCCCACATGTGGATATTGATAGACCCGCTATCACGGAAGCTGGAGTAGACCTGCTTCGCGTAAGCTTGAGTCTCGTCGAGGTACGGCCATTTCAGCCGCTGAGCGAAAGTCAACAGGCCCTCCATCTGTTGTTGATGAATGCGCGAGTGCCATTCGACTTCTTTGCGCTGAGTTTCAAAGTCTTGGGCGAAGAATTCCGATTGCAGGCGGTGTTTTTGCTCCAGACTTCGTTCCTCGTTAATATAAGACATGGTCTGCTGGGTATGAGACCTGGCATCAGCCAGTCTCTGGAGAATTGCTGGGGCAGCATCCCCATCAGCAACCTCAAGAGCTTTCTTGTGGACTGTCTCCGCACGACGACTGAGGCCCTGCTTCAGCAGCGCGAGTCCTAGGCTTGACCAGGCTTTCAAATATTTAGGGTCTAGCAACGTAGCAATATGAGCATCTTCCTCGGCCTCGGGGTAGTTTCCTTGTGCTAGGGACGCATCTGACCGCTTGCAGCGATAAATGGCGCTCCTTAGATCTACATTGATAGCCTGACCATAAGCATCGAATGCCTCTTGGTACTTTCGGTGGCTCATGGCCTGGTCTCCCATTTCGTTGAACCTTTCAGCCTCGGCTTTCGCGATTTTGCCCGGGATTTCTATACCGTGTAGGTCAACACTCGTGTCCACAATCGCCATATCGACATGCCTCAGCCAAAGATCGGACACAATAAGCGAGGACAGGGTGCGCCATGTGAAGCCGGCGTAATTGTCAGCAGTCTCAATGGTCTGTAGTCGCATTGCTAGCTCTTTCGCTACGATCACCTGCCGCAAGAAATTCCAGAGGCCAATGACCCTGTCGCTGGACGATAAAACGTGGGAGCCGATGCTTGAAAGTTGTGAAAAGTCTGTAAAGACATCGGTGCGGTTGAGAAGGCCGTAAAGCTCGCCAACCCATCGGTTTTTGTCCTCGTCAATCATGCTATATGTTAATATCTGTCAGCCGGTCACCACCACCACAGGCTAAAGCGCGTGACGTCAAATTGCCCAACGCCAGACTCACTAAGTGTTGCCGACCATCTCCCGGAGGTCCAGTTCTTCTTTTACTTTGTTTGATCCAAACACAGCGTTGTCTCTGTGGGAGAGTTCATCCAAACGGCGCAGGACCTTCTTGGCGGGGAGGACTGGGAGTCTAGAGTGGTTGACATAAATCTTCATCTCCTTAGTCTTATGATCTTCAAAATCCCAGCATTCGATCCCATATCCTTCGACAGTAACCGTCCCAGGATTGATGTTCTCAAATTCAGGTTCACCTTCAGGGTCGAGTAAGACGAAATCCTCCGAGGTAGGGGACCGATGCTGCCCAAGTGGGGACCAATTCTTCATGTACTTTTTCTGCTTGTATAGCTCTTTATACTGGTTAGCTGCCTCTTTAGTTTAACTCTTTAATATGGCTTAGATAATAATTACCGAATGATGCGTGGATTGGCCGCACAAAACCTTTCGCTTCGGCCTCTTGATGTGGCAGCCAGCAGTCGGATTCGCTCACGCTCCACTCAGCGCCGGCTGAGACCTTGAGAGCCTTCACAACATACACCATCAACTTTCCGAATCCCCTGTTCTGGAGGACACCTCTAAATTCGTCCTCCAGCCTGCTCGCTTCCATATCCATATTGACCGTTGGGATGAGGCAGAGGGAAATCCGCCAAAGGGCAACAAGGGCGAGGGTTAACCACAGATCAGAGTAGGAAAGAAATATTGGAAAAAAGGCCACCATTCTGACAGGCTTGGTGCTTATAAAAAATCGAAGATGTTCCTCGGCTAATTCGTAATAGCTCTCTTGCACATCAAATGATAACAGGGAGTTGTCAACATGCACTTCGAGTGTTGGCAAGCGGGACGGAATACGAGCGTGGCTGTGAATGACCGAACCCAAATACGGGATGAAGTTGAGCTTTTATTTTCGTATTGAAATATCTCTTCACTAATCTTTTTCGAAAGGAATACGGATCACTGATCTTCCAAGCGAGGGGCGCAGTCCCAAAGCCCAAAGTAAGCGATATGCACTTGCTACAAGCCTCCGGCCTTGGACGTCGATCTTCTTTGTGGTACTACTCCATACTATTGACATCTGTGGCATCGGAGTGGTCGCGGTCTCTCGGAGCAGGGAAGCTGTCAAAAAGGATGATTCTCACCTTACTCCATGTGTCCTGGTTAACCATTGAGTTGTCAGGCCTTTTAGTCCTTTCCAGTTATGATTGCCAACGGAACGAAAAGAGCGGGTATTTTCCTGCTTTTGTTTCTCTCCTCTGCACTCTTCGCTGCCGAAGAGGTCCTAGGAATCATACCCCAACAGCAGTGAAACGCGAGCCTGGATCTCGCTATTCCTGGCTCCCTCTAAACTTCCAATCTCTTTGGTCTTCATCGCAGATATGACTACGAATGCTCCTCAGGGTATGCAAATTGCGACGATAACCCCGCGCAGTGCGGTCCAACTGGCAGCGGCTGCTGCGGCCGCTATGATACTTGCGTTGAACCTGGCTCAACCTGCTGCGTAGGGGGAAGTACGTGTCCTGGGGAATGGATATGCTGTGGAGATGGTACCTGCGCACCCTCGGACGGAGTGCGATGCTGGCTATATTTGCGGTACCGACGAGTGCTGCCCGTCACCGGGATGTTCGAGTGAGCTGGTGGTGGAAGAGAGCAGTACCATTAGCATAGCTATGACCGAGAGCAGTTCCATAGCTGTGATCGAGACGAACACTATCACACGTCGAGGTCTAATTACAATATGAGCCCAGATGGTGGACCCATAGTACAACTTACTACTGGTGAATCGAAGCCGTATTAGTTCGCGCATTTGACTAATTCATCCATTAGGTCTTGCTGGGCCTATTTCAGGGCCGTCGACGTCGTCCCCTTCGGGGCCGCCGACCACACCACCACCAAAAGCACACTGACTTGTACGCTTACCGCGACATCAACTGTTGGGCCTTCTACGCGGAACAAAGCACCGAACCTCCGGACGTCGCCTCTGCATTTGCTCACAGTGCTGCGCTCTTTTCAAGACATCCCCGTCTTCTCCGTACTCTGCTACCTATCTCGAGAAAATTCCTATCTCCACGTCGAACGGACGTGTATCGGGTCCATCGAGTGGGCTGTCGAGAGATTGGAACGTGGCCTTGTTGGGGGCTATCTTGGCAAGCGTAGTAGGGTTTCTAGCTTTTGGACTATGAGGGATCGTGTCAGGTTTCATTCTCTGGGTTGAACAGCCGGCGACGTAAAGAATTGGTGATGTTGTAATAGTTAACTAGCGTACTCAACCCAAAGTAAATGCGATAAATTATAACATCCTACTTCAACAACCGCCAGTCTATTGCCCTTAACTAGTCAGAGGTCCACGACAAGGATCACCGCCTCCATCGGAGAATGCATGTCTTCAAACGCTCGAGGAACATACTGATATAGACTGGTCAATTGCCTGATCGCAATGTGGAAGCTGACTCCCCATCAGTGTCCTATCATAACTGGACCTCAGCGCCTAAACGATACGGATATGGCGTCCAAGCGAGCCATTTTCGGCGCCCAATTTACCGTCACCAAGCGTTGTGGTGTAATATTTTGCAAAAAGCTCCACATCTCTCTACGCGAATATTGTGATTGTGGGCGGACCTGCATCGTCACCGAGCCGTCTCCTCACGGTTTGTGCTGCTTCCCTCAGTGACTGCTCGAACATCCTTTTCGGGTCGTCCCGGCGCCTATCAGCGCTCATGAATGGCGGGCCCAGCCGCCTCCCTCGGGCGGGACGATCAACCTTGTTGGTTCCAAGATCTCAGGGTCCTTGCTCTCGAGGCTTCCATTGACACAAAAAAGAGAGAACCAGATACGATGAAGCTATCTGTTTTTCTTTTGGGCCCAGTTGGCCAATGCCACTCCCTGAGCTCCCACGGAGGGTCTGCCCACCCTCGCTGCAGGGATCGGGGCGGCGGACATGGATGAGTGCGACAGTCTCTTTGTTCATATCCTAGTCTCCACCGAACCCCTCTTTTTATCCCTGTCAGTTTTTCCCTCTTCTCGCTGGGGGCCGGAACCTCTGAAGGAGCCTCTCACCGCGAGACTGGCCCCCAACCTTCTACCCTGTCGGTCATCCGAGCTGCTGTTGCATCCTCCTCGCCTGGGAAGAACCACCGGACTCTAGATCACTGCTTAGCTCCGGTGCATCCGTTGATAGCAGTGATCGCCCGAACAAGCGCCATGCCAAGGCGACGGATGCATTCGATGTACGACCAACGTACAACAATCCCTGGCTCGCGTCAGATCTGTCAGGCAAAAGTTGACTGCGCCGCATTTTGTAACAGGCTTTCCGGTATTCCAAGAAGGACAGGGGTCTGCTCAGAGGGGCCCTCACATCCACTCACTCTCCTCCTCTTGCCTGCAAATGCGTTCCAACATTACACCTCCCACGCCCGGCGGCCCGCTTAGCTCCTTGACTTGTCCACTTGTCGTGACTGTGGTTAGTTCTTGTCGCCCCTCAAAAGCAAGGTCACCTCCAGACCGACGTCTTCACCCCCAAGTGGCGCATCCTAGGTCTCCGTCAGAGGGGTTGATCCAACGTGCCGGGCGTCTTCCCGAGACTTGGCCTTCTCCCACCTCTTCACAGGCAAATGTTGGATACCAACACTGACCTGGCGAAGACGCATTTACTTCAGAAGATCTTCTCTCCTCTTGGTCTTCCTGCAGATATGCGGTTGATCAGTGCGCGTCGATGGCCATCTGTCCTGTTGATATAACTTCAAACCGTGCAGGCGAACCACCTGCTCTCTCGCATCCCTTTTTCAATCCCGCTGTTTATTGACTCCGTCCAACTCAGCGAGAATCTTTGATCCGATTGTCATGAGCACGGCCCCGGACAGAAACTGTCCTCCAAGTTTATTTGACTTGTCTCCTATTCTGTCCGGGCCCTTTCTATGTTCAACCTGTTCCATAAAATGGCAGCCTTCTTTAAAAAGATCAAAAGAAAGCGCAGACTATCGTCTGAATTACATTCACGATGGGGCGACGTTGCTATTAGCTATCCCACCGAGGGATCCTGGAATCAGTGGAACCAGCCCGCTGGATTCGCCGCCAACTCTTCACCAGATGCCCCTCCTCCCAACAGCCAGACCACTGCTCCTCGGGGGCATGCTCCGATGAAATCTGTGCCGTCGTCTGAGCCAAGTGGATTTCCTCTCCATGGAGACTCTGCCATACCAACGGGACATTTCGATGAAAGAGTGCGGCAGCGCCATCGCAATGGCCACAAGCCATCCTTCCGCGGCTTGGGTGTTGGCTGGAATGGACACGAAATGAGCTCTACCCACGAGAATACAGACTTCGATGAGGTATCCTGTTCTGAGGAAGACGAAGAAGAGGATGAGGACGAAGAACGTGATACACTCGATGCACCGACCAGAGACCACGAGTATTCATCTACTCGGGGAGACCGTGACAGCTACGCCTCCCACCTATCCAGATCTCCTCCATTGTCAGTAACCTCGCGCATGCGGCGATGCAGCCTCCAGAGCTGTCGAACCGAGCATTCTACTGTTGCATCGGTCACGGCTAGTTCCAGGCATACGAGCTACACCGCGGCTTCATCTGTATCGGCGCCGTCTATGCCGCCGCAGACGCCTCGGTTTGGACACGTTGTGGCACAGCCTTTGCGCCCGGATCGAAAGCAGATCACCCGTCCAAGGCAACAGGAACCTGAATTGGTGGCGCAGCAGGGGATGGTGCCGTCTTACGATGAGCTGTACGGGTGACGGAGAGAGGGTTCGGGCGCGACAACTAATTTGTCTATACTTTCCTATGTCTCTAATATTTCCTACTCCTCCTCAGATCAATACTTTCATTTCGTTTCATTTTAGTTCATAGTTATTCCCCCATAGTCTCTCCCTCTTACATAATAATCCTGTACTTAGCCGGCAATGATATTCATGTTCATAACCGCTAGTGATGCACGGTCTGTCACATCCGTCACCACCGCCATCTGCCAATTACATGTCTCATCACCCCTCCTCCACCGTGCAACTCAGTTTAGGCGCCGATTGGCAACGCCTGCGCTGCAACATTGCCCGTGATTCGTCCAGGATGTATCCTCGCCTGCAGCCTCCGGCAGCGGGCATGTTCCTAGACCATGTCGACTTTTCCTGTGATGGGTGAGCTCCGTCTCCGCTCCCTCATCACATCGGCCGCAAAGCTGGCGGGCACTGAAAAAAGAAGCTTTTCCTCCCTCTCTCTGACTTGCGCTGCTTCTGAGCTGCTATTTCCCATGCGGTGATCGTCCTCTGGCCGGCGCTCCAGCTCTCGAATTAATTAATCTACCTCATCGGCCGCAGGCAGAGCGT